TGGATAAGACGTTCGGTCACATTACAGGGTAGCTACAGTTTCCGGGATGGACTTAATAACGTGGTTTACAGGACGTGAAGAGGCAATAAGGGTTGGGGGGATCACTAAGGGTTGGGGTAAAGCCACGGGCTCTGAAACGTTCCAAGCCGCCACACTTGAGGAAATATCGCAAATGAAATTCGATGAGAAATGACGAGCGGAAGAGGGATAATCTCTGTGGCTGTACGATGATATAAGACCGCATTTTTTTGGACACAATGTTAAAAAAATACAATTAACTTTGGGTCGGCGTTTATGTTGAGGATTCTGAGTTTATGGGTTAGGGCTTACGGTTTGGGTATATAGGTTAAGGTGTAGACTTTGCGTTTCTGGTTAGGACTACAGTTGAAGGACCATACTCTTTGGTTCTTTCGGTAAAGTCACGTATTTTTTATTTTTGTTTATTTTGTTTTATTTCTACCTACGTGACTTTACCGAAAGAACCAAAGAGTATGGATTCCTGCAGTCACGAAAGCTTCAAATCAAGGTTTAGGGACCAGTTTGTACCTAAGACTGCTGCAACTGCCCCCTCTGTAGAAGAGTAATTTCAGTGTAAGCCTCATGTTTTCTTTTTGGTTTCCGGACGAATTTCCATTTATCCCAACTGACCAGCTCCCGCAGCGTTGTGATGGGCTGCGTTGAATATTAGCATCGGGTGGAATCCGTCACGCGGAGTCGAATTCACAACGACTGTTGTTGTTATGATAAAAATCTCCCGTCGCGTTTGGCAGTGGTTTCTGAACCAGCATTCGGCAGGACGCACCCTGGCCTTAAACATAAAAACAGATATACACATCGGCGACGCTTCAGGGAAACGGTACCTTGTGAATTGTACATAGGCCTGAGAATAAGAGTTGGAGACTAACCACCCCCAATTGCATTGTCAGCACTCAACAACAAACACTCACTACTCACCCAAACCTTCACCAACTCGCTCACCCAGCCCGACTGCAGTCTACACCACGAGGCCTGCTGTGAAGTTACAATATCTCTATGCAAGGCCGTAATTATAATTTGTAATACGTATAACCCGTAAAAACAAAGTTTTTCACTATAAATCCTTTATATGCGTGGCGGCTAGAGTCCTCTCGTCCTCTGGCTTGAGATGGCTGCCACCTATGGGTCAGATGATTGTCTGCCAGTATTAAGCAATTGGTAATTAAATATTTAATTTGTTTTCCCTAAACAGTGTAACATTTTGGAAAACATTTTTTCACGAACATTAATTGTCTCGCACAACGAGTCTGTGTGCAAAATGTCAGCTCGATTGGATCACGGAAAGTGGGCTAAAAAACGACCGAAAGATTTGCACGGTCGTAAGCAAGCAAGCAAGCGAACTTAATATAAAGGATTTAAAAATCAAATATTCTCAAAATGTCCCCCCAATATATTGCTATCAAAAATATTTAAAATAATAATTGCGATGCTATGTAAATAATAACAATTTGCTAAACCTTGGCCACAATATCTGGACTTGTCTTCATAAAACAATGCCTAGATTTATGTTTATATGATGGTGGTTATGGTTGTACTTTATGAATCCCTAATCTCTGCCATTACATACAATGAAACAAGAAAAGGTAAAATAAAGTAAAAACAGAGCAATGTCATACAATACACTATAAGATATTATTGTGAAAAAAAAATACATAAATCCATCCCATGTGGTAGTGAATTTTTTAATATTTTAGGCAGAAAATTACTTTTCAAATTAACATTTTTTTTCTGGGATTGGGACCCCCAGAACCCCTGGAAGATTTGGTGCCCCCCAATGTTGACTCCATGGCTACGGCCTTGTCTCTATGGCCTCCCTATTTAAAGTTCCACGAAGAGCCCATTGCTCAAGCCGTCGTCAATTGTATATAGAGGTTTCCTCTTAGACCGCCCTGTGATTGAGTTGTCTTATTGGAGTCCATGGCAGAACGCATTCGCTGCATCCGAACAGCTAAGGGCCTCACCCACCAACACCAGCTCAATCACCCGGCGTGATCAACACCAGAATCACTCAGCTCCTCCAACACCCACTCACCTGACTCCTCACTCACCCCCTGCCTCACTCACCGTGCTGCAGATGCTCAGAATCGTCGTGGGACGTTTCACAAAAGCGACAAAATCAAAGTTGCTCCCCGCAGGCCCGGCACCATAGGCTCCCTCCATGGCTGCAGTCACCTGGTGACGTCACGGTGACCTCAGCAGGTGCGGCTCCCCTCCACGTGTTCCACCCCATTTCCTACCCCACCCACCCCCCTTCCTACCACACTTCCTACCCCACCCCCCTTCCTCCCCCACCCTCCCCCCCTTCCCCCACCCTCCTACCCCCCCTCCCTACCCCACCCCCCTTCCTCCCCCACCCTCCCCCCCTTCCTCTCCCACCCTCCCCCCCTTCCTACCCCACCCTTCCTACCCCCCCCCCTTCCTACCCCACCCCCTCCTCCCCCAGCCCCCTCCCTACCCCACCCCCTTCCTCTTCCAGCCCCCCTCCCTACCCCACCCCCCTTCCTATCCCACCCCCACTCCTCCCCCAGCCCCCTCCCTACCCCACCCCCTTCCTCCCCCAGCCCCCCTCCCTACCCCACCCCCCTTCCTACCCCACCCCCTTCCTCCCCCACCCCCCCTTCCTACCCCACCCCCCCTTCCTACCCCACCCCCTCCTCCCTCCCCCCTTCCTACCCCACCCCCCTTCCTCCCCCACCCCCTCCTCCCTCCCCCCTTCCTACCCCACCCCCCTTCCTACCCCACCCCCCTTCCTCCCCCACCCCCTCCTCCCTCCCCCTTCCTACCCCACCCCCCTTCCTACCCCACCCCCCTTCCTCCCCCACCCCTCCTCCCTCCCCCCTTCCTACCCCACCCCCCTTCCTACCCCACCCCCCTTCCTCCCCCACCCCCTCCTCCCTCCCCCTTCCTACCCCACCCCCCCTTCCTACCCCACCCCCCTTCCTCCCCATCCCCTTCCTACCCCACCCCCACCTCCCTTCCTCCCCCACCCCCCTTCCTACCCCACCCCCCTTCCTCCCCCATCCCCTTCCTACCCCACCCCCACCTCCCTTCCTACCCCACCCCCTTCCTCCCCCACCCCCTCCTCCCTCCCCCCTTCCTACCCCACCCCCCTTCCTACCCCACCCCCCTTCCTCCCCCACCCCCCCTTCCTCCCCCACCCCCCTCCTCCCTCCCCCACCCCCTCCTCCCTCCCCCCTTCCTACCCCACCCCCCTTCCTACCCCACCCCCCTTCCTCCCCCACCCCCTCCTCCCTCCCCCCTTCCTACCCCACCCCCCTTCCTACCCCACCCCCCTTCCTACCCCACCCCCCTTCCTCCCCCCCCCCTTCCTACCCCACCCCCCTTCCTACCCCACCCCCCTTCCTACCCCACCCCCCTTCCTACCCCCACCCCCCTTCCTACCCCACCCCCCCTTCCTACCCCACCCCCCTTCCTACCCCCATCCCCTTCCTACCCCACCCCCACCTCCCTTCCTCCCCCACCCCCCTTCCTACCCCACCCCCCTTCCTACCCCACCCCACCTCCCTTCCTCCCCCACCCCCCTTCCTACCCCACCCCCCTTCCTACCCCACCCCCCTTCCTCCCCCACCTCCCTTCCTCCCCCACCCCCACCTCCCTTCCTCCCCCACCCCCACCTCCTCCCCCACCCCCCCTTCCTACCCCCACCCCCCTTCCTCCCCCACCCCCCTTCCTCCCCCACCCCCTCCTCCCTCCCCCCTTCCTACCCCACCCCCCTTCCTCCCCCATCCCCCTTCCTACCCCCACCCCCCTTCCTCCCCCATCCCCTTCCTACCCCACCCCCACCTCCCTTCCTCCCCCACCCCCCTTCCTCCCCCACCCCCTCCTCCCTCCCCCCTTCCTACCCCACCCCCCTTCCTACCCCACCCCCCTTCCTCCCCCATCCCCTTCCTACCCCACCCCCACCTCCCTTCCTCCCCCACCCCCCTCCCTACCCTCCTTCCTCCCCCACCCCCCTTCCTCCCCCACCCCCCTCCTCCCCCACCCCACTCCTCCCCCACCTCCCTTCCTCCCCCACCCCCCTTTCATCACACGTCGTCACAAAAAGTCAGACCTCCACTCAAAGCTCTGCCCCCCCCCCCCAAAATAAAACATGCTTCCAATTGCTTTAAACTATTGTCATTGTAGTGCAGATTTAATGTGTCGCTACACTGATGTTGTAAGATACATTTATTAAAAAGTCTATTTAATCAAGTAGAACGTGTTGTCTATATTTATTTAAAGTTGCGCATTTTCATGTGACGTCACATTTCTCAAAACCCCCCCTCCTCGTCACACATCGTCACAAATGCCTGACCCCACCCCACCCCCTCCTAGGTGCGTGACGTCATTTATGGGCGTCCCCCAAGTGCGAGTGCAACAATTCCGCAGACACACTGCACGTGCAAACCTGCCCAGTAGCCTTGTACTGAATGCTGCTGAAACTCCGCACTCCTGGGAGAATGGCCGCGTGGCTGATGGGATGTGTAAACATGGTTTTAGTGTCGCGGGACCAACAGCAGCATGTCCATCACACAACCGTGCAGAGCACACAGCACGAAGGGCTTTGGACGATGGCATCACGCGATCTTGTTGTGCTCAACATGTCGCATGCCGGTTTCATCATTGTCAGGACTCATCCTCGCAGTACAGCCATAATCGCTCACTGCACCTGGGCACAGATCAGGCACAGCCGAAGTGGGGGGGGGTGGTGGGCAGACTGCGGCATGCATACCGTGCAGGAGAAATGTCTTGTGCAGGGGACATTGCGGAAACAAACCACACAGATATATACATTGAAGCCGAACAGTGCGGTGACGAGACGCGTGGGCAAGTCATCTCTCTGGGTATTACACACAGACACACACAATTCCATCACCCCATATCACACACACACACACACCATGCCGTGACCCAATATGATACACACACCATGCCGTTACTCCAGATCATACACACACACACAATACTGTCACCCCATATCATAAACACAAACCATACCGTCACCTAATATCATACACACACACACACCATGCCATCGCCTTAATTACTCGCAGCTCTTCGTGCTCACGCCCCCCTCACATTCCCCACTTAAACACGAGCTGTAGTCACATGCTCAGCTGGACGTCGTGTGCTCCTGTTTGCCGCCGATTTGAGAATCGCTTTCGCTGCCACCGCCCGGCAAGCCTCCCGTCACCACGCAAGGGCACCACACTCCTATTTTTATTTATTAGGAAAATGACAATTCCATGACATAAAACAGGTGATATTAACACAATTTCAGGTACAATATTCCCTAATTTGGTTTCCGAGGGACAAAGAATGGTCCTCCCTCCTCACTCCACACGCTCGGCATTAAAATTTTAATTACAGGGCCGCTAAGCACCCAGGGGTAGCCACCGTCGCTCTAGGGTATCCGACCGGACCGAATTGCCACCGTGGCTCCCGGAAAGACATCACCACGGTCGGCGCCAACGACACGGATCGCACCATCAGCACCGACACCGTCAGCGACAGCAACGACACCGCCCGCACCGTCAGCACCGACCGCACCGTCAGCACAGTCCGTACTGATACCATCAGCACCGAGTGGAGTAACAGCTCGCATGGTGGTCCCGGGACAAATAGAAGCGTGTGCGGGTCCTGCTCGCACAACAAGTCGTTGTGTGGTTGGTTAGGGGTATCACTGTGTGGTTATTGTGTGGTTGGGTAGGGGTATCACTGTGTGTTAATTGTGTTGGGTAGTGGTATAACGGTGTGATTGTTGTGTAGTTGAGTAGGGGTATCACTGTGTGGTTATTGTGTGGTTGGGTAGGGGTATCACTGTGGTAATTGTGTTGGGTAGGGGTATAACGGTGTGGTTGTTGTGTAGTTGAGTAGGGGTATCACTGTGTGGTTATTGTGTGGTTGGGTAGGGGTATAACGGTGTGGTTGTTGTGTGGTTGGGTAGGGGTATAACTGTGTGGTAATTGTGTGGTTGGGTAGGGGTATCACCATGTGGTCACTCTGCTGTGGCCACTGTGGTGGTCACTGTGGTTGTCACTGTGTGATCGCTTTGTGGCAGTCAATGTGTGGTGGTCTCTGTGTGGTTGTCAATGTGGTGGTCTCTCTGTGGTTGTCAATGTGGTGGTCTCTGTGTGGTTGTCACTGTGGTGGTCTCTGTGTGGTTGTCAATGTGGTGGTCACTGTGTGGTTGTCAATGTGGTGGTCTCTGTGTGGTTGTCAATGTGGTGGTCACCGTGTTATGATCACTGTGTAGCGGTCACTCTGTGGTGGCCACTGCCACGCGCCGCACCGTCTTCGGGAGCAGGCAGAGCGCGTGGCCGAGCAGTGCGAACCCCAGCGTCACCACGTGCATCACGAAGTAGACGGAGCGCCAGTAGCGGACGGTCTCCTCGTAGCTCAGCAGGATGAAGCCCATGCACATGTAGTCGAACGCGCGCATCTTCAGGAACCAGTGAACCCAGTCGAAGAGCGGCGTGCGCGAGGGGGGCAGGCGGTCCCGTACCGCGCGCTCCATGGACGTCTCGGCCGCCAGGCACAGCGGGATGGTGAGGAAGCTCAGGTAGTAGCCGGGATGGATCCCGTGCCAGAACGCGCTGATCAGCATCGTAACCGCGCTCCTGCACGCGGGCACAGGCAAAGCCACGTGGCATCAGTTGCGTTGAACCTCAACCCACGTTCCAGACCACAACTGCGATGCTCTTGTTCATCAACGCAGATGCACGTTACCGAACCCGTGACCCGTCATGGGCTATGGCCGCCATTGCATCTTGAGATATTTCATTTTCGACGCGATACAAAGTGACGCTGCCCAGTAATGACTACAATAATTAAAGCAGAAGAAGGTAGTGGGGACACGTTAATAAGATGAACGCAAAGATGTGTGAAATAAACTCGGTTGAGTGTAATTTACCTCCATAAAGACAGGCGAAGCCAGTCTTTTCATTCACAATTGCCACGCTGCCATATGGATACAGAGGGCGTATTGCACTCTCTACGACAAATACACTAAAACCCGATTTGAAGCTTTCGTGACTGCAAGGATTCATACTCTTAGGTTTTTCGGTAAAGTCACGTAGGTAAAAAATTAAAATTAATAAAAGTAAAATAAAAAATCACGACGTTTCGGAAAGTCTTTACTTGATACAGCTATCGTGCTGTGACGGTTCCAAGTAAGTTCTTTACTTGATACAGCAGTCGTGCTGTGACGGTTCCACCTGAAGACGGAAGCTTGTGTTGCCTCCGAAACGTCGGGATTTTTTATTTTACTTTCATTAATTTTCATTTTATTTTTTATCTACGTGACTTTACCGAAAAAACCTAAGCGTACACTAAAACCCGGTTTTCCCAGCGTTATTCTGCATTGCCGATAACTCCAGTGCAATGCTGCGTCGCCGGCGCTGCGGCCTACGCAACGCAGACGACGACACCTCGCCTGCGACGACTGCCTTTCGGCATTTTTCATGTAAAGTGAAGGACGCGCGTGCCGGACACGCACCGTAGGATGTACGATTTGAACGGGGCCTTCTTGTAGATGTACTGAGCCAGCCACCACTGCACCGTCATGTTCCAGTAGCGCATGCCGTCCTTCACGCGCACGCAGAAGTCCGTGCTGTAGTAGTCGATGTTCTTGATGCTCTCGTAGTCGTATTCCACGGTGCGGCTCTCCTGCTCATCACTGAGGAGACAGGCCAAAAAGGCAGTGAATCTTGCTGCTCAAAGGAACATCAGAGGAACGTCAAAGGAGCACCTTCTCCTGTATACAGCCCTGAGCCAGTGGTGGAAATTCCACATTCCTATGGCAGGGGTGAGTCTATACGTAGGGCAACCACTGCTGACTTTCCGACAAAGTGATGCCTTGACTTAAAACTTTCGTGACTGCAAGAATTAATATTCTTTGGGTCTTTCGGTAAAGTCACGTCATCAGGAGAAAAAAAGATGACTGCTTGCGTTGCGATCGAAACGGCGTAGCTTTTTGTTATTTTCTTTGAACCTATCTACGTGACTTTACCGAAAGACCCAAAGAATATAAAGTGATACCTATTTTATCAATCCCGCGGTGATTACAATGTATAAAAATGGCGTGCAAATGTGTTGAGGCTAATAGAATGACAAGATGGAATGAACAACACTGGATGTATGCGAAAGGCAGTACAAACCAGTGGTACAAATGAGACAACTGGGAAGGGAATTCTCGTGACTGCTTCGTGAAAAATGATCGATTCTCAAGGGGGTGAGTCCTTAAGATCGTACTCATGAGCCACAGATCACACATGGCTACAGCAATCGGTCTTGAGTCCACGGGCCAGAGCAGAAATCGGCACCACCTACAATCGCAAAGCTTGAGTTGTACCGATTTATTTAAACGGCCTATAAGAGTGAATTATTTGATAACCACTCAATTCAAGTGGTTATCACATAATTCACCATCATTGGCCACAATGAAATTTCAACGACTAAAGTTGCGCCACCGCAGGTGGCAGCGACAAGTGGACTATCGAATAATAATGAATTCTATTTATACAGCACTTTTCCCACGTTCAAAGCACTGAACAGTAAAGCACTGGTCTGAATTCATAGACTGTCCCGCTTCTACTGCCCTGCCACCTTCCCCCGGTGCTCACAGGGGCTCCTCGTTCCCTATTCCCCGACTACCAGATCCCACTGGGTCTCGATCGATGCGCGCCGTCACCTGGACTTGAGAACCCACTGCATTGTGGGGCCCCCTCCCGAGCGTGCCTTGGCCTCGCGCGGGTAGGCCCCGAGCCCCGCGGCCATGCAGGTGCACTCCGCCAGGATCCAGGCCACGTAGAACCGCATGCGGAAAATAAAAAACATCGGCACCATGAAGAACAGGCGGTAGGGGAGGCCGCGCTCGTAGAAGTCGTCCTGCCGCGCCTCGTCCAGGTTGAAGAAGGCCGAGGCAAGGAGGAAGAACGCCCCGAGCATGGGCACGTGCTTCAGCCGTAGCAGCATGGGCTTCCAGCTGGGCACATGCGCTCCTTGCTGCTCCTGCACCCAGTCGTGGTACGTGCGAAACCGGTAGAAGGGACCTGCAGCAGCAAAGAAGGAGTGCAGCCGTTAGGGCCCTGCAGGGCTCCTGGGATTCGCGTTGCACGACAGCGCAAGTGATCCGCACCGCAGCGCACCACACTATGGGGCAACGTACCACAGTGCATCGCACTACAGAACCTACGTGAGAGCGCACCCCACGACGAGAATGGCTGAGAAGCCGAGTAACCACTCAGAGGGATAGTGGTAGAGCAGTGGAGAAGGTATAGTGGTAAAGCAGTCGAGAAGTTATTGTGGTAAAGCAGTTGATAAGCTAAAAGCACATTGTAAGATTTGAAGTTGTGGAATGATATCGAGCCAATACAAACAGCAAGTAAGATTAAAAAGACTCAAAGTGAGGGCTGCAGAATACATCTTGAAGGAAAGAGAGAAGACAGATTTGCCGACTGGAGAAGGGAAGGCATTACACTTTAGAGAGGGAAAAGAAGTTAACATTGACCCGAACTGTGCTTCAAGGTCATCTGCCCTGGATGACACAAGCTAAGAACAACAAGTCCATGATTCATTTTCTTAGGTTTTTTCGGTTAAGTCACGTAAGTAAAACATCAAAAAAAGAATAATAATAATATAAAATTTATTTTGATGTTTTACTTACGTGACTTAACCGAAAAAACCTAAGAATATGAATCTTTGCAGTCATGAAAGCTTCAAATCTAGAATCCATGATTCATTATCGCGGCGAAGACGCGTCTTTTTACTTCGGAAGTTCAACAAAGGAGGACGAAATAATCGTTCGACACGTCGTCAAGACCCGACCACACCCGGCAAGTCACACGCTGCATCAACCACCTGGCTGCTGTATCATCACCCATCATCAAGCTGCTGTCTGCAATGTATGAGAGACAGTGTGTGTGTGTGTGTGTGCAACGACTGCACATTCGCCAGCACAGGAGATTCCGACACGTCCATTGTGTCACCTTCTCAATGCCAGCGCAATATTAACCGGGCTTCGTATCATGAAGGCCGATTGCCTTTGTCGTGTTGTTTGCCTCATCATGGCCATCATAGCATGCACTGGGTGCAGCCTTATTAGCCTAAATTCTGAGTTAAGTCATTGATTGATTTCGTTTTAATTAGATTTTTAACAAACAAGAGACTAGTTTGTACTAATGTGAATTAATCATACCACAGACAAACCAAACATTAAAACAAATGACAGATTCCAGAACGACAATTGCACACTGCACTACAGCACTCCACTCTGCACAATAATCTCCGTGCTGGACGGTGCACTCGGACGTGGGTGGTGCCGTTACCCGTCATGAAGCCGATGTAGCAGTAGGCATAGCAGAAGGTCTCCACAAGGCTGGGCTCGGACACAAGGTCTCTGGTCGAAATTTTGCCGTCTTTCGAGTCCCCTTTCTTCGTACCAAAATGGAACTCGTTGATTTCATTGGCCAGACTTACCAACTGTAAAAAAAAAAAAGCGAAAAAACATGCCGATCGCAAAATGTGTCAATGTACTACCCATAACACAGGTGGAGCTGCCATCAATGTTACAGCCATAACATAGATGAACCTGCCATCAATGTAATAGCCATAACACAGATGAACCTGCCATCAATGTAATAGCCACAACACAGATGAACCTGCCATCAATGTAATAGCCATAACACAGATGAGCCTGCCATCAATGTATCAGCCACAATATAAGTGAACCTGCCATCAATGTAATAGCCATAACACAGATGAGCCTGCCATCAATGTATCAGCCATAACACAGATGAACCTGCCATCAATGTTACAGCCACCGCACAGGTGAACCTGTCATCAATGTACCAGCCACAATATAAGTGAACTTGTAAACGAAGGTGAAAGTCCACAGTGAATTGCTGCCCACTTTAGTGGACGTTGAAAGGTTCCGTGACGTCACTCGAAGAAGGAGGCCATTGTGTTCTGACATGGCCCAAATAAACAAAACTCGCAAATTACTGAATTGGGAATCATGTAGCAACTGTGGCTCTAATATAAAAGGTTAGGAGGACCCGACTGAAAAAGAGTTTTGAGACTCAGTAAGGCTTTCTGGGTACTCGAACGTATTAATAAAAAGAAACACAACTTTTATTTCGATTTAAAGCTTTCGTGACTGCAGGGATTCATCTTCTTGGTTCTTTCGGTAAAGTCACGTAGAAGGGAAATAATAAAATAATAAAAATAAAACATAATAAAAAAATAAACACAACTGCATTCAGGAAGGCAACAGGGCACCGTCATTGGTTGGGGGCTGGATGTGTAACGACGCATCTTTAAGTGAACAAAACTACACAAGACACACAGAAAGAAACTTAGACATGTAATTGACGTAAAACAATTTGACAAATAAGACTTTATTCTAGAATCGAATGATGGCCCTCAAACAATCGTGATGACTCATTACACCGTGTGCAGTGTGAACAGTCATTCCAGCTGATAGATTAAATTACGTCGGCTCTGAGAATGCACTCTCAGACAAACCCACATGGGCACAATGAGGCGCTGCACAGGACAACATAGCACTTTGTAAACCGCGTGCCATTAGAGCAGTCTTACCTTGAGGGTGAGCAGTAACTGTATTGCATTAGCGTACGGTGGAGGTCCCGGGAAGCCGAAGTGGTGGCATGTCCGGAAGAACATGAGATAAGTGAAGGTCCAAACCAGGGTAATGGTGTGACAGTGCCTGTAACAGATGCAGCGGCATAAACCATCATCCCTTTGTCGACCAACACTTGGCACCTACGACCAAATCAACTTGAATGCGCCCGATCTCATCGGATCTCAGGAGCTAAGCGGTGCTCAGGCTCGTTAATTCCCAGATGGGTGACCAGGGCACGGCTGTTAGAGCAATGAGGCTTGCAAGGTGGCCATGGGAAGGCAGTGGCTGAGTGTCATCTTTAGCTATGCAAGAGTTTTCTCAGGGCAACCCTAAATTTCAAGATCGCAATGTAGCAGTCTGGAGACTCAGTGAGGCTTTCCTGGTTAAATGAATGACAATAATGAAGCTTCACATGGAAGATCCTCTCTTCGGCTGAAAAATGATTCACTTACAAAGATGTACGTTTCTATAGAGACCGAGGACAACATTTCTCCACTAGTTCTATAATTCTGTCTCCGTCATCGGCCCGTTGCGTCCGATTTGTTTTGCAAATAAGCACCGCTCGCTTGACTGAACTTGAACCCCGGCATCGCTGGCATCCCCTCAGACTATAGGCCGAAACCGCAAGTAAACAATAAGTTAAAAATGTACTTTCGGCCGAAACCGAAAGTATGCCGGAAGAGGCCATTTGCCAACTTTCGGCGCCGAAACCGAAACCGAATTTCGGTCAGCCTCTACCTCAGACGCGCCCCCTTCGTGCCGAGACGCAGAGACGGTGGAAAACGGGGAAGAAGGAGGGCCCCGTGCCCCCCCCCACCACCACGCGGGAGAGTTGTAGAGCGTGGCGCTCGCTCACCTGGGTGTCATGCGCACGATGAGGCAAGTGAGCGCCGTGGTGAGCAGGGAGTGCAAGATGTGTGCGCCGCACAGCACCAGAGTGATGGCCACCCCCAGCCCGGCGGCACCGAGCCGCTTGCCGAGCGGACTCGGCGCATTCTTGAGCACGAAGCCGGCCGGCAGCGACACCAGCAGCACCAGCAGGTACGTCTGCTCCTCTGGGGTCATGGCGCCTTCTGGACAAACGCGCACACACAAAAAAACACATAAAAGAGTACGTACATTTCCATTTAAAGCTTTCGCGACTGCAGGGATTCATCTTATTGGTTCTTTCGGTAAAGTCACGTAGAAGGGAAATAATACAATATTAAAAATAAATCATAATACAATTTTACGTGACTTTACCGAAAGACCCAAGAAGAAGAGTACATACACCCGTAACAACAGCCGCCGTCCGCCACAAGGCGGTGGCTTGTGCCAGGCTAGGTGCACCTTGAGCCCACGTGAAGTGCCGAAAGCTCAATGGCAAGAGGTCACGGGTCAGACCCAAGGGTGGCACAGTCGGGTTTTTTTTAAATCGGGTTTAATTGTCTTTCTATATTAAACCCGATCATCTGAGATTGGGATAAATCCGGTTTAATTGGTTCTATAATTGCAGAACCGCACTTCGCCAACTTCTCAACGATGGGCTTCATCCATTCCAAGCTAAGGAACTCACTGGCACCCACGATTGTGGAGAAGCTCGGGTTCATCAAGACCAACCTGCCCGCCGCATTCTACGACTACCCCGTACGATAGCAGCCCTGACGAGGAAGCAGCCTAAGCCTTGGATCAGAGTTTCGGATTCATTAAATCGTACAAACCGCACAGCAAACGCGTAACGGTGCATACATGAACACCTTTAACACCGGACGTTGGTTGTTTCGTGCGCGTGTTGAAGTTTTTTGAAAAGTTTCTTGGTTTGGCCATGTCTGTTTGTTGTAGTACGGAGTCAGACTGATGGCCTTAATCTAAGTTGTCTTGTGGTTGTTGTTGTTGTTGTTTGACTTGCATCCCACTGGGATTTTTGCACACAGCGTTGGTGTACGGTGCTTTTTCTGCAATATTTTGCTGTCTTTTCTTGGATTTTCTGTTTGCACATAGTCACTTTAAGATGTTTTCTTGTTCATATTTTAGTTGTTTTGTTTGTTGCGGTTGCACCCGATTCAAGAGCCGAATGGCTCACAGGGCTACACCAAATAAATGAACTTGAACTGAGCTTGTGTAAGGTACATCACACAACCCCTGTGACAAGCACGCGCATGCATGCGGTACATCCAATGCTGTCCGCATTGGAGGTCCTCTCGCGCTGTGCGAGTGTTGAAGTGTCACGGGCAGCAGTGTGGAGCTCCACAAGCACTCGGCGCTCATCACGAGAGCCGAAGGCGACGGGTTTACATTGAAATTCAAAGTGTTTAGTGAACTTTGCTCAAAATCAGCACGAGGTGGCTCACACCTGAGCCAGTGGTGGACATTCCACATTCCTATGGCGAGGGCGATTCCATCCGTAGCACGTCCACTGTCGACTCATTGGCAAAGTGGTAGTACTTTATCGACCCCCCCCCCGGGAGAAATGATGAGTAAATCATGAATCGCCCGCAAGGATGTTGCTACTGCGAACATTAACATCAAGATTCGAAGCTTGCGTGGCTGCAGCAATCCATCCTCTTTGGTTCTTTCGGTAAAGTCACGTAGTTAGAAACGAAATAGATCACACAAGCCTCCGTCATCAGGAGTGAAAGCGTGGCCTGCTGCTGCTGAGGCAGACTGTCTAACAAAAAACAAAGAGTATTAACATCAAGCCGAGGAATGGCGCGTAGCCTCTTGCATTGCCCACAGCGCCCTGTGCAACATCGCAATGGGCTCGCCAACGTTACAACGGAGACCTCCAACTCCCCTCCTCGCACTCATTCCACTCCGTCTCCCTGGCCCCGCGTCCACGCTCAGGGGGGGGTGAACAACAACTCCCAAGGCGACTCGGCAAGTCGCCCACAGCCTTCCCGCCCCACACACATCGCGCCCATTGCACATCGGGGGGCTGCGTGACAAGGCGCCACAGACGCCGGCGATGTAGAGAAAGCTGCCGCGGGCATGCACAGAGCAACATCGTGTAAACAGAGAGCATCGCGTGTGAACAGAAAGCAACATCGCGTGAACAGAAAGCAACATCGCGTGAACGTACCCGCGGGTCAACGCGATCAGGGTTCCATGCGCCGCACGCCGCGCCCTGCAACACGAAACGCGCTTTGACCCCCCGCCGCCTCCGCGCGCGGACCCGTAGCCGTAGCGACCCGAGGACGGATTTCCTTGACGGGGGACATGACGTCATCTCGCGGATCCGTAGCGACCCGGTGGACGTGACATCATCTAACGTAGCCGTAGCGATGCCGTGACGTCTTTCTGATACGCTTTTCCTCGGAGTGACAATGCGTCACCGCGCGTAGCCGTTGCGACCCGAGGACGGATTTCCTTGTCGGGGGACGTGACGTCATCTCGCGTAGCCGGAGCGATCCCAGTGACGTCATTCTGATACGTTTTTCCTCGGAGTGACATTGCGTCACCGCGCGTCGCCGCAGCCACCCCGTGACGTCACGGTCATGTTTTCTCGGAGTGACATTGCGTCATCGCGCGTCACGCAGCTCGAGTGCACAGATTGCGTCACGCGCCTAGCGACGGCGGAGACGCGGCGCCATGTCTTACCGAGATCTACGAAGTGAGTGTCTCTCTCCCCCAGTGAGTGTCTCTCTCCCCCAGTGAGTGTCTCTCTCCCCCAGTGAATGTCTCTCTCCCCCAGTGAGTGTCCCCCTCCCCCAGTGAGTGTCTCTCCCCCCCAGTGAGTGTCTCTCTCCCCCAGTGAGTGTCTCTCTCCCCCAGTGAGTGTCTCTCTCCCCCAGTGAGTGTCTCTCTCCCCAGTGAGTGTCTCCCTCCCCCAGTGAGTGTCTCTCCCCCCCAGTGAGTGTCTCTCTCCCCCAGTGAGTGTCTCTCTCCCCCAGTGAGTGTCTCTCTCCCCCAGTGAGTGTCTCTCTCCCCCAGTGAGTGTCTCTCTCCCCAGTGAGTGTCTCCCTCCCCCAGTGAGTGTCTCTCCCCCCAGTGAGTGTCTCCCTCCCCCAGTGAGTGTCTCCCTCCCCCAGTGAGTGTCTCTCTCCCCCAGTGAGTGTCTCTCTCCCCCAGTGAGTGTCTCTCTCCCCCAGTGAGTGTCTCTCTCCCCAGTGAGTGTCTCCCTCCCCCAGTGAGTGTCTCTCCCCCCCAGTGAGTGTCTCTCTCCCCCAGTGAGTGTCTCTCTCCCCCAGTGAGTGTCTCTCTCCCCCAGTGAGTGTCTCTCTCCCCCAGTGAGTGTCTCTCTCCCCAGTGAGTGTCTCCCTCCCCCAGTGAGTGTCTCTCCCCCCAGTGAGTGTCTCCCTCCCCCAGTGAGTGTCTCTCTCCCCCAGTGAGTGTCTCTCTCCCCCAGTGAGTGTCTCTCTCCCCCCAGTGAGTGTCTCTCTCCCCAGTGAGTGTCTCCCTCCCCCAGTGAGTGTCTCTCCCCCCAGTGAGTGTCTCTCTCCCCCAGTGAGTGTCTCTCTCCCCCAGTGAGTGTCTCTCTCCCCCAGTGAGTGTCTCTCTCCCCCAGTGAGTGTCTCTCTCCCCCAGTGAGTGTCTCTCTCCCCCAGTGAGTGTCTCTCTCCCCCAGTGAGTGTCTCTCCCCCCCAGTGAGTGTCTCCCTCCCCCAGTGAGTGTCTCTCTCCCCCAGTGAGTGTCTCTCTCCCCCAGTGAGTGTCTCTCTCCCCCAGTGAGTGTCTCTCTCCCCCAGTGAGTGTCTCTCTCCCCCAGTGAGTGTCTCTCTCCCCCAGTGAGTGTCTATCTCCCCCAGTGAGTGTCTCCTCCCCCAGTGAGTGTCTCCTCCCCCAGTGAGTGTCTCTCCCCCAGTGAGTGTCTCTCTCCCCCAGTGAGTGTCTCTCTCCCCCAGTGAGTGTCTCTCTCCCCCAGTGAGTGTCTCTCTCCCCCAGTGAGTGTCTCCCTCCCCCAGTGAGTGTCTCTCTCCCCCAGTGAGTGTCTCTCTCCCCCAGTGAGTGTCTCTCTCCCCCAGTGAGTGTCTCCCTCCCCCAGTGAGTGTCTCTCCCCCCCAGTGAGTGTCTCCCTCCCCCAGTGAGTGTCTCTCTCCCCCAGTGAGTGTCTCTCTCCCCCAGTGAGTGTCTCCCTCCCCCAGTGAGTGTCTCTCCCCCCCAGTGAGTGTCTCCCTCCCCCAGTGAGTGTCTCTCTCCCCCAGTGAGTGTCTCCCTCCCCAGTGAGTGTCTCTCTCCCCCAGTGAGTGTCTCTCTCCCCCAGTGAGTGTCTCTCTCCCCCAGTGAGTGTCTCCTCCCCCAGTGAGTGTCTCCCTCCCCCTGAGTGTCTCTCTCCCCCAGTGAGTGTCTCTCTCCCCCAGTGAGTGTCTCTCTCCCCCAGTGAGTGTCTCTCTCCCCCAGTGAGTGTCTCTCTCCCCCAGTGAGTGTCTCTCTCCCCCAGTGAGTGTCTCTCTCCCCCAGTGAGTGTCTCTCTCCCCCAGTGAGTGTCTCTCTCCCCCAGTGAGTGTCTCTCTCCCCAGTGAGTGTCTCTCTCCCCCAGTGAGTGTCTCTCTCCCCCAGTGAGTGTCTCTCTCCCCCAGTGAGTGTCTCTCTCCCCAGTGAGTGTCTCCTCCCCCAGTGAGTGTCTCTCTCCCCCAGTGAGTGTCTCTCTCCCCCAGTGAGTGTCTCTCTCCCCCAGTGAGTGTCTCTCCCCCCAGTGAGTGTCTCTCTCCAGTGAGTGTCTCTCTCCCCCGTGAGTGTCTCCCTCCCCAGTGAGTGTCTCTCCCCCAGTGTCTCCCTCCCCCAGTGAGTGTCTCTCTCCCCCAGTGAGTGTCTCTCTCCCAGTGAGTGTCTCTCTCCCCCAGTGAGTGTCTCTCTCCCCCAGTGAGTGTCTCTCTCCCCCAGTGAGTGTCTCTCCCCCCGTGAGTGTCTCTCTCCCCCAGTGAGTGTCTCTCTCCCCCAGTGAGTGTCTCTCTCCCCCCCAGTGAGTGTCTCTCTCCCCCAGTGAGTGTCTCTCTCCCCAGTGAGTGTCTCTCTCCCCCTAGTGAGTGTCTCTCTCCCCCAGTGAGTGTCTCTCCCCCAGTGAGTGTCTCTCTCCCCCAGTGAGTGTCTCTCTCCCCCAGTGAGTGTCTCTCTCCCCCAGTGTCTCTCCCCCAGTGAGTGTCTCTCCCCCCCGTGAGTGTCTCTCCCCCCAGTGAGTGTCTCCTCCCCAGTGAGTGTCTCCTCCCCCAGTGAGTGTCTCTCTCTCCCCCAGTGAGTGTCTCCCTCCCCCAGTGAGTGTCTCTCTCCCCCAGTGAGTGTCTCCCTCCCCCAGTGAGTGTCTCTCCCCCAGTGAGTGTCTCTCTCCCCCCAGTGAGTGTCTCTCTCCCCCAGTGAGTGTCTCTCTCCCCCAGTGAGTGTCTCTCCTCCCCCAGTGAGTGTCTCTCTCCCCCAGTGAGTGTCTCTCTCCCCCAGTGAGTGTCTCTCTCCCCCAGTGAGTGTCTCTCTCCCCCAGTGAGTGTCTCTCCTCCCCCAGTGAGTGTCTCTCTCCCCCAGTGAGTGTCTCTCTCCCCCAGTGAGTGTCTCCTCTCCCCCAGTGAGTGTCTCTCCTCCCCCAGTGAGTGTCTCCCTCCCCCAGTGAGTGTCTCTCTCCCCCAGTGAGTGTCTCTCCTCCCCAGTGAGTGTCTCCCTCCTCCCCCCAGTGAGTGTCTCTCTCCCCCAGTGAGTGTCTCTCTCCCCCAGTGAGTGTCTCTCTCCCCCAGTGAGTGTCTCTCTCCCCCAGTGAGTGTCTCTCCCCCCAGTGAGTGTCTCTCTCCCCCAGTGAGTGTCTCCCTCCCCCAGTGAGTGTCTCTCTCTCCCCCAGTGAGTGTCTCTCTCCCCCAGTGAGTGTGTCTCTCTCACCCAGTGAGTGTCTCTCTCCCCCAGTGAGTGTCTCTCTCCCCCAGTGAGTGTCTCTCTCCCCCCAGTGAGTGTCTCTCTCCCCCAGTGAGTGTCTCTCTCCCCCAGTGAGTGTCTCTCTCCTCCAGTGAGTGTCTCTCTCCCCCAGTGAGTGTCTCTCTCCCCCAGTGAGTGTCTCTCTCCTCCAGTGAGTGTCTCCCTCCCCCAGTGAGTGTCTCTCTCCCCCAGTGAGTGTCTCTCTCCCCCAGTGAGTGTCTCTCTCCCCCAGTGAGTGTCTCTCTCCCCCAGTGAGTGTCTCTCCCCCCCCAGTGAGTGTCTCCCTCCCCCAGTGAGTGTCTCTCTCCCCAGTGAGTGTCTCCCTCCCCCAGTGAGTGTCTCTCCCCCCCAGTGTCTCCCTCCCCCAGTGAGTGTCTCTCTCCCCCAGTGAGTGTCTCTCTCCCTCAGTGAGTGTCTCTCTCCCCCAGTGAGTGTCTCTCTCCCCCAGTGAGTGTCTCTCTCCCCCAGTGAGTGTCTCCCTCCCCCAGTGAGTGTCTCTCTCCCCCAGTGAGTGTCTCTCTCCCCCAGTGAGTGTCTCTCTCCCCCAGTGAGTGTCTCTCTCCCCCAGTGAGTGTCTCTCTCCCCCAGTGAGTGTCTCTCTCCCCTAGTGAGTGTCTCTCTCCCCCAGTGAGTGTCTCTCTCCCCCAGTGAGTGTCTCTCTCCCCCTAGTGAGTGTCTCTCTCCCCCAGTGAGTGTCTCTCTCCCCCAGTGAGTGTCTCTCTCCCCCAGTGAGTGTCTCTCCCCCCCCAGTGAGTGTCTCTCCCCCCCAGTGAGTGTCTCCCTCCCCAGTGAGTGTCTCCCTCCCCCAGTGAGTGTCTCTCTCTCCCCCAGTGAGTGTCTCCCTCCCCAGTGAGTGTCTCTCTCCCCCAGTGAGTGTCTCCCTCCCCCAGTGAGTGTCTCTCCCCCAGTGAGTGTCTCTCTCCCCCCAGTGAGTGTCTCTCTCCCCCAGTGAGTGTCTCCCTCCCCCAGTGAGTGTCTCTCTCCCCCAGTGAGTGTCTCTCTCCCCCAGTGAGTGTCTCTCTCCCCCCAGTGAGTGTCTCTCTCCCCCAGTGAGTGTCTCTCTCCCCCAGTGAGTGTCTCTCCCCCCAGTGAGTGTCTCCCTCCCCCAGTGAGTGTCTCTCTCCCCAGTGAGTGTCTCCCTCCCCCAGTGAGTGTCTCTCCCCCCCCAGTGAGTGTCTCCCTCCCCCAGTGAGTGTCTCTCTCCCCCAGTGAGTGTCTCCCTCCCCAGTGAGTGTCTCTCTCCCCCAGTAAGTGTCTCTCTCCCCCAGTGAGTGTCTCTCTCCCCCAGTGAGTGTCTCTCTCCCCCAGTGAGTGTCTCTCTCCCCCAGTGAGTGTCTCTCCCCCCAGTGAGTGTCTCTCTCCCCCAGTGAGTGTCTCCCTCCCCCAGTGAGTGTCTCTCTCTCCCCCAGTGAGTGTCTCTCTCCCCCAGTGAGTGTCTCTCTCACCCAGTGAGTGTCTCTCTCCCCCAGTGAGTGTCTCTCTCCCCCAGTGAGTGTCTCTCCCCCCAGTGAGTGTCTCTCTCCCCCAGTGAGTGTCTCTCTCCCCCAGTGAGTGTCTCTCTCCCCCCCAGTGAGTGTCTCTCTCCCCCCAGTGAGTGTCTCTCTCCCCCAGTGAGTCTCTCTCCCCCAGTGAGTGTCTCTCTCCCCCAGTGAGTGTCTCTCCCCCCAGTGAGTGTCTCTCTCCCCCAGTGAGTGTCTCTCTCCCCCAGTGAGTGTCTCTCCCCCCCCCCAGTGAGTGTCTCTCTCACCCCAGTGAGTGTCTCTCTCCCCCAGTGAGTGTCTCTCTCCCCCAGTGAGTGTCTCTCTCCCCCAGTGAGTGTCTCTCTCCCCAGTGAGTGTCTCTCTCCCCCAGTGAGTGTCTCTCTCCCCCAGTGAGTGTCTCTCTCCCCCAGTGAGTGTCTCTCTCCCCCAGTGAGTGTCTCTCTCCCCCCAGTGAGTGTCTCTCTCTCCCAGTGAGTGTCTCTCTCCCCCAGTGAGTGTCTCTCTCCCCCAGTGAGTGTCTCTCTCCCCCAGTGAGTGTCTCCCCCCCCCAGTAAGTGTCTCCCTCCCCCAGTGAGTGTCTCTCTTCCCCAGTGAGTGTCTCCCTCACCCAGTGTGTCTCCCTCGCCCGGTGTATCCCTCTGTGTCCTCAGTATCTCTCCCTCGCCTGGTATGCAGGTCGTGGGTTCGATCCCGACCCTGACGCCTGTATATTTAGAGTTTGCATATCTACTGCTCTCCCCGTAGTCCCGTGGATTTTTCTCCGGGTCATCGGGTTTTTTTCTTCCACATTTGCAATCAACGTGCATTTCGAGTATTTGGCTGCTATAAATTTCCACATAAGCCACTAGGTTGAGCTTTCATTTGTGGCCACGTGGCTTCTAAAAGAATAGCTCTATAGCTCAGCGGGCCTTACCTGGTGAAATGAATCTTTTAAAGTTTTGAATACTTTAATCGTCATTGGAATCTCATTTGCCAGTAGAAAAATATGATAATTGTTTTTTTAACCCTTTTTTGTCTCGGGTGTGGACCAATCAACTTCAAGGACAGTGGATACATTATCCGAGTTATGTTTTTTGTTTGCATTACGACTGCAGGTATTGTGGTCTATGCAAACATGACTCCTTGTAAAAAAAAAAGGTGTCAGTTTTTATGCCAGATAAAAGGGTAAAAAAAAATTATCATACTTTAATCGTTTTAAAAGTGTCTTCTTGCGAGTTTTACTCCGAATTCGTTTCCCTCACCGTGTCTGTTTCCGCGCCTCTATTTCGCTGTTCGTCTCGGCGTCTCTGTCTGCATACGCGGTCACCGTGAACCCGCTGCATGCAGACCAGAGGTCGCAACCGGGTACCCGATACCCGTACACTGCCTGATACCCGCCGGGTACCCGTTTGCGACCCTGGTGCGGCCAGGTACGGGTAGACCGTGAGTCACTGGTGAGTAACCGTTTGTCACTCATTTCCCAACGTCTTGTCTCTTCTCACAATTCAAGTTCCTAGAATCAACCCACCCACGCCTGCAACATGGCTTCATCCCAGAGGTCGCAATCAGGTACCCGATACCTGTACCCTACCCGTACCCGGCCGGGTACGGGTAGGGTACGGGTACGGCCGGGTACGGGTACCCGTTTGCGACCTTGGTGCGGCCGGGTAGGGGTATGGGTAAGGAATCAAAACCCGTTTGCGACCTCTGATGCAGACTTCACGGAGATGATGCGGGCCTTGGGCTACCCGCGCCTCATCTCAATGGAGAACTTCCGCCAGCCCAACTTCCCGCTGGTGGCCGAGGTCCTCGCGTGGCTCGTGAAGAGGCTGGTTGCCGCACACAGCGCTCAACACACACACAGCGCTCACCACACACAGCGCTCAGCACACACAGCGCTCAACACGCACACAGCGCTCACCACACACAGCGCTCAACACACACACAGCGCTCACCACACACACAGCGCTCAACACACACAGCGCTCAACACACACAGCGCTCAACACACACACGAGACGCGGCAGCGTCACCAGGCTCCTCTCACACGATGCGGGGTCGGGATTCGACTCGCAAACACATTCTTGTCTTTGTGTAACACGTTGTACGTTTAGTGAATGCAAAGTTTACGTGAACTAATTACACGCGACAATCATACTTCATATATTACATGAACACAAAAGTTTTGCTGGCTGGAAGCCGATGCCTCGTTGGTGCCAGTGACACCTGCAGGGGGCAGCGCCAGATTCAGTGCTTCTCCACTCGTCACCTCAAATGGCAGCGGTGCTGCTGCTGCTGGTGGTGTCGGTTTCACCTGTTTTAATTCTAGATTTGAAGCTTTCGTGACTGCAAGGTTTCATACTCTTAGGTTTTTTCTGTAAAGTCACGTAGGTAAAAAATACAATTAAAATTAATAAAAGTAAAATAAAAATCACGACGTTTCGAAGGCAACACAAGCTTCCGTCTTCAGGTGGAACCGTCACAGCACGATTGCTGTATCGAGTAAAGAGGATACTTGATACAGCAAGGAGACACTTGATACAGCAATAGTGCTGTGACGGTTCCACCTGAAGACGGAAGCTTGTGTTGCCTCCGAAACGTCGTGATTTTTATTTTACTTTTATTATTAATTTATTTTTTTACCTACGTGACTTTACCAAAAAAACCTAAGAGTATTCACCTGTTTTGTGACACTGCATGGCCGTAGGTACGAGCCACAGTCGGACATTCCTGCGGACATTGACACGGAGCATGATCGAGTGTTCTTCATCAAGGCGGTGGCCGAGTTTATGGTGAGACTCCCTCCCTCCGTACCTCACTGGGACACGGAGGTCAGTCACTTCTTTCTCGATCGCCATGCGCTGAATTCTCAGCCCTGGTAGCGAGTGACCCTCTGTGCTGACGTATCTTGACCCGTGTCTTGCATTTATATTGAACTGTGGAGGTCGGGCAAAATTCAAGAGGAAAAGGTATTGTGGCGCTATAAGTTTTGGCCAAGATGACCACTACTCTGTGAGCAAAGGTGGATTGGTTTATGCGATGCAACAAATCCAGCACGTGAGCTGAACCCACCGCTAAATCCCCGGTGGTTATCCTCTCGGATGCGTCCCCTCCTCCACCTGCCACGACTTTGTCGTCAGGCTTAATCAGTGGCCTTGTTTGCGACGTTTTCTGCCCAAACCCACTATTATTTAGTCAATACGATGTGCTACTGTACTTGCAATTTCAAGCATGCCTCTGAATGTTTTAGGTTTCGTTTTCTTTTCGTTTGTGGACATGAAAGATCTTGTGATGTTGTTCAAAGAAGGGTAGGCCATTGTATGCTGGAGCCGTGGTCCAAATTTCCCAAATGAGCAAACTGACGTGCAAATCACACAATTGAGAAACACATCAGTCATCACCCGAAACGACAAAACATTATCAGGACCCTCCTGAAACAGCCTTAAGACTCCATAAGGCTTCGCGAGGTAAACAATTGTAATGAATAATGCATTGATGCATCCTCGGGTTCTTTTGGTAAAGTCACGTAGCTGAAAAAAAATTGAAATAACTAAATTAAATCACGACGTTTCGGAAGCAACACAAGCCTCCGTCATCATGTGGGACAACCACAGCAAGAAACAAAAATTACTGTAGTGGGCAAAGAGAGCTGTTTGTGACTAGAGATTATATTATAGCGATGTTGCTTCCGAAAGTCGTGATTTAATTTAGTTATTTCTATTTTTTTTATTCTTATTTTTTTCACCTACATCACTTTTCCCAAAGAACCAAAGCGTATCGATCCTTGCAGTCACGAAAACTTCAAATCTAGAACATTGATGCATCATTATGCCTACAATGATTAGTGTCAAGTTAATCGCTAAAACACCATTGGAACCTCATTTGCCAGTAAAAAATATAATAATAGTTTTTTTTACCCTTCTATCTGGCAACAAAACTGACACCTTTTTTACAAGGAGTCATGTTTGCATAGACCACAATACCTGCAGTCATAATGCAAACAAAAAACATAATTCTGATAATGTGCACTGTCCTTGAAGTTGATTGGTCCACACCCGAGACAGCTTTCCTTAGAGCCTAGTCTCACATGGGTCGTCATCTGGTCCAACCCATGTGAGACTAGGCTCTCGGGAAAGCTATCTCGGGTGTGGACCAATCAACTTCAAGGACAGTGCACATTATCAGAGTTATGTTTTTTGTTTGCATTATGACTGCAGGTATTGTGGTCTATGCAAACATGACTCCTTGTAAAAAAGGTGTCAGTTTTGTCGCTAAAACACCCTTTGCCATTGGAGTGGCCCTCATCGATACACCACGGCTGACAGTGGTGTGGAACTGCACGACAGCGGTGTGCATGAGCGTGTGCTGTTGGGGCCGTGTACCCCCAGGCCACCAAGGCTCACGTCAAGCTGAACACCAAGCGTCTATACCAGGCTGACGGCTACGCGGTGAAGGAGCTGCTCAAGCTGACAAGCGTGCTCTACCACGCCTCGAATGTGCACGCCAGCCAGGGCGATCTGCCCCAGGAGGAGCCCACATTCTCCTTCCAGTTGGGCTCACGCGTATGTCACATTTTCATATTACACAGCCAAACGCCTATGAAATGCTGTAGGGAAGTACACCGAACATCGGGTATTTGTGACCAAGATATCAATGGTGAACCCTTTTAATATTAAGATATCAAAATTAAGTGATTTCCTGATCATCAAGCATTAAGGTCGTGCTCATTTCCAAATACAACACTACAGTCAGTGGTGGAAATTCCACATTCCATTGACAGGGGTGAGTGAATCTAAAAGACAACTGTTGAAGTCCCCACAAAGTGGTACTCATTAAAACGTAGTAAGACTTCAATTGGGTATAATCCATTCTGCATATAATTGTTTCTCAGAGTTGTATGACGTTTTGAAAGTCATAATTAGCAGTGAATAGAATGTTAAATGAAACGTGGCTGCAGCACCTCATTAAATTAAAGCTTTCGTGACTGCAGGGATTCATCTTCTTGGTTCTTTCGGTAAAGTCACGTAGAATGGAAATAATAAAATAATAAAAATAAAACATAATAAAATACAATTCTCACGCCGTTTCGGCCACAACGCAAGCAGCCGTCCTCAGGTGAAGAACAGGTCTGTCGGAAAGACAAGAAGAAAAAAGCACCTCATTAGTTTTAGTAAACGGTCAACTTTGCGGTGCCCGACTCTTGCAGATCACGGATTTCAAGTTGTCGCGGCAACTGGCGTCGGACATCACGAGGAAGGGAGCCGCCCTCTACGACCTCCTGGGCAGGGAGGTGGACCTGCGTGTGAGGACTGCACGGCAGCGACAGTTGTAGCTGCCAGATGCTGTCGGCACAAGAGAGATCATCGCAGTCACAGGACAGCGCACGGCATTCGCTCAACACCTGAGGGATAACCTGTTGGCCCATGCAGGAGCCCTCCCTGTCACCCTTTGTAAATGTTTAATAAGAACCGTGTTTACTTTCGTGTTCCCTGACTGCCTTAAGCCAATTTGTTCACGTAAAAAAAAAAATCACATTCTCCGTACTTGCCTAATCTGGTAACTTTCGATTTAAAGCTTTCGTGACTGCAGGGATTCATCTTCTTGTTTCTTTCGGTAAAGTCACGTAGAAGGGAAGTAATAAAATAATAAAAATAAAACATAATAAAACAATTCTCACGACGTTTCGGCCACAACGCAAGCAGCCGTCTTCAGGTGAAGAATGAGACACTACCAAACTAGGAGCTTATATATAAGCTGCATTGGGGGTTGAAGAGCGCCTTAACAAAAAGAATGTGCATGTGAAGAGGGATTTAGCATATTCATGGAAAATGCGTAGGCGTTGGGCGGGGGGGTGTCAAAGTCATATTATGCCCATGCATTATGCAGGATCAGCAGCAACCAAGGGGGGTGCAGGGATTAGCAGTAACAAAGGAAAGGAATGTTAATGATATGTAGCTGCAGTTACTCAACAACCACGTAGAAAACTAAAGTATAAACTACATAAAAAACTAAAGTATAAACTGCATCGCACCATCAGTATACTTACTATACTCTATAATAAGCTGAGTTACTAACAGCAAGTAATACATTACAATTTTACCTCGTAAAAATTCTATAATATGCTTCCATCTAAACCTTATTCTCTTACATCACACGAGCATATACCGTACTATATACTGCCATAGATAAACCCAACATTAAATTATATACTGTATTGCTGTAAACCAACCTATATCTTATACATTTAATATCACACTATGTATTATTCTACACACCCTAATGTGTATCGAAATGGTTCTGAGATAAGAGCTAAGCTAGTTCTAGACAGAATTCGTTTCGCATTAGAAGAAGTTACAGCAGCAGATGTTAGTGTAAATGCGTTTGGTATTACCTTAGAGTCGCGGCATCTCTTCAGAAAGGTGAGAGACTCGATTAGCTGAGCCTTCTTATCCCGGAGCTTGTTGAAGGATCTCAAAGTTATGTGGAAACCCTCCCCGTAGAGGCGGTTAAATTTCGATTTAAAGCTTTCGTGACTGCAGGGATTCATCTTCTTGTTTCTTTCGGTAAAGTCACGTAGAAGGGAAGTAATAAAATAATAAAAATAAAACATAATAAAACAATTCTCACGACGTTTCGGCCACAACGCAAGCAGCCGTCTTCAGGTGAAGAATGAGACACTACCAAACTAGGAGCTTATATATAAGCTGCATTGGGGGTTGAAGAGCGCCTTAACAAAAAGAATGTGCATGTGAAGAGGGATTTAGCATATTCATGGAAAATGCGTAGGCGTTGGGCGGGGGGGTGTCAAAGTCATATTATGCCCATGCATTATGCAGGATCAGCAGCAACCAAGGGGGGTGCAGGGATTAGCAGTAACAAAGGAAAGGAATGTTAATGATATGTAGCTGCAGTTACTCAACAACCACGTAGAAAACTAAAGTATAAACTACATAAAAAACTAAAGTATAAACTGCATCGCACCATCAGTATACTTACTATACTCTATAATAAGCTGAGTTACTAACAGCAAGTAATACATTACAATTTTACCTCGTAAAAATTCTATAATATGCTTCCATCTAAACCTTATTCTCTTACATCACACGAGCATATACCGTACTATATACTGCCATAGATAAACCCAACATTAAATTATATACTGTATTGCTGTAAACCAACCTATATCTTATACATTTAATATCACACTATGTATTATTCTACACACCCTAATGTGTATCGAAATGGTTCTGAGATAAGAGCTAAGCTAGTTCTAGACAGAATTCGTTTCGCATTAGAAGAAGTTACAGCAGCAGATGTTAGTGTAAATGCGTTTGGTATTACCTTAGAGTCGCGGCATCTCTTCAGAAAGGTGAGAGACTCGATTAGCTGAGCCTTCTTATCCCGGAGCTTGTTGAAGGATCTCAAAGTTATGTGGAAACCCTCCCCGTAAATTTAACCGCCTCTACGGGGAGGGTTTCCACATAACTTTGAGATCCTTCAACAAGCTCCGGGATAAGAAGGCTCAGCTAATCGAGTCTCTCACCTTTCTGAAGAGATGCCGCGACTCTAAGGTAATACCAAACGCATTTACACTAACATCTGCTGCTGTAACTTCTTCTAATGCGAAACGAATTCTGTCTAGAACTAGCTTAGCTCTTATCTCAGAACCATTTCGATACACATTAGGGTGTGTAGAATAATACATAGTGTGATATTAAATGTATAAGATATAGGTTGGTTTACAGCAATACAGTATATAATTTAATGTTGGGTTTATCTATGGCAGTATATAGTACGGTATATGCTCGTGTGATGTAAGAGAATAAGGTTTAGATGGAAGCATATTATAGAATTTTTACGAGGTAAAATTGTAATGTATTACTTGCTGTTAGTAACTCAGCTTATTATAGAGTATAGTAAGTATACTGATGGTGCGATGCAGTTTATACTTTAGTTTTTTATGTAGTTTATACTTTAGTTTTCTACGTGGTTGTTGAGTAACTGCAGCTACATATCATTAACATTCCTTTCCTTTGTTACTGCTAATCCCTGCACCCCCCTTGGTTGCTGCTGATCCTGCATAATGCATGGGCATAATATGACTTTGACACCCCCCCGCCCAACGCCTACGCATTTTCCATGAATATGCTAAATCCCTCTTCACATGCACATTCTTTTTGTTAAGGCGCTCTTCAACCCCCAATGCAGCTTATATATAAGCTCCTAGTTTGGTAGTGTCTCATTCTTCACCTGAAGACGGCTGCTTGCGTTGTGGCCGAAACGTCGTGAGAATTGTTTTATTATGTTTTATTTTTATTATTTTATTACTTCCCTTCTACGTGACTTTACTGGTAACTTTCCTTTCCATAATTTATATATTTCTTGTATATTTAAATGTTTTAAGAGCAATTCATCATCTTACGTAGCCGTATTCATATTTTGCTAGACATTTTAGTCTAGATGGGTTTTTTTTAAACATTGTGTCCTTAAATGATCTTGTAAAGTAGGCAATAATGTTTCATAGGTCTCAATGAGTTTATTTAATCTTCTGGTTCAAAATAGGAAACGGACTGGTCCCCTGGCAGAAGTGCTGCATTGTTCTATCCTGCCTCTTACCTGATCCAGGCCTCCACGCCGACATTGTGCTGGTGAGGTGCGAGTGTTCACGTGGGACGCCGTGCTTTGCGTGCAGGATTTGCGGACGAGCGCCATCGCACGACCCCTAGAGATGGCCGAGACGGAGAAAACCTTGCGCGCTGCCATCAAGGGGGTGGTGGTACGACACCGCACTCAGCCCACAACACTTGGCTCCATACGCAGTGTGTGTACGACGCACACAGCACGCCCGGCTGTGCGGTGCAGTAAGTCACACGGCTATGAATGTGAACTCTGCTAGAACACCATTGGTACCTCATTTGCCAGTAAAAAATATGATAATTGGTTTTTTACCCTTTTATCTGGCAACAAAACTGACACCTTTTTTTTACAAGGAGTCATGTTTGCATAGACCACAATACCTGCAGTCATAATGCAAAAAAAACACAACTCTGATAATGTATGCACTGTCCTTGAAGTTGATTGGTCCACACCCGAGACAGCTTTCCTTAGAGCCTAGTCTCACATGGGTTGGACCAGATGACGCCAAAAGTTTTTTGTTTGCATTATGACTGCAGGTATTGTGGTCTATGCAAACATGACTCTTCGTAAAAAAGGTGTCAGTTTTGTCGCCAGATAAAAGGGTAAAAAAACAATTATCAACTCTGCTAGAAGCCAGGGGAACACACTGTGGACAACTGTACATGCTCGTAGAGTAACATTATTAAAGTATAAAAGTTGTTGATATGCAGCTTATCTTTGTTCACTAGGCAATCTTGACACGACACACTCGTGTACCGAATATATATTTCTCTGCACACAAACTATATTTGCATGTACGTTTAGCTCGCTTTGTGGATTCGGTTTGTGCGATTTTGCATATATTTGGCTAGCCTATTTATACCCAAACTTCTCTATGTGCAGTTTGAATTCAATCTACATGTGGCTATTCGGTTGGATGTGGGACAACATTGTGTTTACTCTATGCAGCTGTCTTGTGCGGTATCGTTTTGTGCGCCCTTTTTACGGAGCGCATCTACCGCATAAAGCGAGAGAAACTTGTATACCCTCGCCAACACTTTCTATCCTCCATCCGATGCCGCAATTGTACGGCAGAGACGTAACCTCCAAAATCCGCATGAACAGAATCCCACCACCTGGCCTTGTGGAGACCACTCTAACGTCTTTGTCGGCAATTGACGCTCCGTCGTCTTGCCATGGAATTCCTAGCACACGTCTCGCGCTCATCGATTCACACGTTCATTCTAGATTTGAAGCTTTCGTGACTGCAAGGATTCATATTCTTAGGTTTTTTCGGTAAAGTCACGTAGGTAAAAACAAAGGCTCAGCCTTTGTTATGCAGTCTATTCTTAGTCTTAAGCCTCACCTTACCATATTAATAAAAAGTATGCGGTCCTTGCCCCACCACCTTCTCCAACCATTATATAAACGGAGTGGTAGCTCCTGTAATCTCTCATTTACTTGATACAGCTGTCGTGGCTGTGATGATACCACCTGAAGACGGAAGCTTGTGTTGCCTCCGAAACGTCGTGATTTTTATTTTATTTTACTTTTTAATGTTTTTACCTACGTGACTTTACCGAAAAAACCTAAGAATATTCACACGTTCAATTTAATTCAACCGCGTGAGGATCTCACATCACAGCGGTACGCAACGAGGAGGCTCCTGCTGAGCTGCGTTTGCTCCGCAGCCAGCAAGTTGTGGGTGTTCAATTCCAGGACGAAGTGGAGAAGACAAAGCGCATGTTGGAGAACGTGGCTTCTGACGAGGCCAACCTGGACTCCAAGATTGAAAAACGCCGAGCAGAGCTGGAGAGGAGCCACAAGAGGCTTCAGACCCTGCACACCGTCAGGTCTACTTGCCGTGCATGTCGAGCGTCTGCGAGTCTCTCTTTGCGTAGGGCAACCACTGTTGACTTCCCCACAAAGTGGGACAGTAAAAGCTTGGATTGCGAGCATAATTCGTTCCGGAAACGTGCTTGTGATCCAAAGCACTTGTATATCAAAGCGAATTTCCCCGTAAGAGATGATGGAAACTCGGATGATTCGTTCCACAATCCAAAAATATTCGTGTAAAAATGATTGATACAAAATAGCTCTCTATATTTTTATTTTTTAAATTGAATATAAAGTAATCAAATTTATTAATTACATTTAATCGTGGCTGGTTTGAGGGAGACGAGAGAGAGGAGAGGAGGGTTATTGTGTAGGACGACTTTCACTTGCAGTACAATTACTAAAGAACAGTCACTACACTTGGACACAAAATAAAAAAATGCTTTACGCACACACAATTGGTCACAACACTATAGCAAACAGTCTACAGTACGCTCGCACGGATGTTGACTATACGAGTGAGGCACGCTGACTGAGACCGAGCATGGGAGACGATTACCCACAATCCCGCAGCGAGAGAGAGAAGAACCATCGGCTCAGTTGTGATCACGTGACGCTCGGCAGACAAAGCGTATACTGTACGTACTACTCGTATTGCAAGACCTCGCTCGTTTATCAAGTTAAAATTTATCTAAATGTTTTGCTCGTCTTGCAAAACACTCGCAGACCAAGGAACTCGCAATCCAAGGTTTTACTGTACTCATTTGATCAAGCGAGGGGGAATTGTGGGTCGAGTCAACCCCCGACCAGGATTTGAACTTGCAACCTTCTGATTGTGAGCCGCTTGTTCTACCGCTGAGCCACTTGGCCAGATAAAATATACTGTAATAATAATTATAATTAAATAATAACGCGACTACACACATATATATAGCTTACAAATATTAAAGCACTTGGGATGTAAAATGGTACCACGTAAGGTAAAATTAGGAAGCAAAATACACTTTTATAATCTACACAGCCTCCGCATAATGGTTTTTGATATTCACTAGTCTCTTCCAGAATCACATTTTTTGTATGCAGTGACTGGTGAAAAGTCTTCAATCTGTCTCGAGAGGGGAATGTGTGAGGGTGAGAGGTGCAAGCCAGGTGAACGTCTCTTGCCTCATGCGATTCACAGAGCCCACTCGGCTGTCGTGGCGAGTGTGTGTGTGTGGGCGCGCTGAGGTTGCGGTGAGCGAGAGTGACTCCCGTCCCCTCTTCCTCCGCGTGCGCCCAGGCCGGCGTTCATGGACGAGTACGAGGCTGTGGAAGCGGAGCTGCAGATTAACTACACCGCGTTTGTGGAGAAGTTCCGCAACCTGGCATTCCTGGAGCAGCAGCTGAACGAGCAGCGCCGTGCGGAGCAGGACAAGTTTGAGGTGGGAGGAGTGGAAGTGAGCGGAGTGCGGCGTGCGGCTTGCATGCGAGAAACTCGTGCAGTGTTTATTCCAGGAGCGTGATTGTCTGCACACTATTTATTCTATCAGATACGGAAGTATTTTGTGCTGGATGTGTATATAACACATTCCTGCGGAGGGACGCTGGTAGGAACGTTGAGTTGCTCGGTCAATGGCCAGGGTCAACGGCGGCGTGGTGTATTCCGCAAATATGCCCGACTGTGAGGGCGGGCACAAGCCGGCGTGAGTAGGTTAAATGTTGAGTTTTATAAGGGCACCACGGGGTGACCAGCCCCGCCCCACCCAGCCCCACCCCTCCCACCCCCCACCCAGCCCCTCCCCACCCAGCCCCTCCCCATTCTCCCCACTCAGACCCTCCCCACCCAGCCCCTCCCTGCACGACTGACGGACACAATAATCCCCTGTGGGCTGGTGGAACCAGTGGGTTTGCATTTCAGAAGTCGTACACATTTCACGGATTCCGCGGGAAACTATTCTTTGAAACTCTTGGCTCATTTGACTAAATACATCCCATGATGAAGGCATGGTTAATAAAAACATGGTTAAGTAAACCAAAAACCTAGAAATTATTTAGATTTTTGTTCATGTTTCACTGATGTTTCAAATTATGTGCCCTTTAGTTCAATTTCTGCAGCTCCCTTGCCAATGAACTTGTGAAATCTGCCATGTCTGGAATGTTCCGAGTGTTCTTTATATCCTTGTTACATTCTTTCAGAATATGCAGATAATTGTTGCAGTGATTAAATAAAAATGTGTAGTCGCTGGCCATTATATTTGCTTTCATACAACGACGAGGGAAGGTGACTTGGCCAAGTGGTAGCACATTCTTCGCTTGTTAGGTTAGCAGTTCGATTAGACAAGCCACCTGATTAATAATGCGATGTATATATTTACCACACAATACCACGTGCCGTCTGCTTCACAGTGGACATCAAATATCCTGTGGCGTCATTCGAAGGATATTAGCCCATGTGCTGGCATCGTGGTCCAAATTTACATCATTGGGAAAATTACACCGCAACTCAATTTGGAAACGGCAATTGTCACTCCGAACTGTGAAAACTGGTGTCATAATATTAATTCCACATAATTGTTACAATGTAGTGTTCATGCTTATCTGAGCACTATCCAGCAGTGGGATTGGACCATCGCCTTTCCGTCTGCAGTGCAACACGACAGGACCACAGAGCTGTGCGAGAGCGTTTTGGGGGAAGTGCCTGAAACCAGGAGCCAATGAACCTTGACTTTACACCATTGGTACCTCTTCTTGGTTCTTTCGGTAAAGTCACGTAGAAGGAAAATAATAAAAATAAAACATAATAAAATAATTCTCACGACGTTTCGGCCACAACGCAAGCAGCCGTCGTCAGGTGGAGAACAGGTCTGTCGAGAAGGCAGAGTCTGAATGGCACGCCCCAGGCTTGGAGCGACTTTATGCTGGGATGGAGGGGCGAAGAGCGTCTTGACAACATAATTTGCATATCAAGAGGAATTTAGCATATTTATGGAAAATGCAGATATGCGATTAGTACTACTTGTGAAATGCGTAGGTTTGGCCATGCATTATGCAGGATTAGCAGTATCAAAGGGAGGGAGTAAGGTTAGAATTAATAAAGGGAAGGAATGTTAATAATGGTACCTCATTTGCCAGTAAAATAATAGATAAGTTTTTTTTTTACTGGCAAATGAGGTACCAATGGTGTAAATGCTTACCCCGAGCTCTCATACTCTGATGGTGCATTGTCTTTGAGTTGTGCGCCTTCTGGCGTCATCTGGTCCAACCCATGTGAGACTAGGCTCTAAGGAAAGCTGTCTCGGGTGTGGACCAATCAACTTCAAGGACAGTGCATACATTATCAGAGTTATGTGTTTTGTTTGCATTATGACTGCAGGTATTGTGGTCTATGCAAACATGACTCCTCGTAAAAAAGGTGTCAGTTTTGTTGCCAGATTAAAGGGTAAAAAAACAATTATCAAACCTTGACTTTATTAAGGATTGCCACCCGTAGGCCAGTGGTGTGTGCTTTGTGCAAGCAGGGTGTCTCACAGAGGGGAGTGTGGTGAGCAGGAGGCAGAGAACACTCTGAAGCTGATGCAGAGTAAGCTGAAAGAGGAAGAGAAGCGGCTGCTAAAGCACCGTGGAGAATTCTCAGGTACCCTGCGTTCATCACTCGCTGTGTGATGATGCTCATTGCTTACCCTGGAATGGTTTGGGGAATGGCCCTTCTTCACAGCGCAGTGGAGAAGGTAAATTACACTGAAAAGACTCTTCAGAAGTATAAAGTGTGATCTTCAAATACAAGTATGTCAATCGGCCTGTGTCTTGCATTTCTACTCTGTGTAAGGACCAATGCCTAAAATATCAGTATAGTATACACTTTGTTGTGAGGTAGTGCTGTTTATGAATGCCGAGGGGGGTGTTGTAGTTATGCCAACGCATTCCCAGAAGGCTGGGGGAAAAGCCGCTCTGTGTGTGTCCCTCTGTGTGTGTCCGCAGACAATGAGGAGGACTCGGAGCTGGAAATGGTTCCGGGAAACGAGAGCGAGGAGAGCGAAGAGGATGTCCGGCCCAACAAGCCTCGTCTCGCCCTACGGAGCCAGAACCTACGGCCTGGTACGCAAATCCCGTGAACCTGTGAACGCACGTGCTCGACGCTCGGATGAGGTGCTCGCCGACCAGCGCTGCTACACTCTTGTGCATGTGCAGACGGTCGCACGTGCACACCCACGTTCTTCCACATTCACGGTGATAGATTGCACGTTTAATTTGTGAAATGTTTAAACAAAACGAATCTCTCAACGTTCTTGAAATAATCAAACATTATTGGAACTGTATGTATTCTGTATGTATTCACCGTTGGTGTGTTGATGCTCTTCGCATAACAACAATACAAAACACGGGGCATGTTACAACGTTTTAAACATTAAGACTTTGCTCATGTTTAAATCCTAAACGATTAACACCCCTATTCCATGCTGTAATTTTAGCTGTGACGGTCCCACCTGATGACGGAAACTTGTGTTGCCTCCGAAACGTCGTGATTTATTATTTTATTTCTATTATTACTTTTAGTAATTTTTTATTTTATTTTTTTACCTACGTGACTTTACTGAAAAAACCTAAGAGTACCATTCCATGCTGTTTCTTGCTGACGTGGCCTGCCTGTGCATAATGAGAGCAAACACTCGAGTTTGCATACTTGCTAATTGAGCTTCTATCAACCTGTATTACACGATGCTGCTGTCACTTGTTTGACTCGGGTCACCCTGGTAAGAGGCCTCGATGTGTCAGTGACTTCTCACCTGAAGGGAAGTTGACGATGACACCGAATTGTGTGCATGTGTAGGATATGGCGCTTCTCTCGTGCGAGGAACCATGCAGGGGGGAGACACAGAGGATGAGGTAAACCACATCGTTAAGCCTATTCCCATCACCTCTTCATCTACCTGGCTCACAGCATCACCTCAGTCCTGCTCTAACGCAACTTACTCGACATCTTCACCACCGGAGGTGCTCTCACGCTGTGTATCACTGGGCATGTAACGATAGATCGAATACATAAATTCAAACTATCTTACGCCCGCAAAACACGTCTAAAATCTTGAAAATGATATTCTATTAGGCTCAACGCAAATGACATAAAAATGAAATGCGAATTTGACAATTAACATATCATTCAAATGATATGCTAAATGTGACAAGCTTTATGGGACAAATCTGTATAAACAAGGCACAAAAAAAAGATAAATAATTGATTCTTGATTTGAGTAGCAATCTGTAGTCGGGCTATTTTATTGAATCGTGGATGTTGAATCGTTACCATGCCAACGCACCACCTCTCAGCAAAACGACATCATTGGCGCAAACTTAACCCCATCATTGCTTAACGGTGTAGTACGCCGTTAAGCAGAGGTCGCAATCGGGTACCCAATACCCGTACCCTACCCGATACCCGGCTACCCGTACCCAGCCGGGTACGGGTACCCGTTTGCGACCCTGGTGCGGCCGTGTACGGGTAAGCCGTGAGTCACTGGTGAGTCACCGTTTGTCACTCATTTCCCAACGTCTTGTCTCTTCTCACAATTCAAGTTCCTAGAATCAACCCACCCACGCCTGCAACATGGCTTCATCCCAGAGGTCGCAATCGGGTACCCGTACCCTACCCGATACCCAGCCGGGTACGGGTATCGGGTAGGGTACGGGTACCCGATTGCGTCCCTGGTGCGGCCGGGTACGGGTAAGGAATCAAAACCCATTTGCGACCTCTGCCGTTAAGCGGAAGGGGACATGCGCTTCGGCATGTGGTTTTGTCTCTGTCCGCAATGTTCATGCTCTGGTTGTCCTCGGTTGCACTCTCTCTGTCCAAGCCTTCCCTGTTCGCCGGCAGAAAGGTACTACGGCCCAAGGAGGGCAGCGCGCAGGTGTGTGCAAGTGATCTGACCTCTCAGAGAGATCAGAGGCAACGATACACTCGAGCAATTGCAAAAGAAAATCCCAACCACAATCTTACGAGATCGCCCACCCATCATGTCACACCCACGCACTGTCACCCACCTCCACCCCCCCCCCCCCGTCATGTCCACCAGCACGAATTCCGCTCGCTGCCTGTGGTCCAGCCACCCACCACCACTCATTTTCATTGGTTGTGAATGCACTTGAAAACTCCCATTGGCAATGAATGCACTGGAAATCAAGCTGCTTGTAATGTGCCATCGTACCTGTTCTGCTTGGCTTCTTTGTTATTTAAATTTTATGAGCTCTGCATTGAATCTAATCCGGAGACCGGATGTTGATCAAATCTGATGCTGTAGCTGAAAGTATCACTCACACTGAAGGTCCCATTTCCAACACAGTTGCGTGTAAACCAATTACCTACGACGATGTCCCACTCAATTATTCTCTCTAAAAAGGCATTCTCGCTGCTATTATGCAGAATCCTATGGCCCTTGTTACACACACCCTTTACACTGGGTATGGCTGCAGTCCTGCCACATGGGTGCCAAGGCTTTGTGTGACGTCGGCAGATCTGTGTGGCCCCAACCTATAGCTGTGCTGTCATCAATGTATGAATTTGAGATGCAGGACCACCAAGGCATTGTGAATTTGATGCGCAAAAACCCCTCCCAGTTCCTGGTGATGAGAATGGATGGCAGCAGAGCGCAGTGATCGACGGTTTTAGTAATGAGATGCGTGCTCCCGTTCTTTACAGGATGACAGTGGAACCATCAGCAACAGTGAAGAGGATGAGGAAGACGAGGGAGATGAAGATGACGACGATGATGTTGAGGATATGGGTGGCATTGCTGGTGTGGAGCATGGCCCCCTCCGCCCCCGTGGGCGTGGAGGCCCCACACCTAGGAAACCCAATCCACTCCCCGAGAGCGACAATGACTTCTGATCCCCCGTCAGAGATCAGATGCAGCTAGACACACGAGTCATTACAATGTTTCGATTTAAAGCTTTTGTGACTGCAGGGATTCATCTTCTTGGTTCTTTCGGTAAAGTCACGTAGAAGGGAAATAATAAAATAATAAAAATTAAACATAATAAAATAATTCTCACGACGTTTCGGCCACAACGCAAGCAGCCGTCCTCAGGTGAAGACCAGGTCTGTCGGGAAGACAGCGTCTGAATGAAACACCCCAGGCTTGGAGCGTATATTTAAGCTGGGTTGGAGGGGGAAGAGCGCCTTGACAAAATAATTTGCATATCAAGAGGAATTTAGCATATTGCTGCTTGCGTTGTGGCCGAAACGTCGTGAGAATTATTTTATTATGTTTAATTTTTATTATTTTATTATTTCCCTTCTACGTGACTTTACCGAAAGAACCAAGAAGACACTACAACGTTGTCTAAACGACCACCACCAGCTGACCCTGTCACAGAAGGATGACTATCACGTGCTCATGCTGTCACACCCACCATCACCCACCCAGGTTTGGCTTCTGAGTAGCGGTGTGACCAAGCACCGTTTCATCAATCAATGTCCATTTTGAAGACCTTTGCATTTATTCACATGGTAATTTATGCTTTTCTATTCACGCAAATTACACTCGAATGATATGCTGTTACATTTAAGCTGACGAAGCAAACACAAGTGTACAAACGACAGAAGAAATGATAAATTACAAGATGAAACATTTGGCCAAAATGAATCAATTCTTGAAATGAATTGTGGCCCTGAATCGCGAAAATTGAGTGGCCGGGGTGTGGGTGAATCAATGTGCCCCTCATCGAATGTTACGACGAGCACTTAGCGACTGAAACTGTGATGTATTCTTTGCATTGGGCTCGCTGACAACGATACTGACTTGCCGATGTAGCAAGGATGGCTTTAGACGAGCGTGTGGCTGTAACTCTCCTGGTTTATACAACTGTGTTTCACATTTCTATTTAAACGTGATCCGTAATTCATTAAGCGGTTAAAGCAAACCTTTTGTTACGTATCCCAAATCTAGGCCTCAAATTAACCATTTGCCTATTTGTCTTACGTAATGAACATTTAATACTCATTTACACCATTGGAACCTCATTTGCCATTAAAAAATATGATAATTGGTTTTTTACCCTTCTATCTGGCAACAAAACTGACACCTTTTTTACAAGGAGTCATGTTTACATAGACCACAATACCTGCAGTCATAATGCAAACAAAAAACATAACTCTGATAATGTGCACTGTCCTTGAAGTTGATTGGTCCACACCCGAGACAGCTTTCCTTAGAGCCTAGTCTCACATGGGTTGGACCAGATGACACCAAAAGGCGTACAACTCAAGGACAATGATCCATCAGAGTATGGAAAGCTGTCTTGGGTGTGGACCAATCAACTTCAAGGACAGTGCACATTATCAGAGTTATGTTGTTTGCATTATGACTGCAGGTATTGTGGTCTATGTAACATGACTCCTTGTAAAAAAGGTGTCAGTTTTGTTGCCAGATAGAAGGGTAAAAAACAATTATCATTTAATACTCAACAATAGCATTCCATAATATTTTGCACACGTCAGAACAAGTCAGAAGGATTGATCAAAAATGTTGTGTAGTGTCTGGTTAAGTTGTGCGCTACCATTCCCGTACTGTATAAGTTAATTCATTACATAAAGTGGTGACGACCGCGAAATCCACGTTAATCGTTTTTATCTTCCAGGCCAGTGGTCGCATGCAGCCCTTGGAGGGCTGCTTCGTGACGCTTTGTGAAGGAGCGTCTCTTTGTAATCGCATGTATTGCATCTCTTGAACATTTTTTTTTAACCGAATTAGAAACAAATGTCTCGTCTTGTTATTTCGGTTGCCGACCCCCATTCAAGGCATTTGGATTTATTCCTTCGAGTTTACCTAATCAACTGCTATGAGAAAAGTAATTCGACTTTGTACGAATTGATGCAGTGATACAAGCTCTTGTAAGCCAAGATCCAAATAAGATTATATAAATATACTGTATTTACTCAACCCCGCCCCACGTCTTTCCGAAAATGGACTTTCCTTTGCCCGTGTAACTACCTTCAATGTTTCTCTGCCTCAGATTCTTGGCTTCACCGCTCAGATTATTGGGTTTCAGTTTCTGTTTCTTTGTTTTTCTTCTAGTTTTCAGAAAATATTTCACTGCTTGAACCCTCCTATTAGCACTTTTTGGTTATGTATGGTGCGAAAGAAGGTCAACATAAACATAATAACAATAACCTGCCTACTCACCCTGTCTCACTCAAATCAACTTCGCCTAGAGTTGCTAAGTCTCACGTAAAAAATTAGCGCTGTCTTTAAACACAAGCCAAAGTTACCTGCCATGTACATCACCTCGCAAATTCATATGTGCAGATGACATAGTCCTTGCTGCACAGGGCGCACACCTCGAGAACACTACCAAACACATTCCTGCGGAGGGAGCTGGTAGGAACATTGGGTTGCTCGGTCAATGGCCAGGGTCAACGGCGGCGTGGTGTATTCCGCAAATATGGCCGATTGTGAGGGCGGGCACAAGCCGGCGTGAGTAGGTTAAACGTTGAGTTTTATAAGGGCACCACGGGGTGACCAGCCCCTCCTCACCCAGCCCCATCCAGCCCCGCCCCACCCAGCCCCTCCCTGCACGACGGACACAATAATTCCCTGTGGGCTGGTGTAACCAGGAGGTTCCTACCAGTGTAATTTTATTTGAGCCTTATTTCTGTCGCTGGAGAATCTGACCATATCCTAGAACCACCACAAGCACTTTCCACCTGAACAATCGCACAGCATATTGCCACCCTTCATGCGTCCTGTGGTAACCCAGTCCGCTATGACCCCACACTAAGATTAGTACGGTTGGCTACGTCCCGTGCGAATGGATTTCAACATACACCTCGGGGTTATGTATAGAAGCCGGACCTTCAAATCAAGAATCACTGTTTCAGCAATTTGCAGGAACAACATCGCGCCCCTCGGCTGATCTATTGCAAACTACCCCCGTCGTTTTCACCGATCTACTCGGTGGCACAGTGTTTGTGCTCCAGTCGGTTCCAAGAAGCACTTACATAAAACTGCTAGAGATGCACATTTGAATAACGAGACACGCATCATAACCGGAGCACTGCAACCGACACCAATGCCCTAACTCTGCCATGGTGAGCATTGATAATTGGTTTTTTACCCTTCTATCTGGCAACAAAACTGGCACCTTTTTTACAAGGAGTCATGTTTACATAGACCACAATACCTGCAGTCATAATGCAAACAAAAAACATAACTCTGATAATGTGCACTGTCCTTGAAGTTGATTGGTCCACACCCGAGACAGCTTTCCTTAGAGCCTAGTCTCACATGGGTTGGACCAGATGACGCCAAAAGGCGCATTATGACTGCATGTATTGTGGTCTGTGTAAACATGACTCCTTGTAAAAAAGGTGTCAGTTTTGTTGCCAGATAGAAGGGTAAAAAACCAATTATCATATTTTTTACTGGCAAATGAGGTTCCAATGATGGTGAGCATTGTCACCAAATATCCGCAAAAACTTGCAAACTGCAAGGGCGTTGACATGTTTTCTTGCCGAAGAGAACCCATCGACCCATCGACCAAGGTGTCTGGACGATGTTTCTCTCGCCGTTCTTCCCGTCTCAAATCCTTTCTGGGATCGCGCTATGCTGCTGCTCCTGTCACCATCCCAGAATCTCACCCAGATACGGAGAGAAAAAAAAACGCTGGCAAACAGTGTGGAACAACGCGGACGTCCAGAATAAACATCGCATTCGAGACTCGTAAAGATACAGACTCGTAGAGACACACATTCCACAAGTAGGGACTAATCCCATATCGTAGAGACATACATTCCACAAGTAGTGACTAATCCCATATCTGCATTTTCCATAAATATGCTAAATTAATCTGTTGATATGCAAATTCCTTTGTCAAGGCGCTCTCCTCCTCTAACCCAGCTTGAATATACGCTGCGAAGCTTGGTGGTGTTCATTCGGACGCTGTCTTTCCGACAGCCCTGTTCTTCACCTGAGGACGGCTGCTTGCGTTGTGGCCGAAACGTCGTGAGAATTTTATTTAAAATGTAATTTTATTATTTTTGTTTTCTTTTTACAAGTGTAATATGTTTAATATTTATTATTTAATTATGTTTCATATTTATTATTTAACCATGTTGTGTTTTATTATTTAATTATGTATTATTTTTATTATTTATGTTTTATTTTTTATAATTTTATTATGTTTGATTTTTATTATTTTATTATGTTTTATTTAAAATTGTATTTTATGTAAAAACATTTTTATTTTATTATTTCCCTTCCACGTGACTTTACCGAAAGAACCAAGAAGACATACGTACCGTGTCAACCCACACGGTTTTCCCCGTATTCTTGTACAGAGAATTTAAAACTTTGCAGGTCCACACGAACGCGCGCTCCGTCAACGAACCATCGAAACGACGTGAACTCTCTCCTGCCAAGGCGCAAGACAACACAACCCACACCACGAGATGTCGTGTGGAGGGCAGGGGAAGACCATTGCACTCACGCGAGACCGCCGACGAAGCCTCACTCACAATCACCCACGCAGACCCTGACCCCTGACCAAGATGGCCGCAACATCCGGTCATGGGTCTGTTAACGTCACGGATGTGCGCCCCTTGACCCGGATGTGGTAGGGGCGCTTCTCGCGGGTGCTTGTGGGGGCGGCGTGGTCTGCGCGTGCAGAGGTCGCGTCCCGTCGCGTGGTGGTTTGAGCAGCAGCAGCAGCGAGGAGGAGAGAGCGTGTTTGTTGATACTCGTGGTGGTGTTTGGTGATACTCTTGGTGGTGGTTTGTTGATACTCGTGGTGGTGTTTGTTGATACTCGTGGTGGTGGTGTTTGTTGATACTCGTGGTGGTGGTCCTGCTCGTGGTGGTGGTGCTCGTGGTGCTCGTGGTGCTGCTGCTGCTGCTGGAGGAGAGTGCCGAGGCCGGGCGCGGTACTCCAAGCCGGACTAAGACCAGGGACCCGTCCAGTGTCATTCTCTCCTCCTCCTCTCTCTCTGTCACCGTCACCCGTCTCGCCGCACGATGCTGGGGGCGCTGCGCTTCTGCCGCCAGCTGAGCAGGTAATGAAGGGTACGCGGCGAGAGGCTGGGCTGGGGTTAGACACAGACACTGGGCCATGGTGAGAGACTGGGGTTAGACACAGACACTGGGGTTAGACACAGACACTGGGTCATGGTGAGAGACTGGGGTTAGACTCAGACACTGGGTCATGGTGAGAGACTGGGGTTAGACTCAGACACTGGGTCATGGTGAGAGACTGGGGTTAGACTCAGACACTGGGCCATGGTGAGAGACTGGGGTTAGACACAGACACTGGGCCATGGTGAGAGACTGGGGTTAGACACAGTCACTGGGCCATGGTGAGAGACTGGGGTTAGACACAAACACTGGGTCATGGTGAGAGACTGGGGTTAGACACAGACACTGGGCCATGGTGAGAGACTAGGGTTAGACTGAGACACTGGGCCATGGTGAGAGACTGGGGTTAGACACAGACACTGGGCCATGGTGAGAGACTGGGGTTAGACACAGACACTGGGCCATGGTGAGAGACTAGGGTTAGACACAGACACTGGGCCATGGTGAGAGACTAGGGTTAGACTGAGACACTGGGCCATGGTGAGAGACTGGGGTTAGACACAGACACTGGGCCATGGTGAGAGACTGGGGTTAGACACAGACACTGGGCCATTATGAGAGACTGGGGTTAGACACAGACACTGGGCCATGGTGAGAGACTGGGGTTAGACACAGACACTGGGCCATGGTGAGAGACTGGGGTTAGACACAGACACTGGGCCATGGTGAGAGACTGGGGTTAGACTCAGACACTGGGCCATGGGGAGAGACTGGGGTTAGACTCAGACACTGGGCCATGGTGAGAGACTGGGGTTAGACTCAGACACTGGGTCATGGTGAGAGACTGGGGTTAGACTCAGACACTGGGCCATGGTGAGAGACTGGGGTTAGACACAGACACTGGGCCATGGTGAGAGACTGGGGTTAGACACAGACACTGGGCCATGGTGAGAGACTGGGGTTAGACACAGACACTGGGCCATGGTGAGAGACTGGGGTTAGACACAGACACTGGGCCATGGTGAGAGACTGGGGTTAGACACAGACACTGGGCCATGGTGAGAGACTGGGGTTAGACACAGACACTGGGCCATGGTGAGAGACTGGGGTTAGACACAGACACTGGGCCATGGTGAGAGACTGGGGTTAGACTCAGACACTGGGCCATGGGGAGAGACTGGGGTTAGACTCAGACACTGGGCCATGGTGAGAGACTGGGGTTAGACACAGACACTGGGTCATGGTAAGAGACTGGGGTTAGACACAGACACTGGGCCATGGGGAGAGACTGGGGTTAGACTCAGACACTGGGCCATGGTGAGAGACTGGGGTTAGACTCAGACACTGGGTCATGGTGAGAGACTGGGGTTAGACACAGACACTGGGCCATGGGGAGAGACTGGGGTTAGACACAGACACTGGGTCATGGTGAGAGACTGGGGTTAGACACAGACACTGGGTCATGGTGAGAGACTGGGGTTAGACTCAGACACTGGGCCATGGTGAGAGACTGGGGTTAGACACAGACACTGGGTCATGGTGAGAGACTGGGGGTTAGACTCAGACACTGGGCCATGGTGAGAGACTGGGGTTAGACACAGACACTAGGTCATGGTGAGAGACTGGGGTTAGACACAGACACTGGGTCATGGTGAGAGACTGGGGTTAGACACAGACACTGGGCCACCGTAAGAGACGTGCTGTTTCCACAGGCAGGGAGGTGTTCCCTGCGCCCTGCGCTGCCTGGGCACCTCGTCTCTGCGACCCGCGGACGCACTCGCGGCGCCGCCCCTGGACGGGGACCCTCACGAATTCTCGCCAAAGGTCCAGCAGCTCGTGAGCGACATCACGAGCCTCAGCCTCCTCGAGGTGGCGGACCTGAACAAGCTGCTCAAGGTACGCCGCGCCCTCCACTGCCGCCTTGAGATGATGGTGTCCGCGCCTTGAGATGATGTCTGCGCATTCACGCGTCGCTTGTCGTGTCCTCGCAGAAAACTCTGAACATCCAGGACGTGGGCTTTATGCCGATGGCTGCTGCCACCTCGGCCGCAGCGCCTGCCGAGGCGGTGAGTGGCGACACCTCCCGTGACTTCTCATTGCACGCTGCCTGCAGCTCCGCACGTGCACGAGCTCACACCTGCTCACTGCTCGCATGTGACCACTCGTTCCTCCTCACCGTTCACTCCTCGCTGCACGCTCCTCACTGCTCGCTTCTCAACACTCGCTTCTGACCGCTGGTTCCTCCTCACCCTTGATTGCTCATCGCTAGCCCCTCACCGCTCGTTCAGCCTCACCGCTTATTCCTCATTGCTCACTCCTCACCGCTCGCTTCTCCTTATCATTTCGATTTAAAGCTTTCGTGACTGCAGAGATTCATCTTCTTGGTTCTTTCGGTAAAGTCACGTAGAAGGGAAATAATAAAATTATAAAAATAAAACATAATAAAATAATTCTCACGACGTATCGGCCACAACGCAAGCAGCCGTCCTCAGGTGAAGAACAGGTCTGTCATTCAGACGCTGTCTTTCCGACAGACCTGTTCTTCACCTGAGGACGGCTGCTTGCGTTGTGCCCGAAACGTCGTGAGAATTATTTTATTATGTTTTATTTTTATTATTTTATTATTTCCCTTCTCCTCATCACTTACTCCTCACTGCTCGTTCCTCCCCACCGTCCGTTCCTCACCACCCGCTCCTCACCGCTCGCCCCTCCTGTGCATGCCGTTCAGGAGGAGGACGCTCCGGTCAAGAAGGAGAAGACTCACTTCATGGTTCGCCTCACAGAGGTGCGTGGCTCCGACAAGGTGAAGCTCATCAAGGAGGTGAAGGCCTGCATGCCCGGCCTCAACCTCGTGCAGGTGAGCGCGTTGCCCGGCCGCACAGCGTGCCGCTGTGGGCGAAACTGAATGCGAGCAATGACAATCACACCCCCGACAGCCAAATCTACATATCTCTTCAAATATTCACTTGGATTTAATCTCCGAAGGAACGTCTCATTTACCGGGGTGTCCAGAAGGTCAGGTGATGCAGACCTTGAAAACACACGTGTGTACACTGGCACAGCAAACACGTAACAACGCGTAATGACACATACACAAAAGTTGAACTCGATAACTTGTACATTGGGCATTAATGTAGTGAACATCAAAGACAAAGATCCCCCTATAGCCTGTAACAAACTGTCGGAGCAATTGCTGTTAGCGAGCACCTATGAAGGCCGGCACGGTACACGAGGGGATGGGTGGCCAGCACCACATCCGGCTGCCTTTGTCTCGCTAGTGGTATTGTTTACACACTGCACCAGGTACTCATTTGAGGCCGAGTCGACCTAGGGGAGATCTAGGACCAGCTCCAGATAATCATGACTGGTGTTGGCTGTGAGCAACAATCGAAACCGGGTCACCAGATTCATAGTGCAGCACGCTAACCGCTACGCTACCGCTCCCCACCAACACCCACAACTGCAACGAACCAACACACGCACACAAATGCTAGAGTTGATAAGCTAGTGAACATCACACCCAATCAAACACACAAATCACCCTCGAGCCCCACTAGTCTCATTGGATCTCAGAAGCTAAGCAGGTTTGAACCTGGTTAGTATAATAATAGAATGCGAGACTGCCTGGGAATGCCATATCTTGCAGGCTGGGATGGTGAGGTGACCAGGAGATGGTGGTGCAGCAACATATCTGTCTGTTAAATCTGTTGTGAATCATTGAGTGTTGTCCCCTCGTTATTTGGTGGGTTTTCTGCAGGTTCCCTAGTTTCCTTCCACAAGCCACGTGTCTCATCGAATCTCAAAGAACTGATCAAACATCCCAATGCAGGATCTTCCTGTAATTGTGTTGAGACTCACGAAGGCTTTCCTGTTTTAGTTGTAAGAATTGTTCCTCACCTCACCGGGTGAGTGAGCTGAAAACAATTGGCACCTTAAATGCTCGTACACCACGTGACAATTTAATTTGTCTGGCTGTGTCGGGTGGTGGAGGGTCTTAACGACACAAAATTTGGCCAGATAATTACTCGGCCCAAGAAAAAAAATCTATTGCCGTCCGCTGACTACACCGTGCACATCGCTGCCGAACGTTGTGTTTTCAGGCCAAGAAGCTGGTGGAATCGCTGCCGCAGGAGATCAAGGCCAACGTCCCCAAAGAAGAGGCCAACCAGCTCAAGGCCGCACTGGAGGCCGCGGGGGGGCTCGTGGTGCTGGAGTAGCGGCGCAGCCACGTGGGTCCCCAGGGGGGCGGGGAGAGCGAGCGGCGATCGTAGTCGAAGGCCGCGATGAACATTCGCAGCGTGTTTTTGCGGCCCTGAGAAAAGTGCGAGTTTCCCGGTTGACTCGCGATTTCCATCACCAGAACGTGAGCACTTGGACGAAGGGTGGCCATGCAGTGGGAGGGGTTTGAAGCCACCGTGGAGAAGGAGGTGGGGGGGGATTGTCTTTCCGGATGCTTGAGGGATTCCGACAGAATGCAACCGTATGTGTCCTCGTCATATTTTGCATCAATAAAGTGTTCTTTTGAAACCTTAAGCAGATGTGTGTTTACGCCTGCGGTAGCCGATCGATTGGTGACCGCAATTGCCGCCCTAAAGGGTAAAAATGGCAGCCGTGCAGGTGTCACGGCACGGGTCGGCTCCCATGAGATGGGGGCGCAGAGACCCGCTCCCCGTGGGTCTTGCGTTCCGCAGCTCCAAGCGAGAGAGTGACGGTATCCAACCTGACGTTCAGGCCGGACAAAGAGCGGCTTTTATTCTTTTCCGTTCAGTTGACGCGGCCACACTTGGGTGAGCAGCGTTGGTTTCTCCGGCTTGCCGCGTCGCTCCTGCTGATGCCAGGCACTGGGGGTGTGGGGTCCGAGGAGTGTGCGGGATCTGGTGAGGGGAAGGGGGGTTCGGGGAGAGGAGTGGCGGAGCTGCGAGAGCCCCCTCCTGTGAGCGGTGCATTCTTAAGCCTTGGCTGTCGTGAGCCACCGCCTGGAACATTCCCAGGTGCTCTGCGAGAGCCCACGTTGCGTGCAAAGGTAAGTGTACTCATGCCGGCGCTGGGAAGTGGCCAGGCGGTGCTCACAAGATAAGATATCGTCCAAAACGGAGGCTCTGGGTCCAGCCCTACGTGGGAGGAATGTGTGTGTGCACGCTGGTATATAAGTTCTACAAACGGGACTGCTGGAGGGCAGGTCAAGACTGGAGGTAAGCTCACAATAGCAGTGCTGTTAATGCTCCCGAATGCTGTTCGTGTCGCATCTCTCCTGGGCATGGTTGGATGATTGGAAACTTAGAAGTCTGCGTCCACACTTGTTAGGCAGGAAATGGCTTCAGTTGAGGGGTGAATTGTTTCAGAACCTCCAATTTTCGCAGTTGCCAGTAGTTCACTAATATGTGGACCCACATAGAGACTGATAGACTCATAGAGATCCACAGATTTACATCGAGTTCGGGGTGGCACTGCAGGAGTTGAGTGTCGCCAGTGACTCACCTCTTGTATGAACTTGATCTGTTACAATATGTAATCTTGTTGCTGGCTGCTCGGTGTTTTGGATCTTTGGTCTTCTGCTGTGCAACTGATCAACATAAGTTCTGTCCATTCTAGATTTGAAGCTTTCGTGACTGCAAGGATTCATATTCTTAGGTTTTTTTCGGTAAAGTCACGTAGGTAAAAAATTAATAAAAGTAAAATAAAAATACAATAAAATCACGACGTTTCGGAGGCAACACAATCCTCCGTCTTCAGGTGGAACCATCACAGCACGATGTATTAAGTAAGAGAAATTCCAAGAAAACAGTCCTTGAGCCAAGGTAGGCCCTGGATATTATTTTTGTGAGGTTCGGTGCGGCTGATGCACGCTGTGAGGAATGAGCCTTTGTTGTGTGAGCTAGGTGCGGCTGATGTAAAGGTGCGTGTAAATGGGACTGAGCCTTTTGTTATGTAGAGGTGGTGCGGCTGAAATCGCTGCCAGGAATGAGTCTTTGTTGTGTAGAATGGTTGAACTGGGAGGTTCTAAGAGTTGTTAAGGTGCTGTCCAGTTGTGTGGCTATAATTATAATCGGCCCACAAAGGAGCGCCGTGTTCTGCTGCGACGTGCGCTGGGGCTGCTGGAGCGTCTCCTCGTGCGTGCGAGTTTCCTACTGAACTCGTCCTGGGCTGTCTTTTCGTCGATGATCCTCAATGCTCTCCTGGCTCCAGCCGTGGTCCACAGTAGCTCTACGATATTTTGGCTACGGCTTGCTCCGGACATTTGCACGTGCTGGCTGGCCAGATGTTCAAGTGGATTGCACGGTATTGCCAATGTTATGTTTAGGTCTTTGATGAGGGTGTGGGCCCGCCTCTTTGAGGCTTGATGCTTGTGCAATTAGAGCGCTTATCAATATTACCCAAGTCGGTGAATTTCCACAGAGCAGTTTCGGCTGTCTTTGATGCTGTACCTGCCCGCCCGTCCGATGCCGCACCCGTCTCGTGCCTTGTAGCTACTGCGACGACGATCTTCATCCGTGAAGACAAGTGGTGGAGGTAGTGCGAGGCGAGGCCGCGTGGTGTGGGGTCCGGCGGGCGGTCTGGGTGGTGTGTGCAGCCACGTCCGTCTGGTCTCTCGGTGCAGGTTTGGTCCCAATTCGCAACCATGAAGCTCCTGCTCGCCGCGGCGCTGCTCGCAGTCGCGATGGGAATGGCCGAGTCGATTCGCATCGCCGCCTTCAACATCCAGACGTTCGGCGATGCCAAGATGTCCAAGCCCGACGTGGCGAAGGTCATCGTGGATGTAAATGCCTCCTTGTCCTCGCCATGCCCTCACCGGTCCCGAATGCCTGTCTCCCCATTATACCAGATACCAATCCATCGCTTCGCCAAACGACAGATCGCTGCTCTGATGAACTTTGAGGCTGGGCTCGTCCTGTTTGGCGCCCTGAGCCAGTGGTGACAATTCCACATTTCTATGAAGGAGGCAAGTCTATTAATTGGACAACCAATATGACTTCCCCACAAAGTGGTAGATATTTTACTGACCCCGAAGGGATGATGGGCCGAGTCAATCCCCAACATGGATTTCAACTCGGAACCTTCTGTTTGCAGGCCGCTCGCTCTTCACGCTGAGCCACCCGGCCGGATAATAAAAATCTCTTCCCCAGAGATCAGTTCCTCTGTATCTACCAGATTATTCTGTTGATATGAGATAATCTGTCTCTACGTCACGTAATCTCTATTTACAGATAACAGATATCTTTCCAAGGTACCAAGTAATCTGTCTATTCACCAGGTATCAGATCATGAGATCCATGGATGGAGATCATTAGCGCTTTGTGCCAGCTCGTTCACCCACAGTGCCAAGTTATCCGCCAATCCCGGGCCTATCGCAGTGGTCGCTGGGAAGGAGTACAGCTCTCAATAACGAGCACTGAAGCTGCCACAACGTGGTCATCTCTTCACCAAATTCCAGAAATCTATCTCTTCCTCAGGTTATCAGTCTCTATGACATCGTCGTAGTGCAAGAGGTTCGGGACTCAGACCTCAGCGCCGTCAAGCTGCTCATGAGCCAGCTCAACAGGTGAGAGGACCGGTGTCACGGTGAGGAGAGGTCACGTGGGGGGAGGTCGCGGGGAGGAGTAGGTCGCGATGGAGAGCTCAGGATAAATATCTAATTGGGACTGTGAAAGGACAGAACGAGAGATGTTGATTTTCCCGGGAAGCCTTTCGAGTTGGCGTCCTGTGTTTTCGCTGAGGCCAGGTCATAAACGCCAGATGGCATGATCTGAAGGATGTGAGTCAGGGATGCGAGTCAGGGTATCACTGCGCTATTTGTCTCACCTGGACTCATTCTGCACATGTGCGACAGTGCCTCAGCCCATCACTACGAGTACCTGGCCAGCGATCAGCTCGGCAGCTCCACCTACACAGAGCGCTACGTCTACATCTACAGGTAACACTCAACTACAGGCGACACCTACCTACAGATGACACAGGTGACACCCAATCACAGGCGACACCTACAGGTAATACGCAGCTACAGGTGACACGCAGCTCCATGTGACATTAACCTACAGGTGACACCTACAGGTGGTAAACGTAGCTACAAGTGACGACGACATGCGACACACAACTGCAAGTGACACCCACTTGCAGGAGATACGTGTAGGTAACACTGGTCAACACACTTTTAAGGTAATTTGGGGTGCTGATTCCAAATCTGGCATCAGTTTTTGTCTATCACATTTTGAGATATCAAATATTGCATTTGCAATAAAAACTGCAGAAGAAAAATATTAAATAAATGTGGCATATCTACATTAAATTATATTATAAACACACTATCCTAAAAATACAGCACCATATTTTAACACTAAAGCAGTCACTGACTCGCAACAACTTGCAATCATAAGTGACGGAGTTAATTTCTGGTAAAATCAATGAAAATGGGGTATGCCGATAGCATAAAAATGAGATGTGATAGAGCAAATCTGAGATCAGATTTGGAATCGGCACCCTGAAATTAGTCTAAAACAGCTGCAAAAGTCCAGGCCAGAAAAAAAAAGTTTTTTTTGTTGTTGACCAGTTTAATACGCAGCAACAGAAACATCTACAGGTGACACGCAGCAGTGCATGTACCGCAGCAAATCTGGACTGGACTGCCCTACCCTGATAAGTTATCTCCACGTGGTCCTAGAAAGTATTTTCTAGAGATGTGTTTTCTCTTGAGCATGGAACCTTCTCTCCTCACACTTGATACAGCAAGTCTGGCTGTGACGGTCTCACCTGATGACGGAGACTTGTGTTGCCTCCGAAACGTCGTGATTTTTATGATTTTATTTTTATAAATTTTAATTTCATTTTTTTACCTACGTGACTTTACCGAAAAAACTAAGAGTATGGAACCTTCTCATCAGAGATTTTTGTAAACATCTTCCACACTTCACATTTTCGAAGCCCTTTCTCTCAAATAAAATCTGCAGTCATCCAGCTGCAACAGTGCTGCTGCCGCTGCTGCAGCTCTCCGCAGGGATCAGCTCGTGTCTCTTGTCTCCACAGGGATAAGGTCGTGTCTGTCTCCAGCAGCTACCACTACGACGATGGCTGCGAGTCTTGTGGCACCGACACGTTCAGTCGCGAGCCGTTCCTGGTCAGGTTCAACATCCCCAGCAGCGGTGAGGTTCTCGGCCACGCTGGAGGGAAGGGCGGTGGACGGAGTGAATTTCAGGACCAGGGCTGGAGTTGGGTGGTCACCCGTCTGGGTTTGATCTGGTCGGGCCGTCTGGGATTGGGGTGATCTCCGTTCGGGTGGCGCCAGGAATGGATTTAAATTTCGATTGAAAGCTTTCGTGACTGCAGGGATTCATCTTCTTGGTTCTTTCGGTAAAGTCACGTAGAAGAGAAATAATTAAATAATAAAAATACAACATTATTACATAATTATTTCGGTAAAGCCACGTAGAAGGGAAATAATAAAGGGAAAATAAACAAAAAAATATTAACTAATAAAATATTGCAAATAAAACATAATAAAATAATTATAAATTGATTTTTTATTATCCAAATAAAACACAATAAAATAATAAAAAAATATTTATTTTGTTATGTTTCATTTTTATTATTTTATTATTTCACTTCTACGTGACTTTACCGAAAGAACCAAGAAGAGGAATGGATTTGTACCCGAGATCCGGTACCGGTCTTGCAGCATTGAACTTCATTTCATATACTGCACGGTGTTGATAGACCTCGGGTGACCGAGAAACACGTCTGGGTTTTGCCTACAGCAGGAAAGGTGCTGCAACACTGCAACATGGGGCCGTTGGGATGTGAGGTGTGGTGACGTGCGGTGGTGAGTGGGGTGTGGAGGATGTGTGTGTGTGTGTGGTGGTGAAGAGTATGGTGGTGAGTGTGGTGGTGAGAGTGGTGGTGGTGTGTGATCGTGTGTGGTGGTGAACTTTAGCGAGCGGCGGTGTGGCAGTTAGCGCGCTCCGCTACCGACCCGGCAACCCGGGTTCGATTCCCGCTCACAGCCAACACCGGTGACGATAATTATCTGAACCGGTCCTGGGCCTCTCCTATGTCGACTCAGCCTCAAATGAGTACCTGGTGCAGTGTGTAAACATCGTCACTAGGGAGACAAAGGCGGCCGGGCGTGCTGCTGACGACCCACCCCCTCGTGTGCCACAGTGCCCGCCTTCGTAGATGCTCGCTAACAGCACTTGCCCCAACAGTCGGTTAAAGCTTTTCGGGGATCTTTGTTGTGTTTTGGTGAGAGGGTGATGGTGATGGTGAGGAGCGTGGTGGTTGTGCGATTGCAGCTGTGCCGCAGCTCGTGCTCGTGCCGCAGCACACGTCGCCCGATCTGGCGGTGACGGAGATCGACGCGCTCTTCGACGTCTACACGGACGCGCGCCAGCGCTGGGGCACGGACGTGAGGCAGCCTCCCCATCACCGTGACGCCGCGTTCCCGACACCGCCACATCTTTGACACGGCAACGTGGCCTCCGCACCTTTCCGTGTTCCTCAGAACGCCGTGTTCCCCACAGAGCATCATGATCCTGGGTGACCTGAACGCCGACTGCAGCTACGTGACGGCGTCCGACTGGGGGCGCATCCGCCTGCGCTCGGACTCGCGCTTCTCCTGGCTCATCGGCGACGCGGCGGACACCACCGTGGGCACCACCGACTGCGCCTATGACAGGTGCGGATGGGGCCCTTCAGGTTGGCGACCCGCTGGGGTCTGGGTTGACAGTGGGGTCTGGGTCCTCAGTGGGGTCGGGGTCTCGGAAGGGATCGGGTCCTGGTGGGGTGGGGTTCTCGTCTCACGGTGCCTTCCCCCTCTCGTGCGCAGGATCGTGGTGGCTGGGAGCGCGCTCCAAGGGGCCATTGCTTCCGGCTCTGCTCGCATCCTCAATTTCCAGTCCATGTATGGCCTGACCCTGGAGAAGGTGAGCGGTCCCGTGGCAGTCCCGTGGGGGTCCCGTGGGGGTCCCTTGGGGGTCCCGTGGGGGTTCCGTGGAGGTCTCGTGGGGTCCGCGTGGCTGCTGGTTTCACCGTTGACTCCTAGATCTCATATCCGCCCCCCTGACCCCGTGTTTGTTCCTCCTCCCCGCCCCAGGCCAAGGAGGTGAGCGACCATTTCCCGGTGGAGGTGACCATCAACTAGAGGATCCTGCTGCTGCTGCTGTAGCTGAGTGTGGCTCAATAAACGTTGGCCCTCTCACTCCTCGCGTCCGTCTCGCTCTGTCTCGCACGGCATCGCACATCAGTTACCAGCGCACACAGGGTTGTCACCTCATCCCCCCCCCCCTCATCCTCACCCACCTCATCCTCCTCACAACCTCTCATTCATTGCTCCCACCCTCCCGCACCCCACCACCCCTTCCGCTGATCGGGTCCCGGCTCCTCGTTCCTTCCCCCTCTCCGTCTTGTACTGATACAGATTCCGTGTGTGTCACGTAGGTTAAAAAATTAAAATAAATAAAATCACGACGTTTCGGGCGCAACACAAGCGTCCCTCTTCAGGTGGGGACAACTTAGCGAAAGCACAACACGCTTAAGTGTGTCACCTGAAGAAGGACGCTTGTGTTGCGCCCGAAACGTCGTGATTTTAACTATTTTAATTTTTTAACCTACGTGACTTTACCGAAAAAAAAAGAGTATGAATCCTTGCAGTCACGAAAACTTCAAATCTAGAATCCCGTGTGTGGCCTGGCTGTTGGGGCAAGTGCTGTTAACAAGCGCCTATGAAGGCCGGCACGTCACATTTGGGAGTGGTGTTGGGCAGTGCCACATCCGGGCCGCCTTTGTATTCCCTGTGCTTATGCTTACACATTTCACCTGGTACTCTTTTAAGGTTAGAGTCAACCTGGGCTACGCACAGGATCACTCCCTGGCGCTGCCTGTGAGCGGGAATCAATCTCGGGTCGTCGGGTTCGTAGGTGCAAGTCACCACCACCATTCCTCGCTTCCTGTTGATGGGGAGGTGAGACCACATCAGCCAGGGGTCTCGCATCTTCTCACACCTCACCTCCATGCTCTAACGTCCCCTTCCTGATGTTGTTGGAAGCTTCCTGTCCCAGAGGACTGTTCATCCCTCAGGATGACTGGAGCCAGGATGAGCCAACTGGACATCCTGCACTGTATTCCAAGGAGGTCTGGGGGGTACCAGTCCAGCTCCCGACAGATAAATGGCAGCCTCTACTCTCCAATGAGTGATCGAGTGCATTCCGCGTGACCATTTGCTGTGGTTTTCTACTGGTTCTGGGGGGACCCCTAGGGGGCGTGGGGGGAGGGGTGAGTTTGGGGGGGGGATAGATGTCTCCTGGCTCTGCCAAATAGGGTTTGGCTAGGTGACGTCATAGACATGTGACACACCGGGGCCTCCGGCAGAAGCTGAGATGTTTTGCACGTGGTTTCGTGGTGAATGGAACTAAAGGTGGAGAGGTACCCAGCCCCTCATACCCGTTGGCCACTTTTGTGGCTGCAAGCGCCATGAGGGGAAGGGCGAAACAAATGTTTTCCCTTTTGAGTTCAATGTATCCGAGATTGGTAAATGAGAAATTTTGTCAGCTACTGCTGAGCATACGCTCACTCAGGTTAAGAACTAGGCTACAGTCTACATTATAGACTGCCAGCACGCTCACTCAGTTTAATAACCATTGCTACAGTCTACATTATAGACTACCAGTACGCTCATTCATTTGAATAACTATTGCTACAGTCTACATTATAGACTGTCAATACGCTCACCAAGCTTAAAAACCAGGCTACAGTCTACATTATAGACTGACAGTACATGAGAATAGGTTTCCCCCTTTTTTCTGGCAACAAAACAGGTACAGTACACTTATTCAGATTAAGAACCAGGCTACAGTCTACATTAGTGGTTCATTTTGTATTATTTTTATTGACTTTTTTTTCTATCTACGTGACTTTACCGAAAGAACCAAAGAATATGAATTCTTGCAGCCACGAAAGTTAAGTAAAAATTTAGGCTTCCAGTAGTTCGTCGTTCGAGTCATTTCACATTCATGTCACAGCAAAATCTTCACAGTTGCTGTAACGCCCACTGAGCCGTCTCCTCCTGATCACAGCGATTAGAGCCACTACGACATTCAAAAAAGATAGCCCCAAGTACCCGGGCAACGCCGGGTATTTCCTGATAGTACAAAATAAAATACAAAGACTCCCGTATAGTCTTTGCAAGACCGATGGGGCAAGTGCTGTTAGCGAGTAGCACCTGTGACGGCCGGCACCAAACTGCTTTCTGCAGACCTGTCAACCCCTTAATCAGTGCCCTACTAATTACAGACCAAGTCAGACATTGTTTCACCGCGTGCCCCTTATAAACCTCAACGTTTATCCCACAAAGTCCCATCACAAGGGAGAAACACAAATAGACAAAAAAATGGTTTACCCGTATTGAAACGGCTGTGGGCGGTATCGACCTGAAACACCGATTTCCCCGTACAAGAAGAATACGGGGGTAAGCCGTGTGGGTTGATGGGGGTTTATTTTTGTGCTTTCGTTTGGTGTCATTCCTCCGCGCCTCCGATTCGCACGGTTCGGCGACGTGCGGTGCGAAAGAAGTTCACCGTAGAAGTACACACACAGAGGACGGGGGTGGCCGCCTACTCACAACGTCAACAAACAAACCGAGTGGTGGTGCCAGGCTAGGTGCGCTTTGAGGCCGTCGCGTGAAGTGCAAATGGCTCGCTGTAGGCGTGAGGTCACGGGGGACAGCCCAGGTGCCGTGGGGTTTTGTTTCATTTATTAGGTACGAGCAGGAAGTACCCGACGTTGCCCGGGTCTTAAAATATTTCAAAGCTACTCTTAAAAATGCAACAGCAGTGTGTACTGACTGGGTGGTACCTGCTATGATTACAGCAGTGCATACTGTGGTGGTACCTGCTATGATTACAGCAGTGCCTACTGTGGTGGTACTGGCTTTCACTGCAGCAGTGCATATTGTGATGGTACCTGCTATGATGACAGCAGTGCATACTGTGGTGGTACCTGCTATGATGACAACAGTGCATACCGACTGTGGTGGTACCTGCTATGATTACAGCAGTGCATACTGTGGTGATACCTACTATGATGACAGCAGTGCCTACTGTGGTGGTACCTGCTATGATGACAGCAGTGCATACTGTGGTGGTACCTGCTACCAGAGGTGTGGACTCGAGTCATGTGACTTGGACTCGAGTCAGACTCGAGTCATGAATTTGATGACTTCAGACTCGACTTGGACTTGCATAACAATGACTTTGTCCCACCTCTGCCTGCTACGATAACAGCAGTGCATACCGACTGCGGTGGTACCTGCTATGATGACAGCAGTGCATACCGACTGTGGTGGTACCTGCTATGATGACAGCAGTACATACTGCTGTGGTGGTACCTGCTATGATTACAGCAGTGCATACTGTGGTGGTACCTGCTATGATGACAGCAGTGCATAACGATTGTGGTGGTATCTGCTATGATTACAGCAGTGCATACCGACTGTGGTGGTACCTGCCATCACTACAGTCGTACATGCTGATTCTATAGCAGTATTATCGACTCTTTAGCACAAAGTACTCACCTGACAGAGTGGCGTGGTGAGGCCTAGTCCCGTGCAGAGCCTCCGGCCTCGCCTAGATTGTCCAGCCGGCCGAGGTGGCACCTTGGCAGGCTGGGCTGCTACCCCTGCCCCCCCCAGCCACAATCTCCCCGGTCTCTCTGCAGTAATATCTACGGCCTATAGTGGTAGCATTTAGCGACTGTATAGTAGTAATAATTACAGACATCGGGGTGGGGGGGGGACATCACACAGTGAAGAATTTACCTGAGCGTTTAGTGTACAATGGTGCCTTGACTTACGAGTTTAATTTGTTCCGCGATGGAGCTCGTAACTCAAATTACTCGTATGTCAAATCAATTTCCCCATTGAAATGAATTGAAATGCCATTAATCCGTTCCGGGCCCCCACAAAACACTGCAGATTTTTTTGTTAAATGTTTTTAAATAAGAAAAATGTACTTATAAATAACGAATATTGTATAAAAACACAATACAATAGAATGTACTGCAATAAACTGGCTTTATCAAGTACATGTATAATGTACAGCATTTACCTTGGAGATCAGACGACTTGAAGATGCTGACGGAGTTGGAGGAGAAAGGCTGAACTGAATAAGTGAATCTTATTCGCTGATTTTTGCCCTTTTTGCAACACTTTCCTCATTTTCATCTGCAGGGGTTTTCGATAAAAACCTCTCCAATGAGGTCTGTTTCATCCTCCATTTCAGAATGTTTCTGAAATGAGTTAGGCGAGTGTCATTAAATAGCGCCGTCGCACGCCCAGTTGCAACTTTTTCTGGGTGCTTCTTTTGAATAAAGTCAGAAAGTTTCTCCCACATTCCCAACATTTCCTTTATCTCACTTGTAGAGATAACCTCCTCTGCCTCCTCCACGAAGTTTTGCAAAATAACTGCAAGCACAAAAGGTGAGCACAACACTGATGCTTCCACTGCTTAAAGCAGGCATGTCCAAAGTCCGGCCCGCGGGCCAATCACGACCCGCGGTCAGATTTCATACGGCCCGCAGCTTCGGTCTTATAATGTGTTATTTATGGCTCGCCAGCTCTGTCAGAATAAATACATCATAAAACTCATGGAAATTTAAGGTATTCTATACAGTTTGTTCAATGTTATCTGACGGAATGAAAGGCAGAATTGCGTTTTTAGAGTTGTTCACGTCTGCCTGAGTGGCTTATATTTGGTTACATTGTCATTTGAAAAATAAAAGTAATTGTGACAATGAAAATTGTTTTGTAACAGTGTGTATTTCCACGTAACTTTTGTGGTTAAAAAAATGTCAGAAGGATCTATTGGCCCCCGGGCATCTTCACTTTATCAAATGTGGCCCTTTTAGCAAAAAGTGTGGACACCCCTGGCTTAAAGTGAACGAGTGGGACACGTGATGCTGGACGGATGTTGTGGCATTCGCTGCGCTAACTAGCGGTGGTGTATCTGAAGCTGGCTCGTAACCCCAATTTTAGCTCTCAACTCAAAGCAAAAAAACGGCCGAGAGACGGCTCGTATCTCGAAAAACTCGCTAGTTAGGACACTCGTAAGTCAAGGTACCACTGTATTTTTATAGCATTTTTACGCGAAAGAAAATGTCCCCCTCACTGGCAACCGAAGGCGTGCGACTTGGTATGGTCGTGCACGCATCATAAAGAATAAAATAATAGTTCAGCGCACAGAAATCTCACTAAATCGCTAATGAAACTAATTTAAAGTTGATGACGGGTGTGAAAAAGGAATAGCGCTTGCTGACCGCGGGGCTTACAGCGTGGTGCCTGGTCAAGCGAGCGACCACAAACAAAGACACAAAGCCACAAACCCACAATTTTCTACTTTTATATATATAGAGAAGAAAGATAGAAGATAGATAGAAGAGAAGATAGAAGAAGATAGATAGCCCTGTGAGCCATAGGGCCTTCCATAAATGACGTCACGCACCTAGGGGGGGGGGGGGGTCAGACATTTGTGACGATGTGTGACGAGGGGGGGGGGGGGGGGTTTGAGAAATGTGACGTCACATCAAAATGCGCAACTTTAAATAAATATAGACAACACGTTCTACTTGATTAAATAGACGTTTTACTAAATGTTTCCCCCTACAACATCAGAGTGCAGCGCCACATTAAATACGCACTACAATGACAATAGTTGAAAGCGATTTGAAGCATGTTTTATTTTGGGGGGGGCAGAGCTTTGTGACGTCATATTTGAGGGGGGGGGGTCTGACTTTTTGTGACGATGGGGGGGGGGGGGGTCAAAAATCGTCCAAAATCTTGTGACGTCATTTATGGACGGCCCCAGAGGGACATCACCACGTCACGACCATCACCACTTCCGACAGTTGGATTGTCACCTTTTCCCAGCCATCAAAGACAAAGATCCCCCCTGTAGCCTTAACAGACTGTAGGGGCAAGTGCTGTTCGCGAGCACCTGTGAAGGCCGGCACAGCACACGAGGGGGTGGGTGGCCAACACCACGCCCGGTCGCCTTTGTCTCCCCAGTGGCGATGTTCACCACACACCGCACCAGGTGCTCATTTTGAGGCTGAGTCGACCTAGGGGAGGCCCAGGACCGGTTCAAATAATCATCGCTGGTGTTGGCCATATACCGGAGTCGAACTCGGGATGCCGGGTTCGTAGCGCAGCACGCTAACCGCTGCACCACCGCTCCCACCACCACCATCATCATCATCACTGCCGTCGTCATGACCACGGCCACGCAAGTCGCCCCAGCGCGTCACGCACGGCAGCTTGAGCAATACCGGAGAGGGCCCCTCCCCTACCCCCGCACCCCCTCCCCTACCCTCTCCCCCACCCTCTCCCCCACCCCCTCCCCTACCCCCACCCTCTCCCCCACCCTCTCCCCCACCCCCTCCCCTACCCCCTCCCCTACCCCCACCCTCCCTCCTACTACTTAACCCTCCCCCCCTCCCTCCTCCCACCCCCTCCCTCACCTGCACCCCTTCCCCCACCCCCTCCCTCACCTGCACCCCTCCCCCCACCCCTCCCTCTCCCCTTCCCATCCCCTCCCACCCCCCGCCCCCTCACCTGCACCACTCCCCCCGTCCCTGCGCCTCGCGCGCGCAAAGAGGCTGTCGCTTCCGTCTCGTAGTCGCTGCCTGCGTCTGCCTCGCTGCTGCGTCTGTCTTGCTGCTACTGTTGCTGTTGTTGTTGCTGCTGCTGTTGTTGTTGCTGCGTGGCCATGAGCTATGGCGATGCCCCCGACGGCCTTGCCAGCGCCCTGGGGCTGGAGGCGAACGAGGAGGACGCGACCCCCCTCAGGGAGCAGCCGCTCAGGCTGGAGGAGAAGAAGCGCATCGTGTAAGGGTAGACCCCCCCCCATCTCTCTGACCCCCCCCCCCCCATCTCTCTGACCCCCCCCCCCCCCCCATCTCTCTGACCCCCCCCATCTCTCTGACCCCCCCCCCCCACATCTCTCTGACCCCCCCCCATGTCTCTGACCCCCATCTCCGACCCCCCCCAATGGCCTTTCCCGGATGCCACTATGACCCCCCCCCACCCCTTTGACCCCTCTGTGACCCCTCTACGATTCCTCCCGAATCTTGGTACCCCGATGAGACCTCTGATTCTCCTTCATCCCGTCCCCCGACTAATGGAGCACAGGGAGTCACTCATTGGACAGGTGTCTCTCTGTGTCTCTCTGTGTCCCCGTGTCTCTGTGTGTCTCTCTGTGTCTCTGTGTGTCCCCGTGTCTCTCTGTGTCCCCGTGTCTCTCTGTGTCTCTCTGTGTCTCTGTGTGTCTCTCTGTGTCCCCGTGTCTCTGTGTCTCTCACGGGACAGGTGTCTCTCTGTGTCTCTCACGGCACAGGTGTCTATCTGTGTCTCTCTGTGTCTCTGTGTGTCTCTGTGTGTCTCTCTGTGTCTCTCACGGGACAGGTGTCTCTCTGTGTGTCTCCATGTCTCTCTGTGTCTCTCTGTGTCTCTCTCTGTGTCTCTCATTGGACAGGTGTCTCTCTGTGTCTCTCTGTCTCTCATTGGACAGGTGTCTCTCTGTGTATCTCTGTCTCTCATTGGACAGGTGTCTCTCTGTGTCTCTCTGTCTCTCATTGGACAGGTGTCTCTCTGTGTCTCTCTGTGTCTCCCTGTGTCTCTCTGTCTCTCATTGGACAGGTGTTTATCTGTCTCTGTCTCTCATTGGACAGGTGTCTCTCTGTGTCTCTCTGTGTCTCCCTGTGTCTCTCTGTCTCTCATTGGACAGGTGTTTATCTGTGTCTCTGTCTCTCATTGGACAGGTGTCTCTCTGTGTCTCTCATTGGACAGGTGTCTCTCTGTGTCTCTCTGTGTCTCTCATTGGACAGGTGTCTCTCTGTGTTTCTCATTGGACAGGTGTCTCCCTGTGTCTCTCTGCCTCTCATTGGACAGGTGTCTCTCTGTCTCTGTCTCTCATTGGACAGGTGTCTCTCTGTCTCTCATTGGACAGGTGTCTCTCTGTGTCTCTCATTGGATAGGTGTCTCTCTGTGTCTCCCTGTGTGTCTCTGTGTCTCCCTGTGTCTCTGTCTCTCATTGGACAGGTGTCTCTCTGTGTCTCTCATTGGACAGGTGTCTCTCTGTGTCTCTCTGTGTCTCTCATTGGACAGTTGTCTCTCTCTCTCCCCGTGTCTCTCGCGTGTCTCTGTTTCCGTGTTTGTTCGGAGACACCGCGTCAGGCCCATAAACAAATTTCCTCGCTCTGCCCCCACCTCCTCACGCCTCGCTCTGCCCCCCCCCCCCTCCACGGGGCGGAGTTCCCCTCTCGCGTGCTGGGGGACATGAGGGGGGGGGGGTAAGCACATGGTGATGGACTGAGCTGGTTTTTGTGTAGTGGGTCCAACCGAGTCGCAGACGTTGTTCTCTAGAGGCAACACTTTCATCATATCAACACGTAATACACAAAGGGGGGTAACTGCCCCTTGACCAGACACAGCCGAGGGTGGCGAGCACCCAGCTGACTCCACTACACGGAGGAGTGACAGCTATGAAGAGTCGGACCTTCACTCGGGTCCCTGACTACGTTTTCAGTTCAGTTCATGTATTAGGTGTAGCCCTGTGAGCCATGCGGATCTTGAATCGGGTGCAACCGCAACAAACAAAAACATGAACAAGAAACATCTTAGAGTGACTAAAATAAAAATACAGGAAAAAACATCAAAGTCTTCAAGAAAAAGCACCGCATTTCAACGCTGTGTGCAAAAATCCCAGTGGGATGCAAGTCAAACAATAACAACCATAAGTCAATTTAGATTATAGTTATCAGTCAATTTAGATTATAGTTATCAGTTGTACTACAACAAACAAATATGGCTAAACCAAAACGTTTTCGAAATCACCTAAATAAAGCTATACAACAATGTAACAGTGATCATAGGAATGGACATTTGTGAGAAATGTGACGTCACATCAAAATGCGCTACTTTAAATAAATATAGACAACACGTTCTACTTAATTAAATAGACTTTTTAATACATGTTTTCTCCTACAACATCAGAGTGCAGCGCCACATTAAATACGCACGACAATGACAATAGTTTAAAGCGATTTGAAGCATGTTTTATTTTGGGGGAGGGGGGGGGGCAGAGCTTTGTGACGTCATATTTGAGGGGGGGGGTCTGACTTTTTGTGACGCCGTGTGACGGGGGGGGGGGGTAAAAAATCGTCCAAAATCGCGTGACGTCATTTATGGACGGCCCCTAACATGTACAACCAAACTTTGCACTCATCGCTGGCAGCATAAATCACTCCATAACAGCTGGGAGTATCAGTAGGATTATCGAAATGTTTCAATGCACCTTTGAAGATCAGCACACTATAATAAAAACTCAAGATCATACTTTGCAGCGGTAATCCGGAGCGATATATTTGATTTCAGGCCACTGAACAGCAGTGGCAGCTAGGGGTGTACAACTCCTCTAGAGCACTTTGGAGTGAAGATCTCACAGGTAGTGATGCAAGTTGCAGTTTATTGGCGATAGCATTCCAGACCCTGGGGGCAATAGCAAACGCCCTTCCTCCAGTATATGTACGGCAATAGGGAATGTGAAGCTGGTAAATGAGCGAAGACCTTGGGTCACATTTGTTCCTCGAAACAGAGAGGAGATCCAGCAGGTAGTCTGCTGATTTTTTTGTAAGTAGATCGTGAATAAATAAGATCTGATGCACAAGCCGTCGATCATTAAGAGATGTTAAGTTTGACCCAATGTCGAGATCGCAGTGGTGGGTCCTATATGGGCAGTTCAATGCAAATCTTAAGGCCGAGTGATAAATTGAGTCAAGATTCTTGTAGGACGTAGAGCTTTCAGCTTGTAGAACGAAGCGACCCCTGGTCCCTCTCAGGGACCCACCTTATATCCTCCCGGGTCGGGGCTGGCTCCGCCCTTGGCCCCGCCCACCTTCTCGAGCTTTCTAGCTCCCTCTCGACCCCCCTCGAGAGCTCTCCCCGGACACGTGATCACCTCCTAGCCCCCCCCACCCCCTACCTGGGGCCCTCTCTGTGGACACTCCAGATCACGTGTCTACGGGGTCAACCAGAGTGCCATGGCCCAGGGCAACCCTGCCCCCGGGCTGACACTCTCCCTTGTGGGAGCCTGCACTACACGCTGTGCGTGGTGCCCACGCTATCCCAGCGCTCACCAAGCCCCGCTAGGGCTGGTACCACACCCATCTACAGGGTGGACGCGATGACGGTGCATCGCACGCCGTGCTGTGCTAGAGCCGGCCTCACACAGCAACCCACACGGTGCTGTCCGCGACGTAGCGACATCACACGCCACGACCCTCCATACAGTGACATCCCTGATGTCACTACATTTGGATAGGGTGTAGGGGTTACGGTTAGGGTTGGGGTTGGGGATAGGAGCTGGTGGTAGGGTTGGGGTATTGCTGAGATTGGCTGCGGCACGGAGTATCGCCAGCAGCTCCTGGGCTATTTGTGGCAGGGTCGCCCATCGTAATAACTCCAAGGGTTATTGGTGCCCAGCGTGGTCCCTGTCCTCGGGTTTTCTTCGTGTCGGGTCGGGTGCACCACGCGCCATGTGTGTGGGTGTGTGGCGCTGCAGGTGCTCGCTAACAGCACTTGCCCCAACAGTCTGTGAAGGCAAAACGGGGAATCTTTTTGGTGCTGCAGGGCACTTATGGCGAGGGACGCGCCGCTGCTCTCTCAATGGGAGTCGTGGCGCAGGAGCATGAGCACCCGGATGCGAAGGTCGCGGGCCGGGGCCCATGGGGCACTCAAGAGCACGGCCCTGTGGAGCGGCAGCCTCAAGGAGATCGCAGGTGGGCCACAATCGCATGCCCGTGGCGTGGGGCACCTAGCCTGGCACAGCGGGCACCGCACACGTGCACCCCGCCACACACACACTGTACCACGCGCGCCATGGGACGATCGCGTTTGGCCAGCCGGTGCTTTGTCCTCGGCCAAAGCGTCTGATGTTGAGAGGCTGCATTTGGATCGATGAGGAGGAATGAAGCTCAGTCAGCGGTCGTCGAGGTGAATCGAGCGAGCAGTGAGACGACGGTCAAGATCGGCGCGCTCGCCTGCCTCGACATCCCGGCACGACCGTCCGCTTGACGAGCGCTCGCTTCTACAGAACCGTCACGAGTCGCGACGTTCCCGAGAGGGACGGGCACCGTTCAGGCGGCAACAAAACCACGACCCATTAGGGGTCCATCTTCTTGGTTCTTTCGGTAAAGTCACGTATAAGGGAAATAATAAAAGAAAATAAAATTAAAAACATAATAAAATAGTGAGAATTGTATTTTATTATGTTTTTTTTTCCTTCTACGTGACTTTACCGAAAGAACCATTAGGTGTCACCCGATCGGCCACAATCCCAGGGGAAAGGTCGAGTATTTTTAGTCTCACAACGTCGTCACCCGCCGACGAAACCGAGATCTCGCCGCGCATTTTTCGGTGCCAGGGCACCGAGTGAAAGTACCCAGGGTAGAGGGCGTCGCCACCCATTGCCGCACGCAACGCAACGGCGGCGGCACTGCCTCGTGTTTCGCCCGCCCTCGCCATGACGCTGGCGCCTTTGTGGATCCCGTGCGTGGACGCAGGTCGCTTCGGATCGGCCATCCAGTCCTACTTCTCGTTCATGCGCTTCCTCGTGCTGCTCAACGTCTGCCTCTTCCTCATCATGTTCTCCTTCGTGGTCATCCCCAACATCGTGAACGAGCACCTCGGGGTGGCCACCACGCCTGCCTCCACGGCCACCAACTCAACAAGCAACAGTGGTGAGCGGCACACACCACTCGCACAACACACACCACTCGCACAGCACACACCACTCACACACCACTCACACAACACACACCACTCGCACAGCACACACCACTCACACACCACTCACACAACACACACCACTCGCACAGCACACACCACTCACACACCACTCACACTCGACACAGCACTCACACAGCATACATAGCGCACACACCACTCACACAGCGCACACCACTCGCACAGCACACACCACTCACACAACTCGCACAGTCTACACAGCTCTCACACAGCACACATACCACTCACACAACTCGCACAGCACACATAGCGGACACACCACTCACACAGCGCACACACCACTCACACAGCGCACACACCACTCACAGCGCACACACCACTCACACAGCACACACACCACTCACATAGCGCACACACCACTCACAGCGCACACAGGCGATAGGCTGTCCCCGTGCCTCACGCCGCTGCCCGTGTCTCTGCCTCTCAGAATGCTTGGTGTACGATCTCCCGCAGCGCCCTCTCGGCTACTTCTACGAATATGTGCTTGATGCACTATCAGGCACGGTGAGTGCATCCCCGCATACAACGCTCATTATCACTCGCGGGACCATCACTTACTGGCCACTCACCACATGAGTACAAATGTAGTGTCGTAGATCTCTTCTTCCTTCTCGCTCGAGGCTTGTGTGCGCGTGCGGGTGGCTTGCGTCACACATACACTCTATCGGAGACGAGGTAGTGGCAGGAGGCACCGTCCTCCCCTTTTATTGTTGTTGAGTTCACGCCACCACTCGGGGCCCCCTCTCTCTCACGACCACGCTGCCGCACGACCCGTCCCAGACACGACCCCTCCCGCGTTGCACCGACGGCGTCGACCGGGACAGCCAACCACTGTCCGGCCGCGCAATGCCCGGGCGAAGGCGGCGGAGATGAAGGCGACAGCGATGACGAAACGAGTCCACTCCGAGAACCGGCAGCCCTGAGCTCTCGTTCTCCGCTGCTTTTATTCCCCTCGGCACGGCTTGGCATCGCCTTAGCCGCTCCTCCCTTCTCGAACCCACCAGAGGGTTCCAGGGGCTTCCCCACGAGGTCTACCGTGACCCTTGCCCCAGTTCTTCCGCCCTACCGGCACACACAGCCGTGTATATGCTCAGCGGCGTGTGCGCTAAGTGCCCACCTGCAGTTGCAGCTGCTTTCCCACAGTCAGCGCTATGTCACTACACAAAAAACTCACCAGCTACTCACCACACCAGTGCAATCACTCACCCCACAAGTCTCAATACCACGTAATCACGCACCATCTCCACCCCTCAGCACCCATCACACGTTTCCACGTGTGTGGGTAAGTATGTGCGTGTATGTACATGTCAACAAAGATCCCCTGTATAGCCTTAACAGAGTGTTGGGGCACCTGCTGTTAGCGAGTAGCACTTATGAAGGCCGGCACGGAACACGAGGGGGTGGGTGGCCAGCACCACGCCCGGCCACCTTGGCCTCCCTGGTAGTGTTTACACACCTCACCAGCTACTAATTTTAGGCCAAGTTGACCTATAATGGGGAGCGGTAGTGTAGCGGTTAGCATGCTGTGCTAAGAACCCGGTGACCCGAGTTCGATTCCTGCTCACGGCAAACATCAGTGACAAATATCTGAAATCGTCGTGGGCCTCTCCTAGGTCGACCCGACCTCAATTGAGTAGCTGGTGTGGCCACCCATGCCCTCGTGTGCCATGCCCGCCTTCATTGGTGCTACTCGCTAACAGCACTTGTCACAACGGTGTGTTAAGGCCACACGGGGGGGGGGGGATCTTTGTCTCTGTGCGTGTGCGCCGTGTACCAGGGCTTCCTAGAGAAGACGTACCTCTTCTACGGGTTCTACCCGAGCACGACGGTGGGGTCGCAGCAATCGGCCTACTCGCTGCCCCTCGCCTACCTCCTTTCCAGCATCGCCGTGCTGCTCGTGTCGCTGCTCTGGGTCGTCAGGCGGTGGGTACCCCCCCCTCCCCCCCACCCCCCCACCCCCCCCCACGCGGCTCCTGCGCACGTGGACGCCGCGCGGATCGTCCTCGTACGCGAACGCACGCTTACGAAGTGCACGTGTCCTCACGCGCTCAATGCGCACGTGTTTGGACGCGTGTCATGTGTTTGCGAGTGTGTATGTGCATTTTTCGATTTAAAGCTTTTTTGATTGCAGCGATTCATCTTCTTGGTTCTTTCGGTAAAGTCACGTAGAAGGGAAATAATAAAATAATAAAAATAAAAATTAAAATTTTTTATTTTATTATTATTTTATTACTTCCCTTCTATGTGACTTTACCGAAAGAACCAACCAGATGTATATGTGCAGTTGGCACCGTAGGCGGGTGCAGCCGATGCATCTAACGGTCATCTCAATCAGCTGTGCCATGGCACCTGGGTCTGTCCTCACCTGGCCTGGCACAGGCAGTGTGGTGAGGTCACCGTCACTTAGTTGCGAATGGCGGGTATTGGATAGGTATATGTGCACGTAGTAGGGAGCGGTGGTGCAGTGGTTAGCGCACTGCGCCGCGACCCCGGCGGCCCGAGTTCAAATCCTGCGAAGAGTGGCGAATATCTGAACTGGTACTGAACCTCCTCTTGGTCGACTCGGCCTTAAATGAGTACAGTACCTGGTGCGGTTTGTAAACATCGCCACTAGGGGGACAAAGGCGGCCGGGCATGGCGCTGACCACCCACTCTCTCGTGTGCCATCCCTTCATAGGCGCTCGCTAACAACCTACTGAGGCCACGCAGGGGATCTTTGTGTCTGTTATTTGTGTCACGTGACACCACGCCCTCGTACACAAGATGCTCCAGGTGAGACGTCATAAATAACGCGGTTCTCTGCGTCTCCCTGCCCAGCTCGGCGCAGGGCTGGAAGCTTGGCACACTGCAGAGCGAGGCGAGCGGGCTGCACTACTCACCGCAGGTCTTCTCCGGGTGGGACCACAGCCTGCGGGACGCCAACTCGGCTACGCTCAAGCACAGCAGCCTGGCCTACCAGCTGGTGGTGCGCATTGGTTGGGGGGGGAGCTCGCGCGCGCGCGTGGGGGTACACACAAACGCGGCAGTGAGAGGCGTGTTCCAGGAGCCGTGTTTTATGTGTGTACGCACGCGTGCGTGTGTTTGTACCTTTCCTGGATGCGTGCGTGCGTGCACCCTCCCGTGTGCGCGTGCAGAGTGGTCAGCGCACTGCTCTAGCAACCCGGCGACCTGAGTTCGATTCCGGCTCCAATACCGGTGACGATTATCTGAAATGGTCGTGGGCAGGGGCGGTTTCTTCATTAGGGCGATTGGGCGACGCACCACCAATGCCATTCAACCACAGAGTCACGCTAGCCGTCACTGTGCCTCTGGATATAGTCCAATCAGCGTCATGTCACGTTCTGTGGAGTACCGCCTCTTTTTGGGCGATTTCACTCCGGCTGAGAATCGCCCCGAGTGGTCCCATAGACTTACATTCAAAGATGTTTTTTTTCGAACGGGGGCGCTCCAATGCATTCTCTATGGCTTCCGGGAGGGCAAGCCCTAACGTGCTTACGTCATCATACGTAAGCACGTATCATCCAACAATATAATTTGTTGCCACCTAGTGGAATCTTTAATAAAATAAACTTGAGTGGTTTGTTTTAATAGTGAGTATAGAAACAAACAAGATGTATTGTAAGAGTCACTTTATTTTTCATTAATATTAAAGAAGTGAAGTTGCCTTTACATGCTTAAGCTGTTAATTTATCCATTGCATGGGTGGACCTTATCAATCATCCAGACATTTGCCCCCCCTGAGAGATTTTGCAGGAGCCGCCACTGGTCGTGGGCCTCAAATGAATACCTGTCACGATGTGTAAACATCAGCATCTTGGAGACAAAGGCGGCCGGTGCGTGGTGCCGGCCACCCACCCCCTCGCGTGCCGTGCCGGCCTTCGTGAGGTGCTCGCTATAACAGCACCTGCCCGAACAGTCCCTTAAAGGCTACGCGGGGGATCTTTGTCTTTGTGTGCACGCGTCCAGACGGACCTGGGCGAGGAGCGCTCCCGCAGGAGGATTGCCGAGCGCACGCGCGCACAGAAGGCGCGCGTGTACGTGGTGCGCGTGCTGCTCAACGTGCTGGTGCTGGCGCTGCTCGGGGCGGCCTTCTACTGCATCTACTGGGCGACCACCTACTCGCAGGGCTACACGCCGGGAGTACGCCACCCCTACTACCCCCCATGCGCACACGACGACAAAGACGATGATAGCCCGATAGCCTGCACGGGCTGTTGTGGCAAAGTGCTGTTCAGAAGGAGGAGTTGTGTAAATATGTGCTGCTGTGGCTACTCTCGCGGTACGACGCGTCTTCCCAGAAACTGAAGGCCGGGAGCATCCAGGGTGGTGTGGACTTCTTGGTGCAGTACCTCCCGTCCATCGTCATCACGCTCGCCAACTTCCTGCTGCCGCTCGTCTTTGGGATAACCATCGTCTGGGAGGACTACTCCCCCGGTTTCGAGATTCGTCTCTCACTGCTCCGGTGAGCGGTGGCACGGACGCAACACACGGACACGAAGACAAACACACGAACACACAGACAAACACACGGACACACAGACAAACACACGGACACAAAGACAAACACACAGACACAAAGAAAAACACACGGACACAGACACAAAGACAAACAGAAGAACACACGGACATGAAGACAAACACACAGACACAAATAGAAACACGCGGACACAAAGACAAACACACGAACACAAAGACAAACACACGGACACAAAGACAAACGCATGGACACAAAGGCAAACGCACCGACACAAAGACAAATGCACGGACACAAAGACAAACACATGAACACACGAACACGAAGACAAACACACGGACACAGACACAAAGACAAACACACAGACACAAAGACAAACACACGGACACACGGACACAAAGACAAACGCACGGACACAAAGACAAACACACGGACACAGACACAAAGACGCGCACACAGACACAAAGACAAACACATGAACACACGGACACGAAGACAAACACATGAACACACAGACACAAAGACAAACACACAGACACAAAGACAAACACACGAACACACGGACACAAAGACAAACACACGGACACACGGACACAAAGACAAACGCACGGACACAAAGACAAACGCACGGACACAAAGACAAACGCACGGACACAAAGACAAACGCACGGACACAAAGACAAACGCACAGACACAAAGACAAACGCACGGACACACACACCTGCGCTAACCCGAACGTGGGCCGTGCCGTGCCGCAGGTACGTGAGTCTGCGTCTGGCAAGCGTGGCGGTGCTACTCGTGACGCTCTGGTCTCGGATCACGTGCGACAACAACAACAACATCAGCGTCGCCAACAGCAACAACAGCAGCAGCAGCAGTGACTGCCAGCAGTGTGGGTACAACATAAATTACTTGGTAAGGTCCAGAACGCTCACTCTCATTCACCAACAATCACTCACCTTCCACCTCCGTGGCACAATCGCTCACCTTCAGACCCACCACCTCACCCACGCAGAAGCCGAAGCACCTGACCCTCGCTTTCACGCTCACCACTCGCCAACCCTCGCACTTCACGCTCAACCACCGCTAACCCCCCCCTCCCTCCCCCACCCGTTTAGTGCTGGGAGACGCGAGTGGGACAGGAGATGTACAAACTCACCATCTTCGACCTGATCACCTCCCTCGTCAGCATCCTCCTCGTGGAGTTCCCACGCAAGTACGCGACTCGCGCGGCCAACGGCACCGCCGCTCGCCCACTCACTCACTCGCCCACTCACTCACTCGCCCACTCACTCACTCGCCCACTCACTCACTCGCCCACTCACTCACTCGCCCACTTGCTCGCCCAACGCACACCCAGCCCTCGCACGGCATGGTGGCGAGCGCGACGTCCACGTGTCTCCCAGGATGATCGTGACGCACTGCGGGTGCGGGCTGACGCGCTGGATAGGCGAGCAGGAGTTCTCCATCCCCGACCAGGTGCTGCACATCGTGTACGGCCAGACCGTGTGCTGGGTGGGCACCATCTACTGCCCGCTGCTGCCCTTGCTCGCCGCCATCAAGTACACCATCTTCTTCTACAGCAAGAAGGTAGGCCACGCCATCGCCGCCACAACCGCACTGTCACTACCGCCGCCGCCACCGCACTACGACCACGACTCTTGCGCGTCTGGCTCTCTCTCTCGCGCGCGCTTGCACATCCTTTAATAGTCGGACAGGGTGGCAGGTAGCACGGTGCGAACTCTACTGGTGCTTTGCAGAAAGTAGTTCCTGGGTTCGATTCCTGACTTGAGTGCCTTCCATGTAGAGTGTTTTTGTTCTCCCCCTGTACCAAATGGGTTCACCAGGTTCCTTCTCAAATATAAAAACAAAAAACTCAATTGAACCGGTATTGACCAAACATGCCAATACTGAAAAGTGACGTGCAAATTACTCAACTGGGATCACAGATGCAACATCGCCCCCTTCTGCGAAAATGTAACAGGACCCTCCTGAAACAGTCTTCCTGGGTAGACGAGCATAACAGCAATGAGGCGGTGTCCATCTCCTGTTCACAGCCCTGAGCCAATGGTGGAAAGTCCACATTACCATGGAAAAAAAAAGAGGAATAGGAATAACATTTGCACGTCTCGATGTAAAGCTTTCGTGACTGCAGGGATTCATCTTCTTGGTTCTTTCGGTAAAGTCACGTAAAATGTAAATAATAAAGTATGTTTTATGTTTTATTTTTATTATTTTATTATTTACACTCTACGTGACTTTACCGAAAGAACCAAGAAGATTTGCACGTCTGCTAGCGCCCTCACGTATTGTGCGCGCCTCGCCGACACGCGTCGCCCATGACCGCCGCGTGCGCCACGCTTCTGCTGCTGGGTGTGTCTCACAGCTGTCGCTGATGCTGAACTGCCGGCCGGCGTCGCGCCCGTACCGCGCCTCCAGCTCCATGTTCTTCTTCTTCATCGTGCTGCTGCTCGGCCTCCTGCTCGCCTGGGTGCCGGCCATCTACACCATCGGCGGGTGGGTGCCGCAACAACAATATCCACAACACCACAACACCAACAACACTCATGCCGCAACACCACAATACCAACAACACCCGCGACGCAACACCACAACACCAACAACACTCATGCCACAACACCACAATACCAAAAACACCCGCGACACAACACCCACGCCACAACACCAACAACACTCATGCCACAACACCAACAATACCAACACCACCAACAATACCAACAACACTCATACCACAACACCAACAACACTCATGCCACAACACCAACAACACTCATGCCACAACACCAACAATACCAACCCCCGGGGTGCTGCTGTCATTTTATGGGGACAATCACCCCAATTCCAGGAACGAGTGTTTGGCTTCGTGTGGAACTCAAACAACCCAGCACCACGCATTACGACACTCGAAACACTCCACAGATGGATTTAACAATCCATTGCTTAACTGCCTCCACATCGCCACGCCGCGCAGCAAAGTACCGCGCAGACAAACAGGCTGCCCCAGGGGCGAGTGGCAGTAATAGCGAGCGGCAGTCGTGGTGGGTCACGGCGAGGCGAGTGGTGCTGGCGAGTAGCTGCTGCGGTGTCCCTGCGAATGCAGCATCCGCCCGTCGCAGGCGTGCGGACCGTTCCAAGGCCAGCGTCTGCCCTGGACGGTGTTGGTGACAGCGGTGCAGGCCCTGCCACAGTGGCTCGACTCCATCCTCGAGTTCTTTGCCTCGCTGCTCTTCGCAATCATCCTGGTCTTGCTCTCCAGGTGAGCGATGGGCGGAGGGGGGGGGGATGTACGTGTGACAATCCGTTGTATTTGTTTTAACCCCTCCCCCTCCTCCGCCCTTAATCACCTTCGCAAACAACCACGCTGAAACCACGATATTAACCTTGTGCCGGAGGCAGAGATTACGTCACTCCCTCCGGGGTGAACGGCGGTTGTTGTGGTTGTGTTCATGTGACGTGTGTGGATGTAGTGCAGGTGTGTGGAGAGCCGTAGTGTCATGGTGAGACCACTGCGCTATGGACAAGAGTAGGCAATTATGTGCAACCAAAATTTTATTTCCGATCACGGCAAACATCAGTGACAAATATATATATGACCAAGTTCTAGGCCTCCCTTAGGTCGACTTAGCCTTAAAGTAATATCTGGTACGGTCTGTAAACATCACCACTTGAGAGACAAAGGTGATGAGGCATGGCTCACCCAACAGCCTGTTCAAGGCTATAGGGGGCCTGTCTTTGCTTGTGTTGCTATCGCAAAATTGTGTTGATATCGCATGTTTGTGTGTGTGACTTGACAGCCTCTTCCTATTCTACATGACCACGCTTAACAATGCGCACGCGCGCGTCATCAATCAACTAAGAGACGAGCTGGCCATGGTGAGCCTCCACACTAACTCGCTGCCGGGCTGCTCACACTCACTCATTCACTCGGAGGCTTACACACACACACACACGCACTGACCCACTCGCACTCACTCACCCACTCACACACACGCACTCACCCACTCGCACTCACTCACCCACTCACACGCACTCACACACACGCACGCACTCACCCACTCACACTCAGCCACTCACACGCTTGCCTCCTGCCCAACCCTCTCATGTCTGACCCCGTGTCTGGTCCCTGTCGATGGTCCCTGTCTACGACCCCTGTGTGACCCCTGTGTGACCCCCGTCCGTCTCCCATGCCCCCCCCCCCCAAACCGTACCCCGTGTAGGTGGGCCGTGACCGGGCCTTCCTGGCCAAGCAGGTGAATGCCACTTCCAAGGGCGGCGGCGACGCCGGGCGGCACCGCGTGGCGCGCGGCGGCGGTCGCACCTCCTGCCTCGGCGGCGTCATTAACCTGGCGTACCAGCGCCACGGCGACCAGGGGGGTCCGCCTCAGGGGGCCCCTGTGGGGGACGTCGTGGGGCGGGCGGGGGTCAGGTACGCGGAAGGGGACGCGTCGCTACCCGGGACCCCGGCCCCGTACTAGACTCAGATGCGCGGCAGGCCGCGCTCCGTAAAATATAACTCGGTTTTTTTTTCTCTCACGAATGTTTACTCACAAAATGAAATGTAGCCGATTAGAAGACTGTGAAATCGTTGTTGATTACTCCGCACCCACAACTAATGCACCTGCAGAGTGATCGTGATTTGTTGCAATGTGCGCCATGATGCATTGGCCGAGACCGTGGCACCCGTGACACTCCTAATAAAGGCAGTCGTTGCATATACCTCGCTGCACGCAAACTGCACTGGCGTCTGGTGTCTGGTAAGGGCGATGGGAGGGACTGTGGCGAGTGCAGTAGCGCTCGCATGAATGCCTCGCCAACTCCAAACGCCTCGTATCACACATCTTCATCTCGACCATTCTGATGCCCAGCCGTAGTTGTAGCCCTCCGATGGCGAACGCAGCACTGTCCTGCAAGTGGACTTTAGTCTGTTAATCTGGCAAATTTGGAGCGTGATGCCGACACACGACGGCCTGCTGTTTGTCGAACGATGTCACGAATCCCTCATGTCCATTGTCAAAAAGATGGTGCAAAGTTTACGGTTAATGCACCATCGGTATTAACCAGGACAGCCCTGGGGCTTGAACAGCAAAGCTCCTACCAGTCCCATAAACTCGGCCCAGCACAGACCAAATCTGCACAAATCTCTAAACGAGAGTTGAGCCCGGTTATTACCCTGAAGGGAAGGTGCCAGGAAATATCAGGGCCTGTAGGTTTGGTCTTGAGGTGGGCCAGAAGACAGCTGTTTGGCACCGGATTCCTGAATCTATCTTCACGGAGCTCTGAGCGCTCCACCCTCGAATGTGTGCGAGTTTGCTCCGGAAAATCTGTTTTCATCTCCACGTGCCCACTCAAGGAGTCGCCAAACATCCCAGTGAACGGGTCCTTAAGACTCAATGGTGGCTCGCCGGAGCTTCGTCCCTCTCCGAAACCGCTCAGCGCTTGCGCCGCTTCACGCGCCGCGGTTTCGCGAGGCCTTTTCCGAACCAACCCGGCGCCGCCAGGCTCCCGGCCGCTGCCACCTTCCCTCCCTCTCCAGCCCTCGCCACATCCTCCCCAGTGCCGTGCGAAAGCTCGCACTCCTCCCCAGGGGCCGCCGCCAGTCCCGTCCTCTCGCCCTTTGGGCAAGCGGCCTCCTCTCCTGCCGCGGATCTCTGCGCGATGACGCAGAGCGGCTCCGGCCCCCCCACCGCTGCCAACGTGGCGGCCGGGGCGATGGGTCGGTGAGAGTGGCTGCCCTCTTCCCCGGGGCTCAGCGGAGTGGCCATGAGGAAGATGGGGTCGGTATCCCTGCCGTACGTGACGACACACACAGCACGCGCACGGCTCACCCCAAAGTGCACATCCGCCTGCCCATACGATGTGTTTGAAAAACAAAACACATGCACATTTGCTGATCCCAAGTGCAGCCTCGGCTAAATTTGGGGTAACTGTTGCTAAATGAACCACCACACTCCCGCACCACCACACCCCCACAGCTTCACACCCCCACACCCGAGGTCACCTTTTCCACAGACCCCGAATAATTTTGAAACCAGGTCTATCAAATCTGTGCAGCAATAAAGTTGAATGCAACGCCGGTAGCAGATCAATTCTGAACGCGATACCAGTCCCCGGGCTGTCTGGGTCCTACTCGGACAGGTGGCCCACCTGCTGTAGGCCGGGATGCCCAGGCCCAGCTGCTGCATGAGGAGGCGCAGAACTTCGTCGCAGGCCGCGTGGATCTTCAGCTCCGCCGCCACGTCCTTGGGCGTCCACTGGCACGCGCGCACGGACGCACGTGGAGGCACGAGCGTTAGCCAGGAGCGGCGGTAGCAGAGACACGCGAACAAGCGCATGCCCCCCCCCCCCCCCCAACACGCAGATCCCCTCCCGCGCCCCCACCTGCAGGTTGACGATGTAGAGCTTGGGTCGCTGAGCGGGGGGCCGCTCCATCCCCCACAGGCACGGGTACCTCCTCAGCACCTGCACCCACATTTGGTGAGGTAGCGGGGGGGCGTGGCGACGGCGTGCTGAGTGGCAGTGCGGTGACTGACGGTTGGCAATGAAGTGATTACCGAATCGTGGCGAGTGGGTGGTGAGTGGGTGGTGAGTGGGTGGTGGGTGGGTGGTGAGTGGGTGGTGAGCGTCGTGGCGAGTGGGTGGTGAGCGTCGTGGTGAGTGGGTGGCGAGCGTCGTGGTGAGCGTCATGGCGAGTGCAGGCCTGCGCAAGCGCGACGCGTCTCACCTTCAGGCTGCTGCCCAGGCACAAGATGGCGTCCGCCTTCCGCGCGGCCCCCGCGGCGCCCGCCCAGTTGAGGGGGCGCTCCAGCGTCCCGCGCTCCCCGAAGTGCACGATGGTGTCGCGCAGGGGCCCCCCGCAGCCCGCCGGCCCCCCGCACGCGCGCCCCGTCTCGTGCCGCCGCACCGCCGTGCGCTCGGTGACGTCGAAGAGCCGCACGACCTGGCGCCCGCACGCCGGGCATGCCTGCGCGGGCAGCGGAACCGCGGGGCGGGCGATGGCGAGAGAGACGCGGGCAGAGGGAGAGACGGGGAGAGACACACGGAGGAGAGAGAGAGAGACGTGCGGTCTCACAACCACAGACTGAAGGGAAGCAGAGGCTTCAGCACACATCACAGGCAGTGTCTTACAACTGGAGTAAGTGGGTCGGGTAAGTGCATGGCAGAGGTCGCAAACGGGTTTTGATTCCTTACCCGTACCCGGCCGCACCAGGGTCGCAAACGGGTACCCGTACCCGTACCCGGCCGTACCCGTACCCTACCCGTACCCGGCCGGGTTCGGGTAGGGTACGGGTATCGGGTACCTGATCGTGACCTCTGGGATGAAGCCATGTTGCAGGCGCGGGTGGGTTGATTCTAGGAACTTGAATTGTGAGAAGAGACAAGACGTTGGGAATTGAGTGACAAACGGTTACTCACCAGTGACTCACGGTCTACCCGTACCCGTACCCGGCCGCACCAGGGTCGCAAACGGGTACCCGTACCCGTACCCGGCCGGGTACGGGTAGTCGGGTATCGGGTAGGGTACGGGTATCGGGTACCCGGTTGCGACCTCTGGTGCATGGGTAAGTGGGTAAGTAGAGGAGTGGGAGAGTAAATTGATGAGTGGTTAGTCAGTGGGTGAGTGAATGGGTTAGTAGGTGGGTGAGTAAGTCGGTGAGGGAGTGGGTGAATGGTCAGTGAGTGGCCGGTGAGTGGGCGGTGAGTGGCCGGTGAGTGGCGGGTGAGTGGCGGGTGAGTGGCGGGTGAGTGGCGGGTGAGTGGGCGGTGAGTGGCCGGTGAGTGGCGGGTGAGTGGCGGGTGAGTGGCGGGTGAGTGGGCGGTGAGTGGCGGGTGAGTGGCGGGTGAGTGGCGGGTGAGTGGGCGGTGAGTGGCGGGTGAGTGGCGGGTGAGTGGCGGGTGAGTGGCGGGTGAGTGGGCGGTGAGTGGCGGGTGAGTGGCGGGTGAGTGGCGGGTGAGTGGGCGGTGAGTGGGCGGTGAGTGGCGGGTGAGTGGCGGGTGAGTGGCGGGTGAGTGGGCGGTGAGTGGGCGGTGAGTGGCGGGTGAGTGGCGGGTGAGTGGCGGTGAGTGGGCGGTGAGTGGCGGGTGAGTGGGCGGGTGAGTGGCGGGTGAGTGGCGGGTGAGTGGCGGGTGAGTGGGCGGTGAGTGGCGGTGAGTGGCGGGTGAGTGGCGGGTGAGTGGCGGTGAGTGGCGGGTGAGTGGGCGGTGAGTGGGCGGTGAGTGGCGGGTGAGTGGGCGGTGAGTGGGCGGTGAGTGGCCGGTGAGTGGCGGGTGAGTGGCGGGTGAGTGGCGGTGAGTGGGCGGTGAGTGGCGGTGAGTGGCGGGTGAGTGGGCGGGTGAGTGGGCGGTGAGTGGCGGGTGAGTGGCGGGTGAGTGGCGGGTGAGTGGCGGGTGAGTGGCGGGTGAGTGGCGGGTGAGTGGCGGGTGAGTGGCGGGTGAGTGGCGGGTGAGTGGCGAGTCGGTGCTGACCTCCATGTACATGTTGCCGTGCAGCTCGCTGAGTGCGTTGGGGTCGAGGCCGCTCCGCACGTGCAGCCCGTCACAGTTCTGCGACACCACGTGCTGCACCTGCCGCACACACACACGACCCCCGTGTGTGCTGCTTGACATCTGTCAAAACACTGGGCATCTGTAGAAATACATATTCTGATTCAGATTGCCAGTGAGCACCTATGGAGGCCAGCATGGCAAACGAAAGAGCGGTGATGTTTACACAGATTTTCGTCACTGATTTTGGCCGTGAGTGGGAATTGAACCAATACATTACTATTCCTTCAACGCACACAGACACGCAGACACATGCAGACACAAAGAAAGATACAGATACACATATACAAAAGACAGGGATCCCCGTACAACCTTAACAAACTGTTGGGGCAAGTGCTGTTAGCGAGTGCTTATGAAGGCCGGCACGGCACACGAGGGGGTGGGTGACCAAGACCACGGCCAGCCGCCTTTGTCTCCCTAGTGGCGATGTTTACACACCACACCAGGTACTCATTTGAGGCCGAGTCGACCTACGTTGAGGCCCAGAACCGGTTCAGATAATCGTCACTTGTGTTGGTCGTGAACGGGAATCGAACCTGGGTGGCCAGGTTCCTAGTGCAGCGCGCTCACCACTACACTACCGCTCATACACAGATACACACACTCACACGTGGACCCTTAAAGATAACAATGACTGCCATTCACCGCTAAGTGCGAGGTGCTTGCACCAGGCTAGTCTCAGCATGTCACAGAGCAGAATTGACTGAGATGACTGGCAGATGCACCACCTGTGCTTTCCGCTCTCCCACATGGCCGTGTTTTATCTGCCCGGCGCTCCGCTCGTTCCTCCACCCTTCGCTGCTGCGACTGCGCGTGGGTGTGATGTGCGTGGCGAGTGGTGTGGAAGTTTGGGGGTGTGAGTGGCAAGGGGGCTAAATGGTAAGTGCGTGGCTCACCAGCCCCTCGCGATGCAGCTGTGCGAGACACATGTGTGTGAGCGTGGGCTCGGCGTCGCTCAGCTCCACCATCCTGCACACACACACACACGGGCAGGGGGAAAGATTTACACACACGCACACAACATAGCCTATTGCCATTTTCTTGGTTCTTTCGGTAAAGTCACGTAGAAGGAAAATAATAAAAATAAACATAATAAAATAAAATAATTCTCACGACGTTTCTTATATTATTTTTTATTTTATTATGTTCTATTATTATTTTATTATTTCCCTTCTACGTGACTTTACCGAAAGAACCAAGAAGATGGATCCCTGCAGTCACGAAAGGTTTAAGTCGAAATATTGTCATTTTGTTAATTAAGTGGCGGTGATGCCACCGTCACGCTTGGTGCGCTTTGAGGCCAATGAAAGTGTGGAAGGCTCACTCTGCTATCAGGAAGTCACGGGGCAGACCCAAGTGGGTGTGTGTTGCACGTGTGTGTGTGTGTGTTGCACGTGTGTGTGTTTTTGCACGTGTGTGTGTTGCACGTGTGTGTGTTGCACGTGTGTGTGTGTTGCACGTGTGTGTGTTGCACGTGTGTGTGTGTGTTGCACGTGTGTGTGTGTTGCACGTGTGTGTGTGTTGCACGTGTGTGTGTGTTGCACGTGTGTGTGTGTGTTGCACGTGTGTGTGTGTGTGTGTTGCACGTGTGTGCGTGTGTTCCTTGAGAAGGGTCTTCGTTTCGCAACACGTACATCCACGCCACACACACACACACACAAGCTCGTTCCACATAGCAAGCACTCCCGCATCTCCCCCCCGACTTACCCGACGCTCTGTCCCCTCTTCAGCAGCGTCCACACCCCACGCGGCCCCCGGTAGTCCGGGATGGCGGCCGCCTGCGCCACGGACACACGGCCCAGAGAGGTGAATGATGAGGGGAGAGCGACGAGTGTGTTCGTGCGGTGTGCGTTAGCACGCTGTGAAAATGGGTGATGGTTACAGTGATCATGTGGAACTTTGGGGAGGGGGAGAGCCGGGGGAGAGGGTGGGGTGGGGTGGGGAGGGAGAGGGTGGGGTGGGAGAGGGTGGGGTGGGGTGGGAGAGGGTGGGGTGGGGTGGGAGAGGGTGGGGTGGGGTGGGAGAGGGTGGGGTGGGGTGGGAGAGGGTGGGGTGGGGTGGGAGAGGGTGGGGTGGGGTGGGGTGGGAGAGGGTGGGGTGGGGTGGGGAGGGAGAGGGTGGGGTGGGGTGGGAGAGGGTGGGGTGGGGAGGGGAGGGAGAGGGTGGGGTGGGGTGGGAGAGGGTGGGGTGGGGAGAGGGTGGGGTGGGAGAGGGTGGGGTGGGGTGGGAGAGGGTGGGGTGGGGAGAGGTGGGGAGAGGAGAGGGTGGGGTGGGGTGGGGTGGGGAGGGAGCGGCCCCCACCGTGCTGATGCCGGCCCCCGTGTAGGCGACGAGGCAGCGTGCTCCGCGCACGGCCCCCGCCAGGAGAGACACCTTGCGCTGCAGCTCCTCGGCAGACTCGTGTCTCTGCGCGCACGGACACGCCGTGCGTCGTGAGCGAGGAGGGGTGTCTCTGTGAGGTGCGAGCGAAGAGGTGAGGTGAGGCGGTGCTCACGGTGAGCGATGCCGTGCCCCCCCCCCCGTACCTCGTCGGAGCGGCCCCGCACGGCTCGGGTGCGCTCCTCGCGTCGTCTCAATCGCTGCCAGAGCTCGGGGTACGCGGAGAGAGCAGCGTGCTCAGCAGGGGACCACGACGAGGGGCACCTCGTCACGACGGCCCGCAGCTACACCCCACGCACACACCACACACACACAGCATGGAATACACACACACACCACTCACACACACAGCATGTAATACACACACACACCACTCACACACACAGCATGGAATACACACACACCACTCACACACACAGCATGGAATACACACACACCACGCACACACACAGCATGGAATACACACACACCACTCACACACACAGCATGGACTACACACACACACCACTCACACACACAGCATGGAATACACACACAGCATGGAATACACACACAGCATGGAATACACACACAGCATGGAATACACACACACTCCACTCACACACACAGCATGGAATACACACACACCACGCACACACACAGCATGGAATACACACACACACCACTCACACACACAGCATGGAATACACACACACACCACTCACACACACAGTATGGAATACACACACAGCATGGAATACACACACACACCACTCACACACACAGCATGGAATACACACACCACTCACACACACAGCATAGAATACACACACATACCACTCACACACACAGCATGGAATACACACGCAGCATGGAATACACACACAGCATGGACTACACACACACACCACTCACACACACAGCATGAACTCCACACACCATGTACACACGATACGCAATGCACGGTCTACACACACACACACACGCACACACGCGTAACACACACGCACACGTGTAACACACACACACACGTGTAACACACGCACACACGCGTAACACACACGCACACGTGTAACACACACACACACGTGTAACACACACGTGTAACACACACGCACACGTGTAACACACACACACACGTGTAACACACACACACACACACGTGTAACACACACACACACACACGTGTAACACACACACACACGTGTAACACACACACACACGTGTAACACACACACACACGTGTAACACACACACACAACACGTGTAACACACACACACACAACACGTGTAACACACACACACACAACACGTGTAACACACACACACACAACACGTGTAACACACACACACGCGTAACACACACACCACGTGTAACACACACACACACACGTGTAACACACACACACACACGTGTAACACACACACACACACACGTGTAACACACACACACACGTGTAACACACACACACACACGTGTAACACACACACACACACGTGTAACACACACACACACGTGTAACACACACACAACACGTGTAACACACACACAACACGTGTAACACACACACAACACGTGTAACACACACACTCACGTGTAACACACACACAACACGTGTAACACACACACAACACGTGTAACACACACTCACGTGTAACACACACACGTGTAACACACACACACACACACGTGTAACACACACACACACACACACGTGTAACACACACACACACACACACGTGTAACACACACACACACACGTGTAACACACACACTCACGTGTAACACACACACACAACACGTGTAACACACACACAACACGTGTAACACACACACAACACGTGTAACACACACACTCACGTGTAACACACACACAACACGTGTAACACACACACAACACGTGTAACACACACACACACGTGTAACACACACACAACACGTGTAACACACACACTCACGTGTAACACACACACTCACGTGTAACACACACACAACACGTGTAACACACACACAACACGTGTAACACACACACGTGTAACACACACACACACGTGTAACACACACACACACGTGTAACACACACACACACGTGTAACACACACACACACGTGTAACACACACACAACACGTGTAACACACACACACACGTGTAACACACACACACACACGTGTAACACACACACACACACACGTGTAACACACACACGTGTAACACACACACACGTGTAACACACACACACGTGTAACACACACACAACACGTGTAACACACACACACACACGTGTAACACACACACGTGTAACACACACACGTGTAACACACACACACACGTGTAACACACACACACGTGTAACACACACACACACACGTGTAACACACACACACGTGTAACACACACACACACGTGTAACACACACACACGTGTAACACACACACAACACGTGTAACACACACACGTGTAACAACGTCGCAGTACCCGACACGCTCACGGACATCTCGCAGTCCACTCTCGACGAGGAATGGAGACGGTGGTGATGGTGGTGATGGTGGGGGGGGGGTTTGTGTCGAGGTGAAGTTGAAAAACAGCGGACGCGCGCACACCTTGAATGTCGAGCCACTCGGTATCCCTGATTACACAACCCCCTCACTAACACAGCACTAACACAGCACTAACTAACACAGCACTAACACTACACACACAGCACACAGCCCCGTGTAGCCTGTAACATGCTGCTGGGGCAAGTGCTATTAGCGAGCACCTATGAAGGCCGGCACGGTACACGAGGGGGTGGGTGGCCAGCACCACGCCCGGCCGCCTTTGTCTCCCCAGTGGTGATGTTTACTACACATCGCACCGGGTACTCGTTTGAGGCTGAGTCGACCTAGGAGGAGGCCCAGGACCAGGTTACTGATAACCGTCACTGGGTGTTGGTCGTGAGCGGGAATCGAACCCGGGTTTCGTAGCGAAGCGTAGCGCTAACCACCACACTACCGCCCCCCACAACAACAACCACCAACACGAAGTGGCGGTGACGTCACCACGGCTCTTGTGCCAGGCTAGGTGCACGTTGAGGTCATGTGAAGTGTTGAACGCCCGCCGGCAGGAGGGTTACGGGGCAGACCCAGCAGGTGCCGCACGGGTCGACTGATTCAGACGACTGGCACCACCTGTGCCCCCCACTGTGCGAGACAACAAACAACCACCACCAACACGAAGTGGCGGTGACGTCACCACGGCGCTTGTGCCAGGCCATGTGCACCTTGAGACACACACACACGGCACGCAACCACCGCACGCTCCCGCCTCTCACCCGCTTCTCGGTCTCGGCGCGCTCCTCGCGCCGCCTCCGCTGCGCCGCCGCCTCCGCCTTCCTCGCCTCGCGCGACGACAACAACGACAACGGCGGCGACGCCATCGTCTCCAGGACACTGGTTGCACTGACGTCAATGACGTCATTCACGCCCGCGGTGACGTCATTTACGCCCGCGGTGACGTCATTTACGCCCGCGGTGACGTCATTGACGCCCGCGGCGACGCCATTGACGCCCGCGGTGACGTCATTCACGCCCGCGGTGACGTCGTTCACGCCCGCGGTGACGTCATTTACGCCCGCGGTGACGTCGTTCACGCCCGCGGTGACGTCGTTCACGCCCGCGGTGACGTCATTGACGCCCGCGGCGACGCCATTGACGCCCGCGGCGACGCCATTGACGCGGTGACGTCGTGTTCTCTCGCCCGCGAAACGACGTCACGCACCTACATGACGTCACGCACGCAGCATCGCGGGGGGTGTGTGGGTCCGCGTCATTTGTTCGATTGGACCGCGGACTGTCGTGACGTCACGCGGACACCCACACCGCTTGGTGGCGATGACGTCACAACGATGTTTGTTGCTCGGGGCAACGGGGCCACGTGGAGCGTGGAAGTCTGGAGTTTGCTGGCGAGAGATCACGGCACAGAGCCACAGGTGCCATGGGGTCCACCACGAGATGACTTGGCAGATGGACCTCCTGTGACCCCCGTCCCACGCCCTCACTGTGATATAAATCACTGCGTTTTATCCGCCCGGTCCTCCGCTCGTTGTTGTGAGCGTCGCTCGTCTCGCCCTGTTGCTGGAGGGCGACTGCCTCCCATTTGCCCAGTAGTAGCAGCAGCGTCCTTCACGAGCCTCTCCTCCACAGAGGCCGATCTTGGCACTGGCTGATTGCTCGTCTTCGACAAGTCCGCTCAGCTCCACATCCTCCATCATACACTGGGAGTGTCATTGCTGCCAGCTATGGCTGCATGTTTGGTCATACGTCTTCTTGGTTCTTTCGGTAAAGTCACGTAGAAGGGAAGTAATAAAAATAAAACATAATAAAATAATTCTCACGACGTTTCGGCCACAATGCGTTGTGGCCGAAACGTCGTGAGAATTATTTTATTGTTTTATTTTTATTATTTTATTATTTCCCTTCTACGTGACTTTACCGAAAGAACCAAGAAGATGAATCCCTACAGTCACGAAAGCTTTAAATCGAAATTTTGGTCATACGTGTTATGTATATCGTTTATTGTTCAATTTAAATCACAGTTCCTATGATTACTGTTGTTACATTGTTTTTATAGCTTTATTTTAGTGATTTGAAAACATATGGTTAATCTAAATTGTCTTATGGTTGTTGTTGTTGGCTTGCACCAACTTTGTGATTTTTTCAAGTATCAAGTACAGCTGTCGTGGCTGTGACGGTTCCACCTGAAGACGGAAGCTTGTGTTGCCTCCGAAACGTCGTGATTTTTATTTTATTTTATTTTTTTAATGTTTTACCTACGTGACTTTACCGAAAAAACCTAAGAATATGAATCATTGCAGTCACGAAAGTTTCAAATCTAGCGTTTTAATACTTTTTTTTTGGGGGGGGGGGATATTTGCTGGTTTATTGCAGGATGTTTCTGTTACGCGTCGTCACTTTAAAAATGTTCTGTGTTCATATTTTGTTTGTTGCGGTTGCACCCGACTCAAGAGCCGCATGGCTCACAGGGCTCTACCTAATAAATGAAACTTGAAACTTGAAAACTTGAAACTCCAGTAGCCGCATCTTCTCCAGCCCGGGCCGTTGCCCCTTTATCCAACCTCTACCGGGCCAAACACAAGCTGCTTGGGCATGCGGGCTACGTGACCCAGCCAACGCCACCGCCCCTAACACCATCACGAATCAAGACCGACACCGCACGTCTGTTCACAAGCCTTTATTGCCAAGACTCGAACACCTCCTGGACTCCGCCTTATCTTTCTACACACTCGCCTGCTCACAATCCTCGACTCTATTCACAACCCTCTACTCTATTCACTCCTACACTAATCTCTATTCACAGCCCTATAATCGCATTTCTCTATTCACACCCCTCTATTTACAACCCCCCTAATTCAGAATCCACTACACACGCTACTCCCACGCTATTCACGTCTCCTATCCGTAATCACCTCTTCACCAGGGGAGGAGGGGGGGGGGGTCACGAGGGAGAGGGTGGAGGATGGGGTGGGTGGGGGGCAGACACAAGCGCAGGAGGAGGAGGGAGGGAGGGGGGGTGCTCGCGAGAGGGTGACTCTCAGCGCTCACGGTCAGAGCCTATGGGTTGGGTCAGGGGGGGGGGGGGGGTGCGAGGTCGGGGTCAAGAGTTGGGGGGGTCAGGAGCCGGAGGAGCCGGAGGAGCCGGAGGAGCCGGAGGAGCCGGGAGCAGCGCGAGGAGGAGGAGGAGCTGGGGAGGAGGGGGCCACGCTGCTCGTTGTGGAGGAGAGGCTCCGCGCGAGTCGGACGCCAGGGGGGGGCACGCGGGAGGGGGGCCGCAGGGATGAGGGCGCCCCCCCGCCCGTGTACACCCCGGCGCGGCACGGGGAGCTCGAAGCCTGTGCAGGGGAGACAGGGCTCAGCGGGGGGCAGGACACCCCCCCCCCCCACGCGGAGAGCGGACGGTGACGGCATTCGCAGAGGGCATGGAGGGGGGGGGGCATGCCGATTTGGGGTCCACTTGGGCATGCAGGGGGGCAGTGGGGCATGCAGAGGGGGGCAGTGGAACATGCAGAGGGGGGTAGTGGGGCAAGCAGATTTGGGTTCCACTTGGGCATGCAGAGGGTAGCAGTGGAGCATGCAGGGGGAGTGTGGGGGGCAGTGGGGACATTGCGGGGGGGGGGGGCAGTGGGGCATGCAGAGCGGGGGACACTTGGACGTGCAGTGCCCCCTCGTGTGGTGAGCGGCGGTGATGACGAGACGCGGTTATTTGCGAAGAACACTTTTGACTGACTAAGCGGAGTGGTTGACCAGCTCGGCGCGCGACACAACAAGCGTGAATGATAACAGCGAAACAGCGAACCACGCACAGCAACAGCGGATGGATCATAGCAAGCGCAGGCAGCAGGATGGCTCCGTGTTCACACGGGGAAGATGTGCCGCTACCTCGGCATATCCTGTGCCTTCTAAACATGTCAACGGTGGTCGTGTGTGTACCTGTGTCGTTGTGTATATGTGTGTGTGTACGTATGTGTGTGTAATTCTCTGTGTGTGTGCAATTCTGTGTGTGTGTGTAATTCGGTATGTATAATTATGTTTGTATGCAGGTGCTCGCTAACAGCACTTGCCCCTACAGTCTGTTACGGCTATAAGGGGGATCTTTATCTTTGTATGTCCGACTGAAGCTCCTCTTCTGTAGCAGACAGAGAATCCGGTGTCTGTGCAGGACCACCCTGGCCTGAGACCACCATACTGGGTCTCCACGACCTTGTCAGCGCGCTGCTTGGCAAGGGGATGTTGCAGAATCCAGGACCTTTGTTTGACCAGTTCAAGGAGTTTTCCGTGGCTGTGCCAGTGGAATTTCTGCAGATACAGTGGCAGCTTGATCGATGCCTTTGTGCGCTAGAGGGATGGCTCCTTATTGGTCAACCAAATCTGTAATGCTGATGGATCAGGTTACCGCTGTTCACTTTCACGAGTTCTGCTACTGTAGTTGGAGCATGCCACCACGAGGTGGGGCCTTTCCATCAGTCCTGACAACAGAGCACTCGTCTCGGTATTCTATGTCACGCGACACCCACCCCCGTAAATTCTCCACCAGTACTAAGGTAATGGCAGAGGAGGATTGAGGGGTTTGATTGCCTGGCCAGAATGCTCGTGACAGCTCCAACTTGGCAGCGGAGGTCTCCCTCCAACTCAGTCGAGCAGCGTAATCTTGTTTTATTGGCTGCGTGACGCTCTGCGGAAACTACCTGGCCTGTCGCTTAAATGTTGGGTCTTCCCGGCGACAATTATGCCCCATCCATGTTTGTATGCTTGCAAAACGTGGACCCTTTTAAGGGACACCTGTGCCGGATAAAAACATTCAGGCTGTCGTGCCTACGATCCTTTTCATTATTTGCAGGAGGGCTCATGAAAACCATGATATTTCACTGTGTAGGTCAAATGCCCAGCCACCACGTGCCCGAGCAGCTTTTGACTGGCCAGACAGAGGGGAATAAATGGGTGTGGCACGGGAGTGATGTGGTACAGGAGGATATGGAGCTGAGTGGACTTGATCGGCCCTTGTGGTGGAGGCTCGTGAAGGACGCTACTGGGCAGCTGGAAACAGTCGCTCTCCAGCAAGAGCGGAGGAGCAACGCTCACAACAACGAGCGGAGCACCGGGCGGATAAAATACAACGAGGTGGGTCAGGAGAAAGCACAACTGGTGCATCTGCCAGTCAGCTGACTCTGTTAATTCATACCACACTTCACATGGCCTCAAAGTGCACCTAGCCTGATAAATGAGGAAGCAACGTCACTGCCACTTGGTCTAGAATAGCGATTGTTTTTGTGTGCGAGGCATTTGTCTACAACATGTGTGTGCGGGGTTCAGTAATGGTGTGTGCGTTGCCCGTGTGTGCTGCGTGTGTGTGTGCTGCGTGTGTGTGTGCTGCGTGTGTGTGTGTGTGCTGCCTGTGTGTGCTGCGTGTGTGTGTGTGCTGCCCGTGTGTGCTGCGTGTGTGTGTGCTGCGTGTGTGTGTGTGCTGCGTGTGTGTGTGCTGCGTGTGTGTGTGTGCTGCGTGTGTGTGTGTGCTGCGTGTGTGTGTGCTGCGTGTGTATGTGTGCTGCCTGTTTGTGCTGCGTGTGTGTGTGCTGCGTGTGTGTGTGCTGCGTGTGTGTGTGTGCTGCCTGTGTGTGCTGCGTGTGTGTGTGTGCTGCCCGTGTGTGCTGCGTGTGTGTGTGCTGCGTGTGTGTGTGTGCTGCGTGTGTGTGTGCTGCGTGTGTGTGTGTGCTGCGTGTGTGTGTGTGCTGCGTGTGTGTGTGCTGCGTGTGTATGTGTGCTGCCTGTTTGTGCTGCGTGTGTGTGTGCTGCGTGTGTGTGTGTGCTGCCCGTGTGTGCTGCGTGTGTGTGTGCTGCGTGTGTGTGTGTGCTGCCTGTTTGTGCTGCGTGCGTGTCACTTGGCAGGCTGGTTTCGCTTGTCCAGTTTGCTCATGACCTGTGTGAGATCCATCTGCGGCACCGCTGCCGTGGCCTTCCGTGCCTCCTCCTCCTCCTCGGCCGCACGCAGCACCACTGGACTGGGGCTCGCGTGGCGTGGGAAGCGGGTACTAAGAGGTGGGGGGGGGGTAGGAGAGAGGGGGAGAAAAGTCATCGCCATGTAAGCACGTGATCGTTGCACGTCCAAGTGTCTGATGAATTGCCATCGACGAGTATTTTATCCTTCCCTCGTCCCCTATTCCGTGTCCGTCCCAGAAGATTTGCGCCTGATTTTGCGCGCCTCGCTGATTGCGGATCCGATCCTCCTCCGCTCCTCCTCCGCTCGTGCAGTAACGGGCACGCAGGTCACCGCTTACCAGAGGTGTGGACTCGAGTCATGTGACTTGGACTCGAGTCAGACTCGAGTCATGAATTTGATGACTTCAGACTCGACTTGGACTTGCATAACAATGACTTTGTCCCACCTCTGAGGTGTGGACTCGAGTCATGTGACTTGGACTCGAGTCAGACTCGAGTCATGAATTTGATGACTTCAGACTCGACTTGGACTTGCATAACAATGACTTTGTCCCACCTCTGAGGTGTGGACTCGAGTCATGTGACTTGGACTCGAGTCAGACTCGAGTCATGAATTTGATGACTTCAGACTCGACTTGGACTTGCATAACAATGACTTTGTCCCACCTCTGAGGTGTGGACTCGAGTCATGTGACTTGGACTCGAGTCAGACTCGAGTCATGAATTTGATGACTTCAGACTCGACTTGGACTTGCATAACAATGACTTTGTCCCACCTCTGAGGTGTGGACTCGAGTCATGTGACTTGGACTCGAGTCAGACTCGAGTCATGAATTTGATGACTTCAGACTCGACTTGGACTTGCATAACAATGACTTTGTCCCACCTCTGAGGTGTGGACTCGAGTCATGTGACTTGGACTCGAGTCAGACTCGAGTCATGAATTTGATGACTTCAGACTCGACTTGGACTTGCATAACAATGACTTTGTCCCACCTCTGAGGTGTGGACTCGAGTCATGTGACTTGGACTCGAGTCAGACTCGAGTCATGAATTTGATGACTTCAGACTCGACTTGGACTTGCATAACAATGACTTTGTCCCACCTCTGAGGTGTGGACTCGAGTCATGTGACTTGGACTCGAGTCAGACTCGAGTCATGAATTTGATGACTTCAGACTCGACTTGGACTTGCATAACAATGACTTTGTCCCACCTCTGAGGTGTGGACTCGAGTCATGTGACTTGGACTCGAGTCAGACTCGAGTCATGAATTTGATGACTTCAGACTCGACTTGGACTTGCATAACAATGACTTTGTCCCACCTCTGAGGTGTGGACTCGAGTCATGTGACTTGGACTCGAGTCAGACTCGAGTCATGAATTTGATGACTTCAGACTCGACTTGGACTTGCATAACAATGACTTTGTCCCACCTCTGAGGTGTGGACTCGAGTCATGTGACTTGGACTCGAGTCAGACTCGAGTCATGAATTTGATGACTTCAGACTCGACTTGGACTTGCATAACAATGACTTTGTCCCACCTCTGAGGTGTGGACTCGAGTCATGTGACTTGGACTCGAGTCAGACTCGAGTCATGAATTTGATGACTTCAGACTCGACTTGGACTTGCATAACAATGACTTTGTCCCACCTCTGAGGTGTGGACTCGAGTCATGTGACTTGGACTCGAGTCAGACTCGAGTCATGAATTTGATGACTTCAGACTCGACTTGGACTTGCATAACAATGACTTTGTCCCACCTCTGAGGTGTGGACTCGAGTCATGTGACTTGGACTCGAGTCAGACTCGAGTCATGAATTTGATGACTTCAGACTCGACTTGGACTTGCATAACAATGACTTTGTCCCACCTCTGAGGTGTGGACTCGAGTCATGTGACTTGGACTCGAGTCAGACTCGAGTCATGAATTTGATGACTTCAGACTCGACTTGGACTTGCATAACAATGACTTTGTCCCACCTCTGAGGTGTGGACTCGAGTCATGTGACTTGGACTCGAGTCAGACTCGAGTCATGAATTTGATGACTTCAGACTCGACTTGGACTTGCATAACAATGACTTTGTCCCACCTCTGAGGTGTGGACTCGAGTCATGTGACTTGGACTCGAGTCAGACTCGAGTCATGAATTTGATGACTTCAGACTCGACTTGGACTTGCATAACAATGACTTTGTCCCACCTCTGAGGTGTGGACTCGAGTCATGTGACTTGGACTCGAGTCAGACTCGAGTCATGAATTTGATGACTTCAGACTCGACTTGGACTTGCATAACAATGACTTTGTCCCACCTCTGAGGTGTGGACTCGAGTCATGTGACTTGGACTCGAGTCAGACTCGAGTCATGAATTTGATGACTTCAGACTCGACTTGGACTTGCATAACAATTACTTTGTCCCACCTCTGAGGTGTGGACTCGAGTCATGTGACTTGGACTCGAGTCAGACTCGAGTCATGAATTTGATGACTTCAGACTCGACTTTGACTTGCATAACAATTACTTTGTCCCACCTCTGAGGTGTGGACTCGAGTCATGTGACTTGGACTCGAGTCAGACTCGAGTCATGAATTTGATGACTTCAGACTCGACTTGGACTTGCATAACAATGACTTTGTCCCACCTCTGAGGTGTGGACTCGAGTCATGTGACTTGGACTCGAGTCAGACTCGAGTCATGAATTTGATGACTTCAGACTCGACTTGGACTTGCATAACAATGACTTTGTCCCACCTCTGAGGTGTGGACTCGAGTCATGTGACTTGGACTCGAGTCAGACTCGAGTCATGAATTTGATGACTTCAGACTCGACTTGGACTTGCATAACAATGACTTTGTCCCACCTCTGAGGTGTGGACTCGAGTCATGTGACTTGGACTCGAGTCAGACTCGAGTCATGAATTTGATGACTTCAGACTCGACTTGGACTTGCATAACAATGACTTTGTCCCACCTCTGAGGTGTGGACTCGAGTCATGTGACTTGGACTCGAGTCAGACTCGAGTCATGAATTTGATGACTTCAGACTCGACTTGGACTTGCATAACAATGACTTTGTCCCACCTCTGAGGTGTGGACTCGAGTCATGTGACTTGGACTCGAGTCAGACTCGAGTCATGAATTTGATGACTTCAGACTCGACTTGGACTTGCATAACAATGACTTTGTCCCACCTCTGAGGTGTGGACTCGAGTCATGTGACTTGGACTCGAGTCAGACTCGAGTCATGAATTTGATGACTTCAGACTCGACTTGGACTTGCATAACAATGACTTTGTCCCACCTCTGAGGTGTGGACTCGAGTCATGTGACTTGGACTCGAGTCAGACTCGAGTCATGAATTTGATGACTTCAGACTCGACTTGGACTTGCATAACAATGACTTTGTCCCACCTCTGAGGTGTGGACTCGAGTCATGTGACTTGGACTCGAGTCAGACTCGAGTCATGAATTTGATGACTTCAGACTCGACTTGGACTTGCATAACAATGACTTTGTCCCACCTCTGAGGTGTGGACTCGAGTCATGTGACTTGGACTCGAGTCAGACTCGAGTCATGAATTTGATGACTTCAGACTCGACTTGGACTTGCATAACAATGACTTTGTCCCACCTCTGAGGTGTGGACTCGAGTCATGTGACTTGGACTCGAGTCAGACTCGAGTCATGACTCGAGTCATGTGACTTGGACTCGAGTCAGACTCGAGTCATGAATTTGATGACTTCAGACTCGACTTGGACTTGCATAACAATGACTTTGTCCCACCTCTGAGGTGTGGACTCGAGTCATGTGACTTGGACTCGAGTCAGACTCGAGTCATGAATTTGATGACTTCAGACTCGACTTGGACTTGCATAACAATGACTTTGTCCCACCTCTGCCGCTTACCTCTCGCGTGCACAGTCCCAGCCCATCTCGGGGGTGGCGGGGGGGGGGGGCATCCCCCTGGGAGGGGGGGTTGGAGGGGGGGGAGGGTTCTCACTTCTTGTCGGTCTCACGCGGCACCACGGCCTTGGCGAGGAGACTCTTGTAGAGATCCGACTTGAGGTAGCGGTAGAAGGTGTCCTGGAGGCAGGGGTCAAGGTCAAGAGGAGAAGTCACGTTTGACCCAGACATCCACTGTTCAACCCACAAAGGCGGTGCTCATTTTATGAAGCCCCGTGCAGTTTTCAGTTTTCATTTCACTTATTAGGTATAGCCCTGTGAGCCATTCGGCTCTTGAATCGGGTGCAACCGCAACAAACAAAAAAGAAAAACATGAACAAAAAAACATCTTAAAGTGACTGTGCGTGCAAATGATAGGCTCGGTCAATTCTTGGGTTGCCACTTTGTCTAGATCCGACCCCAGACCGTCCGAGGCAGTCCTGGCGTCGGTGTGTCTGGGACAGGAATTGATTTGTAGCTTAGCTGTGGTACCGGCGTTGCACTGGTACTGTGCAGTGCTGATCGGGCCTGGGTGCCTGAGAAACAACTCCGAGTTTACACCTCGAACTGAAAACGTGGCTGCCCTAGGTTGTGCTGTAGTTGGCACAGTAGGGGCACAGGTGGTGCATCGGCCAGTCATCTCAGTCAGCCGACGCATGGCACCTGGGTCTGCCCCGTGACCTCCTGCCAGCTGGCGTTCGACACTTCACGTAGCGTCAACGTGCACCTAGCCTGGCACAAGCTCCGCGGTGATGTCACCGCCACCAAACCCTCGCCATGCCACTCGCCCCCCCCCACCACCACGCGCTTCCCCCCACCTTCTTCATGAGCATGTAGATGTGCGTCTGCGCGGCGTCCAGCACGTATCGGTGCGGGCACTGGAGTCCGCGCACCGTGATGTCCATGGTCTTCCCGTCGATGTTGATCCAACGACGCGCTCCCTGTGCTAGGAACAGCCTGGGGGAGCGGGTGGGGGAGAGATGAGAGAGTGAGAGAGAGAGAGGCAGAGGGATGAGAGTTGGAATGAGAGAGCGGGAGAGGTAAGTGAGAGGCGAGAGAGACGCACCCCACCCCCACCGCCACTCACTTGTAAATCTCCTCCGCCTTCTCCTTCGCTTTGCTCTGATCCCCATGCTTCAGGTCCTCACAAGCTTCCCAGAATGCAAGATTCTCCCCTGCGCCATCACAAACATCGCACATTACACAACATCGCACATTACATCACCCCCCCCCCCAACACGTATCCACGATTTTTTCGATTTAAAGCTTTCGTGACTGCATGGATTCATCTTTTTGGTTCTTGCGGTAAAGTCACGTAGAAGGAAAATAATAAAAGAATAAAAATAAAATAAGCAAAAAATTATAAAATAATACAACATTACAAATAGAACATAATAAAATAATTATAATTTTTTATTTTATTATACAAATAAAACATAATAAAATAAATAAATAAAAATATTTTATTATGTTTTCTTTTTATTATTTTATTATTTCTCTTCTACGTGACTTTACCGAAAGAACCAAGAAGAGGAATGGATTTGTACCCGACATCCGGTACCGGCTCTGCGACTCCGCTCGAGCGAGAAAGAAACTCCATATTCATCTTCTTGGTTCTTTCGGTAAAGTCACGTAGAAGGGAAATAATAAAATAATAAAAATAAAACATAATACGTCCTCAGGTGTTGTTCTTCACCTGAGGACGTATTATGTTTTATTTTTATTATTATTAATACTTCCTCAGGTGAAGAACAGACCTGTTCTTTACCTGAGGACGTATTATGTTTTATTTTTATTATTTTCCTTCTACGTGACTTTGCCGAAAGAACCAAGAAGACGTATCCCCGATGTTGCTATCGCCGTCACGTGATGGAGCATCCGGGCAACAACCTCGCAGAGTAGTGCCGGCCTCGCTCCGTGTGTGAAAGAGCGCGCCGCGGAAGCGGATGTCACAGAGCTCCGTCTGAGATCCATTCTTCACACACAGTCGAGGGCTGCGCCGTCCCAACCGCCATGTGGGGGGGAGCCTCCCCCTACCTCCGCCCCCCCCATCTCTGCCCCCAAACCACCTCCGCCCCCCCCCCCACCTTTGTCCCCCCCCACCTCCGCCCCCCTCGACCCCCCCCCCCCTCCCGCACCGCTGAACTCTTTCTTGAGGAAGGCCTGGAACTCGCGTCGGCCCCGCGGGTCACGGAGCAGCTCCCGGAACGAGAACGCCCACCGCTCCACACGCAGCCGCGTGGGCACCTCCACGCTGAGCACAGCACGTGTACACACAACACGTGTACACACAGCACGTGCACACACAACACGTGTACACACCACACGCCACGTGTACACACCACCCAGCACGCACACACAACACACAGCACGTACAACACGTGTACACACAACACGTGTACACACAACACGTGTACACACAGCACGTGCACACACAACACGTGTACACACCACACGCCACGTGTACACACCACCCAGCACGCACACACAACACACAGCACGTACAACACGTGTACACACAACACGTGTACACACAACACGTGTACACACAGCACGTGCACACACAACACGTGTACACACCACACGCCACGTGTACACACCACCCAGCACGCACACACAACACACAGCACGTACAACACGTGTACACACCACACGCCACTTGTACACACCACACGCCACACACAACGTATACACGCCACGAGTGCACAACACAAACCACGCAAACACAACACGTGTGCTCAACACAAGCCACGCGTACACAACACACAGACATCACGTATGCGGGGCTAGTATGAGTGTTGGGGTCAGAGCGAGTGTTCATGTGACACGATATCGTGCTGCTGCTGCTGCTTTGGCAGTGGCGCGCAAGTCCACTTAACAAACCAACACTCAACACGTCCATCAATAACACTGCAGCCTTGACAGAAAAATTAATATATACTAGGCGACGTTTCGGGCAATAACCCCTCTTCATTGCGCGTATAAAATGATCTTGCACCAAGTGTCATTGACGAATGTGATGAGCTTTTGGTGAAGGGTCAGGCCTATGGCTATGGCCATGGTTAGGGTCAGGGTGATGTCGCCCCGTGAGCAGTGTCACCTGGGTGAGTTGAGGGTCCAGCACATGGTGTCGTCCGTTACCCAGGGGTTGCTGGGGAGACACGTGGTGAGTAGGGGGTCGTACACGCTGAACGACTCCGAGAACTTCAACAGACTAAAGGGGGGGGGGGGGAGTGTCATGGGTTAGCATCCCCCCGCCCCTCGCACCCCCCACACCCCCCCCCACTTCGTGTCGGGCCTCACCTCCCGAGGGAGACGGAGGTTTTGGTTCGAGAACGCAGTGCGGCCTGCTGGTAGTACATGACCTGGGGGACACGGTTCACGACCAGGTCAGCAACACGAACCCCCCGCCGCCCCACGGCAACGTGAATTGCATGCACACTGAACCTCTTTCTCGCCGTACGTAGCCAACGCTGCGTGTGTGGAGGGTGCGGGGGAAGGACAACACGCTGAACACAAAACGACGACATCGCTGTGTACGGGACGCACGCGTAGAGTTCGTGTGCCACGTGTTGCTTGTGATGTACGTGTGGGTTTTTTGGGGGGGAAATTTCGCTGTCATTCGTGCCGAGGGCACATCCAGGCGCTGCTGGGGAATTTGTATCGCGCGCCGCCGTTGCGCGGGGGGGGGGGGGGGGCAGGGGGGAGGCAGGGGGGGGGGGAGGCGGGGGGGGGCATGCAGCCAAAACTGGCGCCGCCAACAACTTACCCAAGCACCATTGGAAACTCATTTGCCAGTAAAATGAGGTACCAATGGTGTAAATGCTTACCCCGAGCTTTCATACTCTGATGGTGCATTGTCTTTGAGTTGTGCGCCTTTTGGCGTCATCTGGTCCAACCCATGTGAGACTAGGCTCTAAAGAAAGCTGTCTCGGGTGTGGACCAATCAACTTCAAGGACAGTGCATACATTATCAGAGTTGTGTTTTTTGTTTGCATTATAACTGCAGGTATTGTGGTCAATGCAAACATGACTCCTTGTAAAAAAGGTGTCAGTTTTCCTGCCAGATAGAAGGGTAAAAAAAAACCAATTATCAACTTGCCCAAGCTCTGTGGTCCTATCGTGGGGTGTTTGGCCAACTTCATTCGTAAGTGTTTACACGCGTGGGGTGAAGCCACATCACCCGGGGTGGGGTGGAGCAGGGTGGAGTGGGGTGAGGTGGAGTGGAGCGGGGTGGAGTGGGGTGAGGTGGAGTGGAGCGGGGTGGAGTGGGGTGAGGTGGAGCGGGGTGGGGTGGAGCGGGGTTAGGTGGAGCGGGGTGAGCTGGAGCGAGGTGGAGCGAGGTGGAGCGGGGTGGGGTGGAGTGGAACGGGGTGAGGTTTGCGCGGGGTGGAGTGGAGCGGCGTAAGGTGGATCGGGGTAGAGCGGAGCGAGGTGGAGCGATGTGGGGCGGAGTGGAGCAGGGTGAGGTGGAGTGAGGTGGAGCACAGCTCACCTGGCGACGGTATTGCTCCACCGTTGGCTTCTGCAAAAAAGAGAGACAGACACTGAGAGGATGCACCGTGCGAGGTTCGGGGTGCAGGGCGCAGGGCACTTGGTGTGGGGTGCAGGGCGCTTGGTGTGGGGTGCAGAGCGCTGGGTGCTTGGTGTGGGGTGCAGGGCGCTGGGCGCTTGATGTGGGGTGCAGGGCGCTTGGTGTGGGGTGCAGGGCGCAGGGCGCTTGGTGTGGGGTGCAGGGCGCTGGGCGCTTGGTGTGGTGTGCAGGGCGCTGGGTTACAGGGTGTCGTCACCTCCTCCGCGCCAGGCTCCATCACTCGGTTGAGTCCACTGTCCAGGGCATGCAGGGCACCGGGCTGCAGGGGATGTGGAGGCGGCGGGGTGGGGGGGTCAAAAAGACAATCAATGAACGCGGGACAACCAGCTCTACCCAGCGCTGCCCCCCTCAGTGGGGGGCCCCCCCCAACCGCGTGCGGCGCGCGCGCGTGGCTACCGGGGGTCTCCGCACGAGCCAGTGGGCGCGCTCCTGGCACTCGAGGACCACGCGGTCGCCTTTGGGCCGCTCGCGTCCGCTCCTGCACAACAAAGACAAAGACACCCCGTGTAGCTGCCGCGCGCTCTCTGGGCAAGTGCTGTTAGCGAGCGCCTATGAAGGTCGGCACATCGCACAAGGGGGTGGGTGGTGACCAGCACCACGCCCAGCGGCCTTTGTCTCCCCAGTGCTGATATGTACACACTGCGCCAGGTAGTCCTTTGAGGCTAAGTCGACCTAGGGGAGGTCCGGTAATGGTTCAGATAATCGTCGCTGGTGTTGGCCGTGAGCATGAATCGAAATCGAGTGGCTGGGTTCGTAGCGCAGCATTCTAACCACACAGACACACACAGACACACGGATACACAGACACACAGACAGACACACAGACACACACAGACACACAGACACACAGACACACAAACACACAGACACACACACACACACAGACACACACACACAGACACACAGACAGACACACGGATACATACCCAGCCAGCACCTCGCCTCGACAGACCCACCACATCACCAATATCATCACTCCATCATCCTCACCTCTCTCCCTCACCTGGCCCCTCACCTGCACCCCCCCCCACCTGCGCCCCTCACCTGTACTGCTCCTTGGCCTGGCACACCACGTAGTCCCACTCGTGGTTGATCTTCTGGTGCAGCGCGGAGTACAACTCCTGGTGAGGGGGAGGGGGGGAAGACGAGGAGGGGGGCAGAGAAGGACGGGGGGGGCGAGTGAGGAGCCACCACAACTGCCGATGACGCTGATTATGCCGTTGCTGATGTTGCTGCTGATGATGCTGCTGCTGCTGCTGATGATGATGATGATGCTGATGATGCCGGTTCTGATCGCACCTTCTCGTATTCGTCCAGTTCGCCCTTGCTGCGAATGTTTTTCCGCGCCAGGTAAATCGCTGTGGAAACACGGAGGAGCACAGCTGGCACGGGGAGCGGTGAGGTGGGGGGGGGGAGGTGTTGTGGGGGGGGGAGCGGTGAGGTGTTTGGGGGGGGGGAGCGGTGAGGTGTTGTGGGGAGGGGGGGGGGAGCGGTGAGGTGTTGTGGGGGGGGGGAGCGGTGAAGTGGGGGGGGGAGCGGTGAGGTGTTTGGGGGGGGGGAGCGATGAGGTGTTGTGGGGAGGGGGGGTGAGCGGTGAGGTGTTGTGGGGGGGGAGCGGTGAAGTGGGGGGGAGCGGTGAGGTGTTTGGGGGGGGGGAGCGGTGAGGTGTTGTGGGGAGGGGAGTGGTGAGGTGTGGTGGGGGGGAGTGACAAGAGGGTGGGGGTGCGAGTGGAGTGGAGCTACGCAATGGGGACGTGGTGAGTGTGTAAGGGGGTGAGAGAGAGGGCGGTGAAAGGGTGGAGGGATAAGATGATGGCGAATGTGGGGGGGGGGGGGCGGGGGGGGGTTCCCATCGCCTCCCAGCCCCACCGTAATCCGTGTCCTCGCTCTGGCTGTAATAAAGTGGCCAGAAGTAGGGGGCCTGCGGAGAGAAGGAGCACGAGCACACGTGACCCCCCCACACAGCGTGACCCCCACACACACAGCGTGACCCCCACACACGTGACCCCCACACACACAGCGTGACCCCCACACACACAGCGTGACCCCCACACACAAACGTGACCCCCACAGCGTGACCCCTACACAGCGTGACCCCCCACACATAGCGTGACCCCCACACACACACGTGACCACCACAGCGTGACCCCCACACAGCGTGACCCCCCACACACACACAGCGTGGCCCCCACACACACAGCGTGACCCCCACACACAGCGTGACCCCCACACACGTGACCCCCACACACGTGACCCCCACACACGTGACCCCCACACACACAGCGTGACCCCCACACACACAGCGTGACCCCCACACACGTGACCCCCACACACGTGACCCCCACACAGCGTGACCCCCCCACACACAGCGTGACCCCCCCACACACAGCGTGACCCCCACACATACACAGCGTGACCCCCACACATACAGCGTGACCCCCACACACGTGACCCCACACAGCGTGACCCCCACACAGCGTGACCCCCACACACTGCGTGACCCCCCCACACACACAGCGTGACCCCCACACACACACAGCGTGACCCCCACACACACAGCGTGACCCCCACACAGCGTGACCCCCCCACACACAGCGTGACCCACACACACACAGCGTGACCCCCACACAGCGTGACCCCCACACAGCGTGACCCCCACACACACACAGCGTGACCCACACACACACAGCGTGACCCACACACACACAGCGTGACCCACACACACACAGTGTGACCCCCACACACACACAGCGTGACCCACACACACACAGCGTGACCCACACACACACAGTGTGACCCCCACACACACACAGCGTGACCCACACACACACAGCGTGACCCACACACACACAGCGTGACCCACACACACACAGCGTGACCCACACACACACAGCGTGACCCCCACACACAGCGTGACCCCCACACAGCGTGACCCCCACACACACAGCGTGACCCCCACACACACAGCGTGACCCACACACACAGCGTGACCCACACACACACAGCGTGACCCACACACACACAGCGTGACCCACACACACACAGCGTGACCCACACACACAGCGTGACCCCCCCACACACACAGCGTGACCCACACACACACAGCGTGACCCACACACACACAGCATGACCCACACACACAGCGTGACCCCACACACACACAGCGTGACCCCCACACACACAGCGTGACCCCCACACAGCGTGACCCCCCACACACAGCGTGACCCCCACACACACAGCGTGACCCACACACACACATCGTGACCCCCACACACACAGCGTGACCCCCACACACAGCGTGACCCCCACACACACACACACAGCGTGACCCCAACACACACAGCGTGACCCCCACACACACAGCGTGACCCCCACACACACAGCGTGACCCACACACACACAGCGTGACCCCCACACACAGCGTGACCCCCACACACACAGCGTGACCCACACACACACAGCGTGACCCCCACACACACAGCGTGACCCACACACACACAGCGTGACCCCCCCACACACAGCGTGACCCACACACACACAGCGTGACCCCCACACACACAGCGTGACCCCCACACACAGCGTGACCCACACACACACAGCGTGACCCCCACACACAGCGTGACCCCCACACACACATCGTGACCCACACACAGCGTGACCCCCACACACACATCGTGACCCCCACACACACACAGCGTGACCCCACACAGCGTGACCCCCCCACACACAGCGTGACCCCCACACACACACAGCGTGACCCACACACACACAGCGTGACCCCCCCACACACACACAGCGTGACCCCAACACACACAGCGTGACCCCCACACACACAGCGGCACCTGGAAGCGGTAGAGGGAGCCATCGGGGCGCAGTGCGAGGTTGCGCGGCTCGGAGAGCGGATAGACGAAGCCGCAGGCGACCAACAGCCAGCTCAGGTGCAGCGCCTCTACGGAGGGGGGGGGGGGGCAATAGTGGGGAGGGGGGTGGGGGGGGGGTTTGGATGCCGGCGGATGAGGTCGGGGAAGGTCGGGGTAGGTGCGTGGAGAAGGGGGGAGGGGGTAGGGGGGAGGTTGCAGCGTTCGAGTTGCTCCCAAGTTGCTCACGAGTTGCACAAGAGGGCGAGCGCGGGGTTCAGGGTTGGAGCTACAGCGGGCGTCTGCAGGGAGCAGAGCGGGGTCGCCTCGTGCCCCCCCCGACCCCCCATGGCACGCAGCCAGGGCTCTGGTGACCCCCTGCTGCTCAAGCGACCAGTGAGGCGATGCTCGTCTACCGTTTCACCAGCAGCCGCGAGACAGGGGGATGGAATTCTACATACCTCTGGCAGGGGCTATCGTAGTGTAATGTGAGGATATATCCGGGTTGTTGATGGATCACACCTCGTTACGATGATTGGCTCTACCGGTCCTGGCCCATAGCCAATGGAGGGAAGTCTAGGGGCGTGGCCCTGACGTAACGGGAAGGTGACATCTGTAAGTAGAGGATTGGATCTGCTGGCTTTAGCCACAGCCAATGGGGGGGGGGGGGGGGGGCGAGTCAGGGGCGTGGTCCCGGGAGCGTACGATGGAGTCTAGAAGATTCCATAGAGGTTAACCAGGATTGGTGGAAAGGTACCACGTGACCCGGGTATTAAAAGGGGTGGAGACGGACAACACGTGGTCAGATCTGGAACGAACGGAGGGTGAGGCCACGCTGGAGCGGGGTCCAGGCTGCCACGTGGCCGCGCGTGTCTCTTTATCTCCCTCTCACGCTGTCTGTCAGCAGCGTGAAGGAGTAAGACAGGAGTGTTGTGAACGAAAGACAAAGACTGGATTCCAGAAGTCGCTTCCACGACCTTTATTACAGTAGTAACAACCACAGTCCGTTACCCCAGAAAGTGGTACTCGTTTTATCGATCCCGGAGAGAACGTTTGGCGGGGTAGGGGGTGGGGGGTGGGGGGTGGGGGGGGGGGGGGTTTGAGGGGGTTTGGTAGAGGGGGGGGGGGGCTCTCACCGTCCGCGGTCACGTGCAGCCCCTGCTCCATCCACTGCACGAGGTCGCGTCCTGCACGCGGCGCACAGCGGGACCCGCGCCTCGTCACGTGATCCAGTGGGGGGACGGGGGGGAAAGGGGGGGGTAGGGGGCGGGAGTGAGGGGGGGGGGGTGCGTGGGGGTGCGAGGGGGTGCCCTGACCAGTGGTGGCGTCGGGGATGATTGTGTCGCTGAGCAGCTGGTCCCTCATCGGCACCCCGCGTTCCGAGTCCTGCATGCGCGTCACCAGCGCTCCGAGCTGCCACGCCACGCCGGAGCACGCCCGTGATGATGTTCGCGCGCGAGATCTTCGCGTTCCAATTCGCGGTGCTGAAGCTCGAGAAACTGCGTTTCCACAGCCCCCCACCCCCTGCACGACTTCGCCCCCCTTTCAATTCGAGCACGAAGAGCTGCCTTCCCTCCCCTTCTCCCGCCACCCACCGCGCTAATCCGCGTGGCGCTCGTCGCGTTTCCACGCTCATGGCGCTGCGACTCCGCTCGAGCGAGAAAGAAACTCCATATTCATCTTCTTGGTTCTTTCGGTAAAGTCACGTAGAAGGGAAATAATAAAAGAATAAAAAAAACATAAAAAAAAACATAATAAAATAATTCTCACGACGTTTCGGCCACAACACAAGCAGCCGTCCTCAGGTGAAGAACAGGTCTGTCGGAAAGACAGCGTCTGAATGACACAGACCTGTTCTTCACCTGAGGACGGCTGCTTGCGTTGTGGCCGAAACGTCGTGAGAATGACTTTATTATGTTTTATTATTTTATTACTTCCCTTCTACGTGACTTTACCGAAAGTACCAAGAACATGAATCCCTGCAGTCACGAAAGCTTTAAATCGAAAATTAAACTCCATATTTTTTGTTTTTTTCGGTAAAGTCACGTAGGTGAAAATAAGAATAAAATACTTGTTTATTTGTTATTTTATTATTATTTTATTATTATTTTCACCTACGTGACTTTACCGAAAGAACCAAAGAGCATGGATCCTTGCAGTCACGAAAACTTCAAATCTAGAAAGAAAGAAACTCCACTCCGCGTTCCACGGGGCCGAACAATCGTCGTCATCGTCGTCAACATCGTGCTCTTGGTGTGCATGGCAGAAGCCTCGCCGAGTCTCAACACTTTTATTCACGAGGGTCCAGCCACCGTCGGCATGTCGACCGCCTTGATTTATGAGTGGCGAGGAGATAACGCCCTGAGCTCCGTGACGCAGACCGCCGGTGTCACGCCGAGTGGGCTGCACGACCCTTCTGTGTGGCGCTGATCATGCCACCTGGGGGCCGTCACGAAGCACGGCGGAGTGGGGAAGTTGACGGTGTCCGAGTATCGGCCCACAGGCCCGTGACATCAATCGGCCAGCAACACACGGCACTATCAATGTTGATTTAAAGCTTCTGTCGTGACTGCAGGGATTCATATTCTTGGTTCTTTCGGTAAAGGCACGTAGAAGGGAAATAATAAGATAATATAAAACAATAAAATTCTCACGACGTTTCGACTGCAACACAAGCAATCGTCATCAGGTGTGAAATCCACAGCAAGAAACACAAGCAATCATCATCAGGTGTGAAATCCACAGCAATAATTTTTTGTTCATATTTTTTTTTATTTTCTTGCCGTGGATTTCACACCTGATGATGATTGCTTGTGTTGCAGTCGAAACGTCGTGAGAATTTTTATTGTTTTATATTTATTATTTTATTATTTCCCTTATACGTAATTTTACCGAAAGAACCAAGAATACTATCAATGTTGTTCAAGTTCAGAGGTTCGTACCATCAAGCAGCGAGCAACACACAGCACTGTCAACGTTGCTAAGGTTCATACGGTCATGCTTAGCGAAAGATGATAGGAGGAGAGAATTCCGAAGTGGAGCAGTCTCAGGGAAGAAGAAAGCCAAGTGAGGTGACCTGTGTGTGTTTGTTATTGCGACCCGCAGTGTGGTGACTGAACAAAGTGTAGATGAGACGAAACAGTCGGTGTCTGGGAGACCCAGTCCTCAACATGGGCGGAGGAATCAACGGGCTCATGGTAACGGATCGTGGTAGCGATAGAAGAGTAACGAGAAGGTGACTGACCGCCGGTTAGCGAGTGACTGAATTCGTTTAATGGTTACGTTCCACCCTTGCCAACAACCCTGAGCAACCGGTCTCGGAAGCCAAGCAGGCTTGAGCCTGGTTCTTTGGCCGAGTGACCACCAGGTTTGTCCGGCGTTTTATTCGTGGCGTGGCCAGGAGATGGTCGTGTTAAGTGGCAGCCACTTGTCCACAGTTTGGCGGGTTTTCTCCGCGTTCTCCGGTTTCCTGCCACCCGAAGCCAAATCCCACGCAGAGCTCGTCTGAACACTCGTCCCGAGACTCGGAGACGCTTCCCTGGGTACATATTTAAAATGACTAATTCCACGTTTGGGTTAAGGGACCGCGCGTGAGGATCAACCGGAACGTGAGCGCGAGGAACACGGTACCGCCCGGCACACGAATCACGGCGACAAAAGGCCCGACCAAAACCCACAACGCCCTCGACTCTGCGAGTGCGTCGCGTACCTTGGCCAGGTGCTGCAGCCGAGGCCGATGCTGTTGGCTCTGGTCGAGTTTGTTGATCTTCATCCTGGCCCCGGTGCGCGGCACGCGTAGGCGTGGACCGAGTTTCAGCACCGTGGAGAGCAGCGCTCTCGGCAGCAGCACGAGCGGTGTCACCCCTCAGCACCAGGGACAGCGCATCCGCCGCCCCGTATGGCGCCCCGGGGATTAGACTCTATTCTTGGTTCGGGCTGAGCCACGGTAACCAAGGCGAAGCTGCGGCCATGCACATTCCCGCCCCAGCCCCCCCACCTTCCCCGACCGCCAGCGGGCGAATTTGAGGCTGTAGGACAAAGGGGAGGGGGAGGGTCGGGGTGACTGTCAACCCCGCGTTCTGCTGCGACGCGCACCTTTGCGGCATTGGAGGGGAAGGTGAACGCCTCACCTGCACAGTGCATCGCCTAGCAACGCGGCGAGGAAACCCAACACCTGTACCAGGAGCCCTGGGGGCACGGGACCGATCTCCCTCGGCCGAGCGCTCTGCTCATACCCCCCCCCCTCACCCTCCTCTACTGATTATCTTGCGATGTCCTCTGAACGCAAGGCTAATTCTCATTACTCAATCAACGCGAGGGTGACCTGTGTATGTACAGTGCGAGGATAAACAACACCCACCGCTACTCATCTCCGACTCCGCATCACTCATCGCTGCCCATGCCCTCTTGCGGTGTCCACAGCCCAGGTTTTTTGCACAGCACATTGAAGCACGTTCCTTCGGAGTGGGCAGGTAGGAACTTGGTTGGACAGCGCATTCGTGCACGACAGACAAATATACACGACAGACAAATAATCCCTGGTGGGCAGTGTGGAACCTGTTGTTACCTACCTGTATAACTTTTGATTTAAAGCTTTCATGACTGCAGGGATTCATCTTCTTGGTTCTTTCGGTAAAGTCACGGAGAAGGGAAATAATAAAATAATAAAAATAAAACATCATAATTCTCACGACGTTTCGGCCACAACGCAAGCAGCCGTCCTCAGGTGAAGAACAGGGCTGTCGGAAAGACAGCGTCTGTGGCCGAAACGTCGTGAGAATTATTTTATTGTTTTATTTTTATTATCTCCCTTCTACGTGACTTTACCGAAAGAACCAAGAAGATGTATAACTTTTATTTACCCAGGAAGTCCTCAATTCGCAATATTATTTTTGTTCACGGTTAGGTGTCTTGTAGCGCGCATGTTTGGACACGTTGTTGTTGTTGCAGAAATGGATGAAAACTATTTGCTGTATTGCCATCTCCTGGCCATCTTTCCACGATGTCGGTCTGGGTGCTTCACACACCACGTGGTCCACAGCGAGCCGGAGGCGCGCCGTCTCGCTGCGTCGGATCGAGTTCAGCGCAGGGCGGCAGGTGGGGCGAGCGACGATCCAGCCACTCGCCGGCCCAGTCACTCGCTCAGCGGCGACCAGTTGCTTCCTCAACACTCCTCGATCGCTACGACACCGATTGCTCTTTCAGTATACATCACTCATCGATTCCTCCACACATGTTGAGGACTCGGTCTTGGAGAACGAGTCAATATCTCATCCACATTTCGATTTAAAGCTTTCGTGACTGTAGGGATTCAACTTCTTGGTTCTTTCGGTAGTCACGTAGAAGGGAAATAATAAAATAATAATAAAATAAACATAATAAAATACAATTCTCACGACGTTTCGGCCACAACGCAAGCAGCCGGGTTAAGGTTAGGGGAAAGACAGTGTCTGTCTTTCCGACAGACCTGTTCTTCACCTGAGGACGGCTGCTTGCGTTGTGGCCGAAACGGCGTGAGAATTATTTTGTTTTATTTGTATTATTTCCCTTCTACGTGACTTTACCGAAAGAACCAAGAAGATATCCAAACTTGTGTTCAACCACCACACTGCGGGTCACATCGAAACACTCAATCACCCACTCGCCTCGATTCTCTTCTTCCCATGCACTGCACCACTTTAGAATTCCCTTCCATAATTCCCCAAGCTCTTGTAATAGTAACCACTCACTTATATTACAACTTTGATGGTGCCGTTACCTGCTGGCTGCCTGGCGCTTGGCCTCCGAAACTGTAGATCCCAAGCTGCACACAAACCGCCCTCTTCATCGAAGCACACGCGGGTCTCCTCATCAGCGAACAAACTCATCATCACTCATCCCACTTCGGGGATAACCCACCACAGCATCGATCAGAACCCCATGTGCTTCGAGGTCACAGAGGTGGCCAGGTTATAGGTGATGTTGATCTCCTACTCAAATGAGCATCGAGCAAATGGTGCCCCTCTTTCCGTCAACAGCCCCACAACCAATTGTAAAATTCCACATTCCTATGGCAAGTGCGAGTCTATCCATAGGCAACCACTACTGACTTAAGTGCTACCTAATTTTTTATCGACCTCGGATGCATGATGGTTTGAGTCACTCGAGGGTTGCGACGTCATTCAGCGGTGGCGCATTGCTCACTTGTTGCAGAGGTGCACGGTTCGAATCTGACAGGCATCCCTGGTTATTACTGTGGGCGTAATAGCCACAGTAACAGTCGTAATGCTGCGCACTTTCCGCTTCACAGCGGATGTTAAAAGATCCCGTGATGTCGTTCGCAAGAGGAGGCTATTGCGTGCCGGCGTCGGGGTCCAAATTTGCCACATTGAAAATTTACGCCGCGGATTACTCAATTGGGATTATAATGCAGCAATCAACGCCCCCTACTGGTAGCAGACAAATGCCCGACGTCTATCGTGCAAATGAGCTTCAACCTGGTCTCTTGACTTTTCACCTGGTTAACCAAACTCGACTCAACTGGCGTGTCCACCGGGCCGTGTTTGACTTTGCATCGGTGTTCGGGTGGCGGGATTTCGTTTGTGCCGAGATTTGCTACCGGTGTTGTATTGAACTTTATTGCACAGCACTGCACCGTGTGGATAGCCCAACGGCCGACTGGGAAACGTGTCCAGATTCACTCTTTGGAGGAGACGGCAGCTCCACAGAGCCAGAGGCAAAGACACAATCCACACACGGAGAGCAACGCAAGGAGCGGAGACAGCCAACTCACTTTATTCTGAATGTGACTCTCACATCGCCAGTGCAAACGCAATCCGACCAGCATCACACACCCTGTCCAATCAACACCCGCAATCGGCGTCATCAACAATTCACCGAGGACTCCGCGGTTATTGCACCAGAGAGTGGGGGGCCCTCAAACACGGGGGGCGGAGGGGGGGGGCAGAGGGGGGCATGGCCTTCACAGTGCCAGCCGCGCAGTGGCCCCCACCGTATCCACTGCATAGCCTGCACACGGCACAGCACACCACACAGCACAGTGCTTACCACCTGGCATAGTACACAGCACAGGGCAAAGTGCGCTGCATAGCACGCGATGCACTGCATAGTACACGGCATAGTACACGGCATAGTACACAGCATAGCAGACATCACAGCATGCAGCAAAGCAGGTTCCGATATCGCAGCACGCTCGACCACGCTGCTCCCATGCACCTGCCAGGCGTGCGGAGAGCACGTGTATCAGCATAATGGGGAGTCCAGGATGAGTGCGAGGCCTTTGTTAGCGGTGAGCGACTGGCGAGTGTAAAATGGTGGAAATATGGTTGTGGTGTGGTTCGTGTTCCTTACCGGTTGGCGAGGGCGTGAATGTTGAGGTCGGCTCGGCCTGGGCTCTGTTCGTAAGAAAATGAGTGCAGAGAGTTGAAACGGGGCAGGGCTCATCATATCAACACAATGGATCATCATACAATCACCATATCACCACCACCATCATCATACAATCATAATACCAACACAAGACATCGTCATACCATCATAAGGGAAAGGTGCACGGCACAGGAAGCCTCCTGATTGGCTACCTGTTTTCCAGCTGTGCACGCCTTGCGATGTGAGCCCTGACAGCCGATTGGATGAGAACGATGGCTGGGTCTGCCCCCTCCTCTGCGGCGTGGCCGGGGCCCTGGAAGAGAGGAGGAGCGGACCGTGCGTGAGGGACCCTCCTCTCATGCCTGCACGTCGCAGCCAATGACAGCGCGTTGACTCTGGACACAACCGGCAGTGGTAGAGCGGCGGCTCGCAATCGTAAGGCTGCGAGTTCACATCCTGGTTATGGGTTGACTCAGCCCATCATCCTTCTGGGGTCGATACAATAAGTACCACTTTGTGGGTAAGCCGACAGTGAATCGCCATACAGATATACTCACCCCTGCCACCAGTGGCTCAGGGCTGTAAACGGGAGATGAGCACCAATGCCTCAATGCTCATTTGGAGATCACTTCGACTGAGATTACGAAATCGGAGCATGCAAGGCCTCCACTTGCTGAGCACGTGGTGGGCAGAGGCCATCGGGGAGGCCCGTGGCCCTTGGACGCATCGGCGTCCCACGCGCTCGTGGGTCTCCTCGTGCACAACGGGATATCATCCTGCGGTCAGAATGGCCGCGAGGGTCTCGTGCGTGCCGGCGTGTCGCACGCAGAGCGGTGGAGCAGCGGTTATAGTGTGTGCTGCGCTGTGAACTCAGCGACCCGAGATAGAGTTCCACTCGCGGCCAACAAAACGGATGATTATCTTAACCAGTCTTGGGCCTCCCCTAGGTTGACTCAGCCTGAAACGAGTGCCTGGTGCAGTGTGTAAACATTACACGAGGCATGAAAAGGCCGGGAAGTGCGGTTCTGGCCACAACAGCCCCTCGTGTGCCGTGCTGGCCTTCATAGGTGCAGCTCGCTAAAGGCTACACGGGGGACCTTTGTCTTTGTGTCTCTGCATAGATAAGAGGTGTTTGTGCCGCTACCTGCTCAATGAGGAGGCGGCGTCGAGTTCCGTGGCTTCGCATCACAGACTGGATCAGCTGTGCTGCCTAATGCGCACACACACATGGCATGAGTGTACATGCAAGGCACGGACACACAAGACATTAACACACACACGGAATGTGTGTACACACAAACTGTATGCACACACACTGTATGCACACACACACTCACCTCGTCGATCTCGTCACTCTTCTCCTGCAACACAAAGCGAGAGCCATGCATGAGTAATGCACACCCCCAGCTCCACCCGCGCCTCACTCCCACCCGCGCCTCACTCCCACCCACCCCTCACTCCCACCCACGCCTCACTCCCACCCGCGCCTCACTCCCACCCACACCTCACTCCCACCCACGCCTCACTGCCACCCGCGCCTCACTCCCACCCACGCCTCACTCCCACCCACGCCTCACTCCCACCCGCGCCTCACTCCCACCCACCCCTCACTCCCACCCACGCCTCACTCCCACCCGCGCCTCACTCCCACCCACCCCTCACTCCCACCCACGCCTCACTCCCACCCGCGCCTCACTCCCACCCCACGCCTCACTCCCACCACGCCTCACTCCCACCCGCGCCTCACTCCCACCCACCCCTCACTCCCACCCACGCCTCACTGCCACCCGCGCCTCACTCCCACCCACGCCTCACTCCCACCCACGCCTCACTCCCACCCGCGCCTCACTCCCACCCACCCCTCACTCCCACCCACCCCTCACTCCCACCCACGCCTCACTCCCACCCGCGCCTCACTCCCACCCACACCTCACTCCCACCCACGCCTCACTCCCACCCGCGCCTCACTCCCACCCCGCACCTCACTCCCACCCACCCCTCACTCCCACCCACCCCTCACTCCCACCCACGCCTCACTCCCACCCGCACCTCACTCCCACCCACCCCTCACTCCCACCCACCCCTCACTCCCACCCACGCCTCACTCCACCCGCGCCTCACTCCCACCCACGCCTCACTCCCACCCACGCCTCACTCCCACCCACGCCTCACTCCCACCCGCGCCTCACTCCCACCCGCGCCTCACTCCCACCCACGCCTCACTCCCACCCGCGCCTCACTCCCACCCACGTCTCACTCCCACCCGCACCTCACTCCCACCCGCGCCTCACTCCCACCCGCGCCTCACTCCCACCCGCGCCTCACTCCCACCCGCGCCTCACTCCCACCCACGTCTCACTCCCACCCGCACCTCACTCCCACCCGCACCTCACTCCCACCCACACCTCACTCCCACCCGCGCCTCACTCCCACCCGCACCTCACTCCCACCCGCACCTCACTCCCACCCACGCCTTACTCCCACCCGTGCCTCACTCCCACCCACGCCTCACTCCCACCCACACCTCACTCCCACCCGCGCCTCACTCCCACCCACGCCTCACTCCCACCCACGTCTCACTCCCACCCACGCCTCACTCCCACCCGCGCCTCACTCCCACCCGCGCCTCACTCCCACCCGCGCCTCACTCCCACCCGCGCCTCACTCCCACTCACACCTCACTCCCACCCACGCCTCACTCCTACCCACGCCTCACTCCCACCCACACCTCACTCCCACCCACGCCTCACTCCCACCCACGCCTCACTCCCACCCGCGCCTCACTCCCACCCGCGCCTCACTCCCACCCGCGCCTCACTCCCACCCGCGCCTCACTCCCACTCGCGCCTCACTCCCACCCGCGCCTCACTCCCACCCACGTCTCACTCCCACCCACGCCTCACTCCCACCCGCGCCTCACTCCCACCCACGTCTCACTCCCACCCACGCCTCACTCCCACCCACGCCTCACTCCCACCCACGCCTCACTCCCACGCGCGCCTCACTCCCACCCGCGCCTCACTCCCACCCGCGCCTCACTCCCACCCGCGCCTCACTCCCACCCGCGCCTCACTCCCACCCGCGCCTCACTCCCACCCGCGCCTCACTCCCACCCGCGCCTCACTCCCACCCGCGTCTCACTCCCACCCACGCCTCACTCCCACCCGCGCCTCACTCCCACCCGCGCCTCACTCCCACCCGCGCCTCACTCCCACCCGCGCCTCACTCCCACCCGCGCCTCACTCCCACCCGCGCCTCACTCCCACCCGCGCCTCACTCCCACCCACGCCTCACTCCCACCCACGCCTCACTCCCACCCGCGTCTCACTCCCACCCACACCTCACTCCCACCCGCGCCTCACTCCCACCCGCGCCTCACTCCCACCCACACCTCACTCCCACCCGCGCCTCACTCCCACCCGCACCTCACTCCCACCCACGCCTCACTCCCACCCACGCCTCACTCCCACCCGTGCCTCACTCCCACCCACGCCTCACTCTCACCCACGCCTCACTCCCACCCACACCTCACTCCCACCCACGCCTCACTCCCACCCACGCCTCACTCCCACCCGCGCCTCACTCCCACCCACACCTCACTCCCACCCGTGCCTCACTCCCACCCGTGCCTCACTCCCACCCGCACCTCACTCCCACCCACGCCTCACTCCCACCCACGCCTCACTCCCACCCGTGCCTCACTCCCACCCACGCCTCACTCTCACCCACGCCTCACTCCCACCCACACCTCACTCCCACCCACGCCTCACTCCCACCCACGCCTCACTCCCAGCCGCGCCTCACTCCCCCCCGCGCCTCACTCCCACCCGCGCCTCACTCCCACCCACGCCTCACTCCCACCCGCGCCTCACTCCCACCCACGTCTCACTCCCACCCACGCCTCACTCCCACCCACGCCTCACTCCCACCCGCGCCTCACTGCCACCCGCGCCTCACTCCCACCCACGTCTCACTGCCACCCGCGCCTCACTCCCACCCGCGCCTCACTGCCACCCGCGCCTCACTCCCACCCACGTCTCACTCCCACCCGCGCCTCACTCCCACCCACGCCTCACTCCCACCCGCGCCTCACTCCCACCCGCGCCTCACTCCCACCCGCATCTCACTCCCACCCGCGCCTCACTCCCACCCGCGCCTCACTCCCACCCGCATCTCACTCCCACCCACGCCTCACTCTCACCCGTGCCTCACTCCCACCCACGCCTCACTCCCACCCGCGCCTCACTGCCACCCGCGCCTCACTCCCACCCGCATCTCACTCCCACCCACGCCTCACTCCCACCCACGCCTCACTCCCACCCACGCCTCACTGCCACCCGCGCCTCACTCCCACCCACGCCTCACTCCCACCCGCGCCTCACTCCCACCCACGCCTCACTCCCACCCACATCTCACTCCCACCCACGCCTCACTCCCACCCACGCCTCACTCCCACCCGCGCCTCACTCCCACCCGCGCCTCACTGCCACCCGCGCCTCACTCCCACCCACCCCTCACTCCCACCCGCACCTCACTCCCACCCACGCCTCACTCCCACCCGCTCCTCACTCCCACCCGCGCCTCACTCCCACCCGCGCCTCACTCCCACCCACGCCTCACTCCCACCCGCGCCTCACTCCCACCCGCGCCTCACTCCCACCCGCGCCTCACTCCCACCCGCGCCTCACTCCCACCCACCCCTCACTCCCACCCGCACCTCACTCCCACCCGCGCCTCACTCCCACCCGCGCCTCACTCCCACCCGCACCTCACTCCCACCCGCGCCTCACTCCCACCCACCCCTCACTCCCACCCGCACCTCACTCCCACCCACGCCTCACTCCCACCCACGTCTCACTCCCACCCGCACCTCACTCCCACCCACGCCTCACTCCCACCCGCGCCTCACTCCCACCCGCGCCTCACTCCCACCCGTGCCTGACTCCCACCCGCGTCTCACTCCCACCCGCGCCTCACTCCCACCCGTGCTTTACTCTGACGATGGTGCCATGGTGAGAGTGCGTCCCCCCCCTCACCGTATAACGGTGGCGTCGCCACTGCCGCTGGATTACCACGGCTGCCTCGGCTCTCCTCGCCCGCTGAGCGGCACCGCTCCGTCCTCTTCCTCGCTCGGGACTCGCCGAGCACGGCCGCGATCGGCTGCCCCTGTCCGACTTTGGAGAGCTGTGCCGCGATTGGCCGCTCGGTCTCTGCGAGTCCGTAGAGCTTTGCCTCGATTGGCCGTTGCGTCCCTGCGAGTCTGAAGAGCTGTGCCGGGATTGGCTCGCGGTGCCAGCAGTGGCGGGGCTTAGGTCGCGTTCCTGCGAGACGAACGGACCAGGGGTGATGTCGCTGTGGGGTCAGGGGGCGTGAACCTGTGAACCTGTGAATCTGTCCCCCCACCCCATTCCCTTCATGGCCTCCGCACCGTGGGTGGGACGGTGCTGCCCTCTACTGTTCGTGAACCTGAGGTCATTTGAATAAGGGCTCTCAGAGGTAACTCTGTGATATTCGCTTCCGCGGGCCGCTCCCTCACACGGAGGGAGGGCTGCACCGCTCTCGAGTGAAAAACCAAAAGTAACGTGGCGAGTGACTGTGAGCAGCAGCCATTGTGCCCCGAGCTGCGTACACACCCCTCTGTGTCTCCGCTCCTCCCCACGTCTCCGCTCCTCCTCAAGCTCCCGCTCCACACACCGCAACTTTTCCTGAAGAGCCCGGACCTCCTCTCTGTGCAAGGCCAGAGGACAGCGCGCACATGTACACGCACATACAAACACAAAGATCCCCCGTATAGCCTTAACAGACTGTCGGGGCAAGTGCCGTTAGCGAGCACCTATGAAGGCCGGAACGGTACACGAACGAGGGGGTGGGTGGCCAGCACCACGCCCGACCGCCTTTGTTTCCCCAGTGGCGATGTTTACACACCGCACCAGGTACTCATTTAAGGCTGAGTCGACCTAGGGGAGGCCCAGGACCGGTTCAGATAATCGTCACTGGTGTTAGCCGTGAGTGAATCGAACCCGGGTCGCCAGGTTCATAGCGCAGCGCGCTAACCGCTACACTTCCGCTTCCCATACACACACACACACAGACACGCACCAGCCCCTCCACACACCGCGCCTACGCGTGTCCCTGTGTCTCCTCTCACCGCATTTGCTCCTCCGCGTGCCGCACCGACAGTCGCTTATTTTCCACTTCCAGATCAGAGGTCGCCCGCCTCAGCTGCTGGATCTCCTTGCTGGCAAAGACAAAGAACCCCCATATAGCCTCAACACACTGTTGGGGCAAGTGCTGTTAGCGAGCACCTATGAGGGTTCATACGTGTGTACGTGTGTTCAAACACTTCTATACGTGTGTGTGTGTGTACGTGTGGACACATGTTTCCACGTGTGTCCATGCGTGTGTGAATACGTGTGTGGAGCGGTAGTGTAGCGGTTAGCGCGCTGCGCTATGAACCTGGCGATCCGGGTTCGATTCCCGCTCACGGCCAACACCAGTGACGATTCATAATCAACGTTTTTGGGTTTAGATCGCGTCTATTTATAAATGTGTCGTAACCCTCCACCACCCGACACGGCCAATCAGTAAAAATGTGTCACGTTGACAAAGACAAATAGTTCACTGCTTTAGCCCACCGGTGTGTTGCCAATGACTTGTACCAGTGGTGAAGTGGCTTCAACACACCGGTGGGCTAAAGCAGTGAACTATTTGTCTTTGTCAACGTGACACATTTTTACTGATTGGCCGTGTCGGGTGGTGGAGGGTTACGACACATTTATAAATAAACGCGATCTAAACCCAAAAACGTTGATTATGAATAACATTGGTCGCGAAAGCCTACGTGTTAAACTGACCAGTGACGATTATCTGAACCGGTCCTGGGCCTCCCCTAGGTCGACTCAGCCTGAAATGAGTACTTGGTGCGGTGAGTAACCATCACCACTGGGGAGACAAAGGCGGTCGGGCGTGGTGCTGGCCACCCACCCCCTCGTGTGCCGTTCCGGCCTTTATAGGTGCTCGCTAACAGCACTTGCCCCTACAGTCTGTTAAGGCTATACGGGGGATCTTTGTGTACACATGGGAAGTGGTGGCACAGTAGTTAGCGCACTTCGCATTGGCTAATATCGGTGACGATTATCTGAACCGGTCCTAGGCCTCCCCTATGGCGACTCAGCCTTAAATTAGTACCTCGTGAGGTGTGCAAACATAGCCACTGGGGAGACAAAGGTGGCCACGCGTGGTGTTGGCTACACCAACCCCCCACCGTGTGTCTGCACCGTGCCGGGCCTTCATAGGTGCTCGCAAACAGCACTTGCCCCAACCAGCGTGTGTTGGGCTACATGGGCTTTCTTTGTCTTTATCTTTGTGCACACGTACTCCCTCTGGGCGAGCTCTCCTTGCAGCGCACGCCTGTCCTCCTTGAGACGCCGCACGGCGCCGCGCAGACGCACCGCGTCCTGCCCGTCCTCGCCACCCGCACCAGCAGAACCCTGCACGCACAAAGACAAAGCCCCCCCACCCCCCACATATAGCCTTGACAGACTGTTGGAGCAAGTGCTGTTAGCAAGCACCTATGAAAGCTGGCCAGCACCATGCCCGAGTCGCCCTCGGGCAGGCAGGCTGAGGACCAGTTCAATATTCGTCACGATGTTGGCTATGGTTGGCCAGGTTCAAGGCGCACTGCACTAACCACTGCGGCACCGCTCCATTTGGAGACCAATACCAATACTAACAACCGCCATTCGTCTCTAAGTGGCGGTGACATGACCACGGCGCTTGTGCCAGGCTATGTGCAAGTTAAGGCCACGTGAACGGTCAAACGACCGCTGGTAGGAGGTCACGGGACAGACCCAGGTGGCACGGGTTGCCTGACTGAGATGACTGGCTGCTACACCACCTGTGCCCTCTACTGTGCCAACTTGTTGTGCATTGCTCCTCTGCCGTCTGTTGTTGCTGGAGGGCGACTGCCTCCAACTGCCCAGTAGCATCCTTCATGAGCCTCCTCCCCAGAGGCCGATTTTAACACCACTGGTACAAGTCATTGGCAAGTTCACTCAGTGTTGGACCAACACCATGTGAGACGAGGCTCTAAGAAAAACTGTCTCGGGTGTGGACCAATCAATTTCAAGGACAGTGCATACATTATCAGAGTTGTGTTTTTTGTTTGCATTCCGACCGCAGGTATTGTGGTCAACGCAATCATGACTCCTTGTAAAAAAGGTGTCAGTTTTGTTGCCAGATAAAAGGGTAAAAAAACAATTATCATATTTTGCTACTGGCACAGGAGGTTCCAATGGTGCAGATTGAAATTCCTCTGATACAGCCATCAAAGACACACGCACACAGATACACACACACACACACGTGATGTCTGGCAATGACCGAGGTGACCAAGAACCCTGTTCAACCACCCGGAATGAAGATTGCGGTGAGTGCAGAATGTTTAGTAAGGAGAGTGTGGTGAGCACGGTGAGCACGGTGAGTGTGGGGTCACCTCCTCCAGCGCTGCCGTGCGGCGAGCCGATACGGTGCGGTTCCCAGCTTCGCGTTGCACTGAAACAACAACAACATTAACAACAATCAAGACAACCAGTGATGTAGTGCTGAGCAGTGCTGGGTGGCGCTAAGTGGTGCTGAGTGGTGCTGGGGTTGTACTGGGTGGTGCAGAGTGTTGCCGGTGGTGCCGGGTGGTGCCGGGTGGTGCTGGCCTGACCGGGCTGCTGCTGCTGCGGTGCGGTGGTGCCACTGGTCCCCGTGTGTGGCGGTGCTGGCGGTGGTACTGGCGGTGGAGCTGCGTGTGCGACGCTGAGCTCGGAGCGCAGTCGGGCGTTGTCCTGCTGCACCAGCGCGTGCTTCTCCGAGAGGCGGCGCAGCGCGGCACCCAACGCCTTCTCCTTGTGCCGACCTGCAGCGCCTCCTTCCCTACTGCAACCAACACAAGCAATCGATACCATGGCAACAATGCCACGGTAACCAATACCACTGCCATTGCTCATCAATAAACACAACCACAACAACTGCAAGGTTGCATTTAGTGTTGAAAGATTAGCAGGAATGTACGAACTTGTCGACTTTGTTTACATTTATTTTTAGCTACTTGCATACTTGGTTACTCGCTTACTCTTTAACTTGCTGACTCGCCCCTCCTGGACATCTGTGAAAAAGAGCTTCATATCTTATCGGATTCCTCTCCAGTCTAAATAAAGACTGATTCTGACACCCAATAACAACAATTACAACGACCACAACTAAATCAAGTTCCAGTTCATTTATTAGGTATAGCCCTGTGAGCCATTCGGCTCTTGAATCGGGTGCAACCGCAACAAACAAAAAACAAAAACACGAACAAAAAACATCTTAAAGTGAATATGTGACTAAGTGCAAACAGAAAATCCAAGAAAAGACAGCAAAATATTGCAGAAAAAAAACCGTACACCAACTCTGTGTGCAAAAATCCCAGTGGGATGCAAGTCAAACAACAACAACCACAAGACAACTTAGATTAAGGCCATCAGTCTAACTCTGTACTACAACAAACAAACATGGCTAAACCAATAAATAATTACGACAAGCCCATCAACGACAATAACTACAATAACTCAACAACAACAATCACTGCAACCACCAGCACCGCGACCGCCAAAACTACGATCCAGAGGACCACGCGCTGCGTGCGTCCATCTCGCCACGTCGCCCACTGTGCGTACCTCGCTGGGGTCGGAGCCACGGCAGCAAGCGCCTCCCTCAACCGGTCGATCTGCAGAGAGAGGGGCACCGATCCTCACCCATCCTCACCACCATCATCATCCTAACCAACATCACCACCACCAGCATCCTCACCACCTTCTTCCTCGTCATCTTAACCACCATCACCAGCATGTTCATCTTCACCAATGATCATCCGTGTACTCTTAAGAGACTTTAGGAGCAAGTTCTGTTAGCGAGCACTAATGAAGGCAAGCATGGCACACGATGGGGTGGGTGGCCAGCACCACGCCCAGCTGCCGTTTTCTCCATAGTGGCGATGTTTACACACCGCACCAGGTACTCATTTGAGCCCGAGTGGACCTAGGGGAGGCCCAAGACCGATTCAAATAATCGTCACTGGTGTTGACCGTGAGCGGGAATTGAACTCGGGTTGCCGGGTTTGTAGCGCAGCGCGCTAACCGCTGCACTACCGCTCCCCACACCAGCAACCTCAACACCATTGGAGGGAGAAAACAAAGAGAGACAGAGTGAAGGAGAGGGAGGGAGAAGGAGGAAGATTTCAAGGTGTCAGAGCCTTTAAGTCGATGTTTAATCCCGTGCTGCTGAATGAAGCCCTCTAATTCTTTAAATTAATTGGTAGATAAATTGTTTATTTGTGCAAGAAAATGAGGGAGGGAGGGACCTCCAGTAGGTAGGTCTCCGCTGCGACGCGCATCTCCTCCAGGCTGGTACAGCGCACATCCTCCCGCAGACGCCTGGGTCACGCACATCCAGCATATGCACATCCAGCACACACATGGGCAAAGACACATGCATGTGCACCACACAGGTGCAAGGGAGGCGGGAAGAGAAGTGGGCGGGAGTGGGGGGGTGGGTGTAGGGGGGTGGTATGAGGTAGGAGGGGTGCAGGAGGAAGGGGATCAAGTTTCAAGTTGATTTTGTGTAACCAGGTGAGAACTATAGAAACCAGCATAGATTCCCATTTGCAAAAGTGACCTGGGTTACTACAATGACAAAAGCAATAGCATAACTTAATTCTAGATTTGAAGCTTTCGTGACTGCAAGAATTCATATTCTTAGGTTTTTTCGGTAAAGTCACGTAGGTACAAAATTAAAATTAATAAAAGTAAAATAAAAATAAAATAAAAATCACGACGTTTCGGAGGCAACACAAGCTTCCGTCTTCAGGTGGAACCGTCGCAGCACGATAGCTGTATCAAGTATTTAACTTTTATTAATTTAATTAAAAAATTTTACCTACGTGACTTTACCGAAAAAACCTAAGAATAACAATAGCATAACAACAAGTTCAGCAATGAAGCAGATATAAATCACAGAGGAGCTGAGTGGAGAGGATGGTGGGAAGGAGGGAGGGACGGGGAGGGTGGTGGCTGGTGTAGGGAGGAGGAGGAGGAGGCGGTGGTGGCCGTGGCGATGTTACTCACGTCAGCGCCGTGTCCTTCTCCCTGCACTGCTGCTCCAGCTTGAGCACCCTCTGCTTGAGGCCGTTAATCACCTGGGAGACCGACAGACGGGGAGGGAGAGGGGGCAGGCGAGGTGACACTCGGCCACTCGAGCGGGGCCACCGTCTGAGTGCGACTGAATGGTTTCGTTAATTGGGCACGATGCGTCTGGCAGCCTCACCGCTCCGGACTCCCTCTTGCGGTCACCCAGGCTGCGGGTGAACTCCGACCCCTGGTCGTCACACACGGCACACTTGTCAGTGGAGGTGTGGGCACCCGCAGGTACACACGTGTGCGCGTGTGTACCTGCAGGTGTGTGTTACGTGTGTTTGTGCATGTGATTGTGTGTGTGTGTGTGGGGAGCGGTAGTGTAGCGGTTAGCGCGCTGCGCTATGAACCTGGCGACCCGGGTTCGATTCCCGCTCACGGCCAACACCAGTGACGATTATCTGAACCGGTCCTGGGCCTCCCCTAGGTCGACTCAGCCTTAAATGAGTACCTGGTGCGGTGTGTAAACATCGCCACTAGGGAGACAAAGGCGGTCGGGCGTGGTGCTGACAACCCACCCCCTCGTGTACCGTTCCGGCCTTCATAGGTGCTCGCTAACAGCACTTGCCCCTACAGTCTGTTCAGGCTATACGGGGGATCTTTGTCATCTTTATGTGTGTACACACAGGCACGTGTGTGTCTGTGTATAGTTGTCTGTGTGTGTCTGTGGTTAAAACACAGCAATTTGGCAATGGGGAGCACAGGTGGTGCATCTGTTAATCATCTCAGTCAGTCAACCCACAGCACCTGGGTCTGTCCCATGAGATCCTGCCAGCAGCGAGCCTTGCACACTTCATGTGACAGCCTCAGAGTGCACCTAGCCTGGCACAAGCATCGTGGTGACACCCCTGGCAGATGGCAGCTGTTGTTGTTTGTATCTCTGTGTGGATGCGTCTTATAATTGTGTCTCCCTCTCTCCTTCTCCCCGTCTCCCTCTCTGTGCACGCGTCACCGAGTCTCCTCCAGACCTGCGCTTGCGGCATCAGCAGCTGCTCCAGCTGCTTGTCCTTGCGTGCCCCCTCGGCCTCGAGGCGCCGGGCTCGCGTGCGCATCGTCTCCAGCGCCGCGCGCTCAGCTGTCAGTGCCTTCTTCAGCTCCAGGATCTCGTCGTACATCGCCTCGCGCTCCTTGTAGTCGGGGGTTCCGGGCACGTAGCCTGCGCACACGCACGCACACACACATGCACTCATCCCTATAGGGCCTTCTAAGTCTCACCCTGGCCTCTCAGAGGCAGATAGGCAATCATACAGACATACAAACACTTGCACACAAACATACATACATGTAGACACCACACCACACTCACAGTTTGTATCACACAAAGACAGACAGGCAGTATGACGGTGTCACGACGGTGGTGTGGTAACAACAGTACGGCCGTGGTGCCCACCGGTGTGGGAAGAGCGTGCGTGCCGGGGCCTTGTCATGCCCAGCGCCTCTTTCAGGTAGTCGGGGACTCCGCTCCCATTGCCCCCCGCGCTCTCGAAGCCCGGCCTCTTCAGGGACTGAGTGAGCCCTGCGTGCGTCACACGTGCGCACACGTCACAATCGCTGTCACGCGCGGTGCAGTCTGTGGGAACGACGGGCTGGTGGCAATGCCAGCCAGGGGTTAGTGTGGAGGAGGGTTAGCCGAGGGATTGAGACTAACAGTTGGACTCAGATCTGGACGAGCAGGTAGACTAGCAGGTAGACTAGGGTAAGGACTATCAGATGGACAAGCAGGGGAACTAGCAGGTGGACTAGTAAGGGGCCGGCTCACCATTGCCCTGGCGGAGTGAGTGCAGCCACATCTGTCGTGGTGTCCGGGTCCCCATGGGCTCGGCGTACGCGGTGACCGAGCCGGTGAGTGAGCGCCAGGCGCCGCCACGAGGGACTCCACCCTCATAAGGGGACTCTGAACCACAACAACAACAACGACCACTGCAGCAACACAAGACACGCCTCGCTACGGCGTGGCAACGGCAGAACAACAACCGCCATTTGCCACCAAGTGGAGATGATGTCACCATGGCAACTGTGCCAGGCTAGATGCATCCTGAGGCGACGTGAAGTGTGAAAGGCTCACTGCTGGAAGGGAAGTCACAGGACAGACCCAAGTATTATGGGTTGACTGCCTGAGATGATTGACAGATGCACCACCTGTGTTTTCCACTCTACCAACTTGCGTTTTATCTGCCCGGTGCTCCGTTTGTTGTTGTGAGCGTCGCTCCTCTGCCCTCCGCTGTTGTTGGAGGACGACTGCCTCTAACTGCCCAGTAGCGTCCTTCATGAGCTTCCTCCACAGAGGCCAATCTTGACACCACTTGTACCAGTCATCGGCTCATCTTTTTGGTAGACCATGCCGGGCCTGTTTAGCCCCCTCTGGTTCAGATATATAAGCCCAGGACTGGTTCATATATTTGCGACCAATGTTGGCCATGAGCAGGAATCGAACTCGTGTCACCGGTATCATAGCGCAGTGTCCTAACCACTGCGCAATCATAAACAAGGACAAAGATACACTATATAGCCCTTAATGGACTGTTGGGGCAAGTACTATTATCAAGCACCTATAAAAGCTGGTACGGCACATGAAGGGGTGGGTGGTCAGCTCCACAACTGGCCACCTTTATCTTCCAAGTGACGATGTTTACACATCGCACCAGGTACTCATTTGAGGCCGAGTCGACCTAGGAAAGGCCCAGGACCAGTTCAGATCATTTGACACTGTTATGATCGAGAATCGAACTCGGGTTGTCAGGTTCGTAGTGCAATTCACTAACCACTGCACCACCACTCCCCACAACAATCATAAACACACCCCTTCACACGTACAATCATACTCACACACGTACACAATCATACACACACTCCCATCAATGAACCAATATCTAAACCAGCCCTTGACCTCTTGGAGGTCAATGAAGTCTTAGCTCATGCAGCGTGCGATCATCCAAACTGTGGAGACAAAGGCGGCTGCTGGGCGTGGTTCTGGCCGCACCACCTCCTCATAACAAGTTCAAGTTCATTTATTAGGTATAGCCCTGCGAGCCATTCGGCTCTTGAATCGGGTGCAACAAACAAAAAACAAAAACATGAACAAGAAAACATATTAAAGTGAATATATGACTAAGTGCAAACAGAAAATCCAAGAAAAGACAGCAAAATATTGCAGAAAAAACATCGTACACCAACGCTGTGTGCAAAAATGCCAGTGGGATGCAAGTCAAACAACAACAACCACAAGACAACTTAGATTAAGGCCATCAGTCTAACTCCGTACTACAACAAACAAACATGGCCAAACCAAAAAACTTTTCGAAATTCACCAAAATAAAGCCATGAAAGCAATGAAACAGCACAATGCCGGAGGATTCTTTTGTTGTTCATACACACGGTGCCCTTGCAGAGTGAGCGTGAACCAGGCTGAGCTGCGCAGGTGAAACTTACTGGCGGACTTGGACAACTTTTTGCTTCCCTTGGTGGACTTCTTGCTCTGAAAAGTAGCAAAGGAAGAGTTCGTGGTCAGCATTCGACATCACCTACAGATAGACCGACAGGCAGTTAGAGAGATACATACAAAGACTAAGATTCCCTCTATAGCCTTAACAAACTGTTGGGGCAAGTGCTGTTAGCGAGCACCTATAAAGGCCAACACGGCGCACGAGGGGGTTGGTAGCCAACACCACGCCCGGCCGCCTTTGTCTCCCCAGTGGCGATATTTACACACGGGACCAGGTACTTATTTGAGGCTGAGTCGACCTAGGGAAGGCCCGGGACCAGTTCAGATAATCGTCACTGGTGTTGGCCATGAGCGAGAATTTAAAACGGGATGCTGGGTTCGTGGCGCAGCGTAGCACTAACCGCTACACCACCACTCCCCACGCAGACAGAGAGACACACAGGCAGACAGACACACAGGCAGAGAGACACACAGGCAGAGATACACACAGGCAGAGAGACACACAGGCAGTCAGACACACAGGCAGAGAGACACACAGGCAGAGAGACACACAAGCAGAGATACACACAGGCAGACAGACACACAGGCAGACAGACACACAGGCAGTCAGACACACAGGCAGAGAGACACACAGGCAGTTAGACACACAGGCAGTCAGACACACAGACAGACAGCCACATAGGCAGACAGACACACAGGCAGACAGATACACAGACAGACAGACACACAGGCAGAGAGATACACAGACAGACAGACACACAGGCAGACAGACACACACACAGGCAGACAGACACACACACAGGCAGACAGACACACAGGCGCACGCATACACAGACAGACACACACACAGACAGACACACACACAGACAGTCACACAGACAGACACACAGGCAGACAGACACACACAAACACACAGGCAGACACACACACAGGCAGACAGACACACAGACAGACACAGACACACACAGTCAGACAGGCAGACAGACACACAGGCAGACAGACACACAGGCAGAGAGACACACAGACAGACACACAGACAGACACACAGTCACACAGGCAGACAGACACACAGGCAGACGTGTACCTTGAGGGAGGCTCGGCGCAGGGGGGTGGCGGGGTCGGGCGAGGAGGAGCGCGAGTCGAGAGACCGCACGTCCACGTCTCCCTGCGGGCGAAAACGGCACGCGAGCCCGACTCTCACCTCGCCCTCCTGACCTCAACCATGACCTCAACCATGACCTCAACAATCACCTCGCCCTCGCCTCAACCATCGCCTCGACCATCGCCGCGACCCTCGCCTCGACCCTCACCTCGACCATCATCTCGCCCTCACCTTAACCATCACCGCGACCATCGCCTCGACCATCGCCTCGACCATCACCTCAACCATCACCTCAACCATCACCTCAACCATCACCGCAACCATCACCTCAACCATCACCTCACCCTCACCTCAACCATCACCTCAACCATCACCTCAACCATCACCTCATCCATCACCTCAACCATCACCTCAACCATCACCTCAACAATCACCTCAACCATCGCCTCAACCCTCACCTCAACCATCGCCTCAACCATCACCTCAACCATCACCTCAACCCTCACCTCAACCATCACCTCAACCATCACCTCAACCATCGCCTCAACCATCACCTCAACCATCACCTCAACCCTCACCTCAACCATCACCTCAACCATCACCTCAACCATCACCTCAACCATCACCTCAACCCTCACCTCAACCATCACCTCAACCATCACCTCAACCATCAACTCAACCATCACCTCAACCATCACTTCAACCATCACCTCAACCATCACCTCAACCATCACCTCAACCATCAACTCAACCATCACCTCAACCATCACTTCAACCATCACACTCATCACCTCAACCATCACCTCAATCATCGCCGCAACCCTCACCTCGCCCATCACCTCATCCATCACCTCAACCATCACCTCAACCATCACCTCAACCATCACTTCAACCATCACCTCAACCATCACCTCAACCCTCACCTCAACCATCACGTCAACCATCACCTCAACCATCACCTCAACCATCACCTCAACCATCAACTCAACCATCACCTCAACCATCACTTCAACCATCACCTCAACCATCACTTCAACCATCACCTCAACCATCACCTCAACCATCACCTCAACAATCACCTCAACCATCACCTCGCCTCACTCAACACACCTCGTAACTCAGCCTCTTCTCACTCTTATCTCTCCCCACTCACCCTCTCCCCTCACCGTCTCCTCGTGCACCATCCTCACCTCATCCTCACCTCTCCTCACCTCATCCTCACCTCATCCTCACCTCTCCTCACCTCAAACGCCGCTCTCCCCCCCCCACCGCTACAACTCATCACTCTCCGCGGGCCTATGCCGAGACGAAGCCTGCGCTCTTGCCTGGTCCCCCTGCCCGCCCGCGGGCCCGCCAGCCCGCCCGCGCTGCCTCAGTACCGCGTGACCCGCCGGCTCCCCGGTGCTGCTCGGCATGGCTGCGTCTCCTCTCGTCCCCGGGCGAGCAAGAAGACGAGGGGGGGAATGATGTTGATGATGGTGATGGCAGTGGGAGGGAGAGGAGAGAGAACTGGTGGAGACGGGGAGAGCGGAGAGATCGTGCTGGTGGAGAGAGTCAGAGGGAGACTGGGAGGGATGGGGGGGGGGCAGCGGGGGGGGGGGGGGGGCAGGGGGGGGCAGCGGGGGGGCAGCGGGGGGGGGGCAGGGAGCGGCAGCGACGCCGTTACCCCGGGCGAAGGTAAACAGCCCCTCCCCCTTCATGCCCCTCCCCCTCCGTGCCCCACCCCTCTATGCCCCTCCCCCTCCATGCCCCACCCCCTCCATGCCCTCCCCCTCCATGCCCCTCCCCCTCTATGCCCCTCCCCCTCTCTGCCCCTCCCCCTCCATGCCCCTCCCCCTCTATGCCCCTCCCCCTCTATGCCCCTCCCCCTCTATGCCCCTCCATGCCCCTCCCCCTCCATGCCCCTCCCCCTCCATGCCCCACCCCCTCCATGCCCCTCCCCCTCCATACCCCTCCCCTCCATGCCCCTCCCCCTCCATGCCCCTCCCCCTCCATGCCCCTCCCCCTCCATGCCCCTCCCCTCCATGCCCCTCCCCCTCCATGCCCCTCCCCCTCCATGCCCCTCCCCACGAGGGGACCCCCACGGGGGGGGCTCTACCCCGGGCAAAGGTAAACAGCCCCTCCCCCTTCATGCCCCTCCCCCTCTCTGCCCCCCCCCTCTCTGCCCCTCCCCCTCTCTGCCCCTCCCCCTCTCTGTCCCTCCCCTTCCATGCCCCTCCCCACGAGGGGACCCCCACGGGGGGGGCTCTACCCCGGGCGAAGGTAAACAGCCGGTACAATCAGCATTCAGTCCTTGTTGGACTAAATCTTCAATGATTGCAATCGTGTCAATCACAGGAAGTTTGGTAAACAAAGAGACCACGTCGAGACTAACGAGCAAATCACCTGGAGATACTAGATTTTACTTTTATTAATTTTAATGTTTTACCTACGTGACTTTACCGAAAAAACCTAAGAATATGAACACCTGGAGATAGTGAGATGTCCTTAATTAACGATACCAAGTGAGCTAAGTTGAGTACAGCGGAGGTGGTCTTACCATTGAATGGTTGTAAGGTCTCAGACAGAAATCGGGCCAGTTTGTAGGTGGGTGAGTCAATGGTGGAGACGAGAGGACGAAGGGATGTCCCTTCTTTACGGATTTTTGGTAAGCCATACAATCTGGGTGGTCTAGCAGCAGAGGGTTTTAAGGAAAACTGCCTGGTTGGTTTGATCAAAGATGTCGAATCAGTGATGATATTGTTGGTTTTCGTAACGAGGCGGTTGGTGGGAACTCTTTAATTTTGGTATAGCTGCCATCATTAAGTAGGTCCTGAATTGTGTTATTGTGTGGTTTTGTCCATGATGACTGTGGCATTGCCATTGTCGGCTGAGAGGATGACAATGTCATCTCTATTTAAAGCTTTCGTGACTGCAGGGATTCATCTTCTTGGTTCTTTCGGTAAAGTCACGTAGAAGGGAAGTAATAAAAAAATAAAAATAAAACATAATAAAATTCAGACGCTGTCTCCCCGACAGACCTGGTTTTCACCTGAGGACGGCTGCTTGCGTTGTGGCCGAAACGTCGTGAGAATTATTTTATTATGTTTTATTTTAATTATTGTATTATTTCCCTTCTACGTGACTTTACCGAAAGAACCAAGAAGATGAATCCCTGCAGTCACGAAAGCTTTAAATCGAAATTCAATGCTTCACTGTCTTCCACCCCCGCCCAAACGGCCGTGTGGCTGATGGAATGTAAATATTGTGGGTTGAACTCGTAACTAATTGGCATGTTGTTTCCGTGACAAACCTTACGAATTGGTTGTGTCGGGTGGTGGCAGGGGTTTGAACGACACATTCATATTTACGCGATCTATATCCCATAAAACCTCTATTAGGGATAATATCGGTTGCGAAAGCCTGCTTGTTAAACTAAACAATTACATCTGTGTGTGTTTCTTCTGTGGAGGGACGGACACGGGAAGGAGGCCAATTGTCGCGGACTGCCGTTGGGCTTGAGTAAGAGGTGGCAAACGCAGGAATGTCAGTGCGAGAGAAACTTTATTGGGGCCCATAGGCTCAGTCACAGTGGCGCCCGGGGTCATGGGGACGGGAGTCTAGGACCTCACATAACAAGTGGGGCAGACGGGCAGGGTCAGGGTTGGGGTTAGCGATCGTGTTAGATAGAGCTGGGGTTAGGATTAGAGATAGTGGGGCATTGAGTTAGAGGATAAGGGATATGAAGTGTTGGTGTTGTGGTTAGAGTTAGGGTTGGAGTTGGGCTGAAGGGGGTTAGGATCATACAGCTAGATTCAGGGTTAAGATCACAAGGTATGGGTTATGATTATAGGCTTAGTTGGGTAAGGATTATAAGGTTAGTTATAAGGTTAGTAAGGATTATAGGGTTTGGGTTACAGTTAAGGGGTTAGGTTTAGCGTTAGGGAGTTGTGATTATAGGGTTATGATGCGAGTCAGGGTGAGATTAGGGTTAGAGTTGGTGGAACAGGGGTGCTGACGATGACCCCCTGCCCTCACTCCCCCTCCCCTAGCGGATGAATCGCTCCATGTGGAGTCGCACGGTGGCCGCGCTGTCCATGAACTCGTGCAGGAAGCGGCACTCCATCTCCCTCTGTCGCAACGGGGTCACAGGGGCACAGGGTCATAGGGTCACTAGATTGGATAGGTCACATTTGCTGCAACGCATTCTCCTGGCGAGACTCCACGATGCCCCATAGGGAGTGTCACCGCATCTCAAGTTCAAGTTTATGTATTAGGTATAGCCCTGTGAGCCATTCGGGCTCTTGAATCGGGTGCAACCGCAACAAACACAAAACAAAAACATGAACAAGAATACATCTTATAGTGACTATGTGCAAACAGAAAATCCAAGAAAAGACAGCAAAATATTGCAGAAAAATCACTGTACACCAACACTGTGTGCAAAAATCCCAGTGGGATGCAAGTCAAACAACAACAACAACCACAAGACAACTTAGATTAAGGCCATCAGTCTAACTCTGTACTACAAACAAACATGGCCAAACCATAAAACTTTTGAAAATCACCAAAATAAAGCCATGAAAGCAATGAAACAGTGGTCATGGAACTGTGACCGAATTTTCACAATAAACGACGTAAACAACATGTACCACCAAACTCTGCAGCCATAGCTGGCTGCATGAGTCACTCCACAATAGCAGGAGCATCTGTGTGTGATCCATCAACCCTTGCTGCTGTCTCCACAGTGTTGGGTAACGCAGGACCCCCCCCCCCCCCTGCGTAGAGGAGGAGGAGGAGGAGGGGGAGGGGGGGCTCCTTGCGTCGCTCACCACGTAGTTGTGTGCGCGCTGAAGCTCAAGGCGCAGGAACTCCTCGACGGGGAGGAGGGCGTACGGTGAGCGCAGAGCGAGGAACGCGCACGCGGGAGAGCGCAGTGCGTGCACCTGCCTGGGGTGCGGGGAGAGAGAGGGGGGGTGGAAAGGTGCGGTGGGGTGGTGGTGGCGGGGAGGGGGGTGCACAAAGGTGATGTTTTTTTCTTCTTGGTTCTTTCGGTAAAGTCACGTAGAATGGAAATAATAAAATAATATAACATAATCTAATAATATAATAAAATATTCGTTGGTTCTTTCGGTAAAGTCACGTATAAAGATAAAATTATAAATGAAATAATAGCATACGACGTTTCGATTGCAACACAAGCAATCATCATCAGGTATAATGAAATAGCGACATAAACTCTAACCAGAAAACTATAGACAGACATGTAAGCAGACAGATATCACCAAGATACATAGAGAGAGCAACCCAGGTACAGAGAGGGGTGATCGTCTCTGTGGGGTGGCCTTAAATAGACAGAGGGGGGCGGAGGCAGAGAGAGGGAGGGGTTAGAGAAAAAATGTACATGTCAATGAGTACGAAGAGACGCGTAGTAAAGTACGTGACTTTACCGAAAGAACCAAAGAATAATTCCTGCAGTCACGAAAGCTCCAAAATTAATAATAAAATAATTTTAAGGTCATGTTGCGACGTTCCAAAGACTGCCAAGTACAAGCCGAGCAGGCCTAGAGTTAGCGAGCTCACCTTGGATACCAACGATTTCAAATTCAAAGCCGATTTTTGTTTTACTCGTACGATCCTATTCAATCACAGCAATAACCAATACAAAGTAACACGATTTCTCGAAGAACCTGGTTGAACATTTATCAATTATATTGAGTGATACAAAATCAAAATGGTCGCTGCCCTTCTACATGAATATTCCCTGGTGCCCCCCCTCCCCACCGTCTCACCTGCCCCCGAGACGAGCAAGGGCCTCGATGTTGACTCCCCCCCGCACCCCCCCGCAAAGTGGCAAATCATTTGATCAACCCCAGAGGGATTAGGGGGCCCCTCCGTGTGTCTCGGCGCACCTGGGATCGTCCCCAGAGACCCAGCGTCGAACCTCGAGCAGACAGAAGAAGCACCGCGCCGAGACATCGACTCCCGGCTGCTGATCCAGGCACACGAACCCGGCGGCAGCCATCTGTGCGGCGCGCAGCGATGGGCAGGGCGAGTGGGTGGTACAGGGTGTGCGTGTGTGGTACAGGGTGTGTGTGTGTGGTAAAGAGTGAGTGGGTGGTACAGGGTGTGTGTGTGTGTGGTACAGGGTGTGTGTCTGTGTGGTACAGGGTGTGCGTGTGTGGTACAGGGTGTGTGTGTGTGGTAAAGAGTGAGTGGGTGGTACAGGGTGTGTGTGTGTGTGGTACAGGGTGTGTGTCTGTGTGGTACAGGGTATGCGTGTGTGGTACAGGGTGTGCGTGTGTGGTACAGGGTGTGTGTGTGTGTGGTAAAGAGTGAGTGGGTGGTACAGGGTGTGTGTGTGGTACAGGATGTGTGTGTGTGTTACAAGGTGTGTGTGTGGTACAGGGTGTGTGTGTGGGGTACAGGGTATGTGTGGGTGGTACAGGGTGTGTGTCTGTGTGGTACAGGGTGTGTGTCTGTGTGGTACAGGGTGTGTGTCTGTGTGGTACAGGGTGTGTGTCTGTGTGGTACAGGGTGTGTGTGTGTGGTACAGGGTGTGTATCTGTGTGGTACAGGGTGTGTGTCTGTGTGGTACAGGGTGTGCGTGTGCGGTACAGGGTGTGCGTGTGTGGTACAGGGTGTGTGTGTGGTACAGGGTGTGTGTGTGTGTGTGGTACAGGATGTGTGTGTGTGGTACAGGATGTGTGTGTGTGGTACAGGGTGTGTGTGTGTGTGTGGTACAGGGTGTGTGTGTGTGTGTGTGGTACAGGGTGTGTGTGTGTGTGTGGTACAGGGTGTGTGTGTGTGTGTGGTACAGGGTGTGTGTGTGTGTGGTACAAGGTGTGTGTGTGTGTGGTACAGGGTGTGTGTGTGTGTGGTACAGGGTGTGTGTGTGTGTGTGGTACAGGGTGTGTGTGTGTGGTACAGGGTGTGTGTGTGTGTGGTACAAGGTGTGTGTGTGTGTGGTACAGGGTGTGTGTGTGTGTGGTACAGGGTGTGTTTGTATGTGGTACAGGGTGTGTGTGTGTGGTACAGGGTGTGTGTGTGTGTGGTACAAGGTGTGTGTGTGTGGTACAGGGTGTGTGTGTGTGGTACAGGGTGTGTGTGTGTGGTACAGGGTGTGTGTGTATGTGGTACAGGGTGTGTGTGTGTGGTACAAGGTGTGTGTGTGTGTGTGGTAGTGGAGAGCTGTGGGGAGCGGTGGTGCAGCGGTTAGTGCGCTGCGCTACGAACCTGGCCTTGCCGGGTACGATACCCGCTCACGGCCAACACCGGTGACGATTATCTGAACCAGTTCTGGGCCTCCCCTAGGTCGACTCAGCCTCAAACGAGTACCTGGTGCAGTGTGTAAACATTGCCACTAGGGAGACAAAGGCGGCCGAATGTGGTGCTGGCCACCCACCCCCTCGTGTGTCGTGCCGGCCTTCATAGGTGCTCGCTAACAGCACTTTCATCTACAGTCTGTTGTCTTTGTGCGTGTGGTACAGGGTGTGTGTGGTACAGGGTGTGGTACAGGGTGTGTGTGTGTGTGGTTCAAGTTGTGTATGGTACAAGGTGTGTGTGGTACAGGATGTGTGGTACAAGATGTGTGTTGTACAGGGTGTGTGTGTGGTACAAGTTGTGTGTGTGTGTGGTACCGGGTGTGTGTGTGGTACAGGGTGTGTGTGTGGTTAATGATTGTGCGTGGTACAGGGTGTGTGTGTAAGCTACAAGGTGTATGTGTGCGTGTGGTACAAGGTGTGTGTGGTACAATGTGTATGTGTGTGTGTGTGAGATACAAGGTGTGTGTGGTTCAAGGTGTGTGTGTGTATGTGGTACAGGGTCCGTGTGGTACAAGGTGTGTGTGTGTGGTACAGTGTGTGTGTCTGTGTGGTTCAAGGTGTGTGTGTATGTGGTACAGGGTGTGTGTGGTGCACGGTGTGTGTGTGTGCTACAAGGTGTATGTGTGCGTGTTGTACAAGGTGTGTGTGGTACAATGTGTATGGGTGTGTGGTTCAAGGTGTGTGTGGTTCAAGGTGTGTGTGTGTGTGTGTATGTGGTACAGGGTCCGTGTGATACACGGTGTGTGTGGAGCGGTAGCGATCAACGCGCTGCGCTACGAACCCGGTGACGAACCCGGTGACGAACCCGAGTTAGATTTCCGTTCACGGCCAACACCAACGACGATTATCCAGCCCTGGGCCCTCCCTAGGTCGACTCAACCTCAAAATAGGTGCGATGTGTAAACATCCCCACTCGGGAGACAAAGGCGGCCGGGCGTGTTTGCTGGCCACCCACTCACCCCCTCGTGTGCCGCGCCGGCCCTCCCAGGTGCCCGCTCGCCAACAGCACTTGCCCCAAAAGTTTGTCAAGGCTATACCGGGGGGGGGAGTGGGATGGTGAATCTTTGCCTTTGTGTGAGATCCACGTGCTCGTGGGATCAGCTGTGCCCGTGCTGCTCCACCCCCCACCCCCTCCCCTCTCTCCCTCTCACCTGCGCAGGGTCCCAGCCCAAATCGTGAGTCGACTCAGCGAAGCTCTCCGCTCTCCGTGACTCTTCATAGAACTCGGCCCCAGTCGCGAACTCCCGCAGGCTCAGCACGTCCATCGCCGTGCCTGCCATGACCCCCCCTGGCTCCTCCTGGCTCCCCCTCGCTCCCGCCTCGCTCTCTCGGTCGCTTTTGGCCCCGCGTGTCCCCCTCTTCTGATGACCTCTACCCACGCTCGCAGGGGCCGAATCGCTGCAATCCAGGATCCCCTCCTCGCTTGGAGATTTAAATCTCCGTGGCGGGAGTGGGGGGGAAGGGGAGCGGGATCCGGTCCGGGCAGATGCGGATCGATTAACGTGCAGATCGAGTCGACGACGCAATCCGATTTAAACGCACGACAAAGACAAAAGCACCCCTCCCCCCGTATAGCCTCTGATAGGCTGTTTGGGGCAAGTGCTGTAAATGAGGGCCGGCCTATGAATGCCGGCAATACCACGCCCGACCGCCTTTGTCTCCCCAATGTTAATGCTTACACACCGTACCGGGTGCTCTGTTAAGGCTGAGTCGACCTACACACAAAGACAAAGATCCCCTGTACAGCCTCAATAGACTGTTGGGGCGAGTGTTGTCGGTGCAGCACACGAGGGGGCAGGTAGCCAGCTCCACGCCTGGCCGCATTTGTCTCCATAGTGGCGATGTTTACACACCGCGCCAGGTCACCTAATTTGAGGCTGAGTCGACCTACGGGAGGCTAATAAGCGGCAGTCGAACACCAAACACGCTTACTGCCCTCTCTCTGGGATTCAGCTGCGGTCGCCATAGAGGGAAGTGAAGTCACGAACTTCGCATCCATGGCTGATGTTGATGTACTTTGGTGTCGCGATTTGGTGAGTCTGTGTGTGTGTGAGAGAGTGTGTGGAGCGGTAGTGTAGCGGTTTAGCTACAAACCCGGCGACCCGAGTGCGATTCCCGCTCACGGCCAACACCAGTGACGATGAATTATCTGAACCGGTCCTGGACATCCCCTAGGTCGACTCAGCCTCAAATGAGTTCCTGATTTCGTCGTGCAAACATCGGCACTCGGGAGACAAAGGCGGCCGGGTGTGGTTGCTGTCCACCCAGTCCACCAATTGTGCTCTTCCGGGCTTCATAGGTGCTCGCTAACAGCACTCGCCCCAACAGTCTTCTGCTCAAGAGAATCTTCATCATTGTCGTGGGCGAGTGCTGATCCAGACTCAGCTGTCTCGCCACCAGGGGGCGCTACGTGATCGCGTGTAAGGCGCGGGGCCGCTGGGAGCGAGAGATGCTGAGGGACGGCGAGGAAAGAGACGGAGCGATGCAATGGCCACCTGAGATGGATTGTGGAATGTCACGGACGCGTAAGAGATTGTGTGTGTGGGCCTGGGAAGGCCTTCATCCAGCAGCGGATAGACCCTGCCTTGTATTCTATCCTGACCTCACGAGGGTGGGGGGGTGGGGGGCGCGTGTGAGCGGGTGTTCTAATTAATTGCCATAATGAGCTGGTTAATCGCGCGTAGTCCCCCCGTTAGTGGCGATGTCGCATGAGCAGCGTCGCGTCTCTGCGCTCGTCCCGACAGCCCCCGGCTGGCGTTCTGGCGATGAGAGAGCGGGGAAAGGGGGGGGGGCAGGGGGGGGCAGCGGGGGGAGGGCAGCTCTCTGATTCTGTCTGTACTCGATGTCAAGACTCGCGTTGACCTTGACTTCCATTCAATAACGAAGCCGTTACCAGCGTGGAGTTAGTTTGAATGCAGGTGACATCGCGACTTGACACGCAACACGTGGGCTGTCACGTGTTGCTGTGGTCACACGCGCCGTCATTGCGGAGGCCTTGTGACGTCAACATCTGTACACGTGACTTGGTTGCATTTTACGCGTATGATGGCAATGTGTGCGGGAGCTGAAATGCCAATTTCGAGGTCTGCTGGCCACGAGAGGGCTTCAGGAGAGGGTTCGTGTAGTTTCGCTGTTCTTACTCTATGGAAGCAACGCAGACGACAGTGGTTGACGATACCATCCATAGTTTGGTTCGCATCGCGACGCCCGCAATGTGGCTTTCCTTTAGTGTATCTCGACGTGTCTCCGTGTTGAATACACGGCAGAGGTCGCAAACGGGTTTTGATTCCTTACCCGTACCCCTACCCGGCCGCTCCTGGGTCGCAAACGGGTACCCGTACCCGGCCATACCCGTATCCTACCCGTACCCGGCCGGGTACGGGTAGGGTACGGGTATCGGGTACCTGATTGCGACCTCTGGGATGAAGCCATGTTGCAGGCGCGGGTGGGTTGATTATAGGAACTTTAATTGTGAGAAGAGACAAGACGTTGGGAAATGAGTGACACACAGTTACTCACCAGTGACTCACGGCCTACCCGTACCCGGTCGCACCAGGCTCGCAAACGGGTACCCATACCCGGCCGGGTACGGATAGCCGGGTATCGGGTAGGGTACGGGTATCGGGTACCCGGTTGCGACCTCTGTACACGGCCCATAGTTCGCGTTGCATGGCAACAATCGCACTCCTGTGGCTCGTGTGTTTAACGTGTCATTTATGCAAGGGATGTGCGAGGTGGCCTGGTGATGTTCTGATGCTGTTGATGGTTCCACCCGTGGCTTGGAGGAATGCAAGACAGCACGTGGCATATGAAGCCGCGTGGTCTGTTTCCATGCTGATTTTATTATTATTATGTGGCCACTGGGAAAAATATAGTTAAAGAACGTTCATGTGTTGTGTGCGCTGACGTGATGGCATCTCCTGCGTGTGCTGTTGGGTGAGTGAGGCTTGGGCTATGCTGTGCACGGCGATATTGATACCACAGACACAGGGATGACAGGAATCACGAGTAAGATAAACGAGCTCCTTTAATTAATGGTGCTGTTAATGCTGCTATAATGGCTCAAACACGTGGGGCGCTGTTGTGCGAAAATTCTGCTCCGAAACATTACCTTCCTAACCTACCCTATCCCTAATCTCACCCAAAACCCTACCCCCTGAGTCTATCCCTAACCCCTACCCTAACCCAGCCATAACCCTACATCCGGTGCCTATCCTTAACCTTAAATCCCTACTCTTTGGTTTTTTCGGTAAAGTCACGTAGGTTAAAAAATAAAACAAATAAATTAAATGACGACGTTTCGGAGGCAACACAAGCCTCCGTCTTCAGGTGGAACCGTCACAGCAAAATGACTGTATCAAGTGAAGAGAGCTCTAAGAGACACGACATCTTATATACTACGTGACTTTACCGAAAAAAACAAAGAGTATGGATCCTTGCAGTCACGAAAGCTTCAAATCTAGAACTTAAATCCCTACCATATCCCTAACCCCCGCCCTAACCCTTACCCCTTAAGCCTATCCATAACCTCTACCCTAACCCCCGCCATTACCTTACCCAATAAGCCTATCCCTAACTCATAACCATGATCCTACCCGTCAGCGTGTTCCACCCATGGCTATGTTGCGCTCATTACACCCCCTCAGTATGTGGGCCCCGTGGGCCCCGTGGATCCCGGGGGTTCAGACCCCAATTGGATTGGGGGCAGCACTTCTCCACCGCAGCGCTTCACGTAAGACCTCCGCCCCGCCCCCACGTCCGTTCAAGACTAGAGGGAGATCCACACGTCGTTGATGAACATTCCTTGTCCCGTCAGCCCGAGGTGGACATGAGCTCAGATCATCATGGTGATGATCGAACTCTCGTTCGCGTTGCCGGGACCGACGTCTGTCACGACTCGTTGTGTCCGGACGGGGAGACTGACATCTGACCGGGAGGTCCAGTCGATGGGTCGACACGATGGGAACGTGACCCACGACCTCGGAACGCAGCTCCCACGAAATATAAGCTCGGACCGCACGTCCCGTTCACACATCTGTCCCTCCACGTAAAACATTTTTATCCCATCAGCCACACTGCCTTCTGGGAGTGCACGGTAGCAACAGCATCCATTCTGGGCTCACGCCAAACACAACTCTGGAAGGTTCTTCTTGGTTCTTTCGGTAAAGTCACGTAGAAGGGAAATAATAAAATAATAAAAATAAAACGTAATATTTTATTATGTAATATTGTATTATGTTTTATTTTTATTCTTTTATTATTTCCCTTCTACGTGACTTTACCGAAAGAACCAAGAAGATGAATCCCTGCAGTCACGAAAGCTTTAAATCGAAATTTAACTCTGGAAGGGTTTCAACAATCATCATCTCATCAGCAGAGTCGGGCTTCATTGCCTTTCAGATTGTGATTCGTCCGCTTGATTATTTTGTCACTCGTGTTTTAGTAAAACAACTCTGATCTTATCTTATATTTATAGAGCGCCTTTGTTCATTTCGTGGTATGTGCTACAAGGGTCATTACCCGAAACGTCGTCCATGATATTTCCCCCCTTCTAAGGCCACACAGGGTTATTGACAAATGTGTTGCGTTTTATGTACTATACAGTCTAGCGTTGTGTCGAACCAGGACTCATATCTAACAGAGAGGGCCCTTGCCTATAAACATCTGGGCAGTTCGCCAGCATTGAGTCATGCAAGCCGGACCGCCGATGAGACGATACATGTCAAAACCCGTCCAGAGATCTGAAATTAGGCGCTCCCAGTTGAGCAGTCCGTGCAGCTGATGGGATGCATAAGCAAAGCTTTTTATATGCCTTTACGGGGGGGGGGGGGGCGGTGGGCGGATATGTATCATAGCTGTAACGCCTGCTTGTGTATTCTTGTTACGTGATTCCACGGCCGCCTCGAGCTATTTGGAGCCCTAGGCCATTGCATATTCTGCTAAATGCCAGACACTGCCACGCGGTTGCCACCACCGGGAGTGGGAAAACTTTGGCGGTGCCAATGGAGCCGCGCGGTGATTCGGCGTATCCGCTGGGCGATGGGCTCTCTCCGTGTCAGCCCGGGCACCGCACCGGGCGCGCTCACCGCAACGGGGCAGGCACCAGCGCTCCCTCGTGGACTGTGCGTGGGTGCGTGCGTGTGTGGGTGCGTGCGTGCGTGTGTGCGTGGGTGCGTACGTGTGGGTGCGTGGGTGCGTGCGTGGGTAGGTGCGTGGATGCGTGCGTGGGTGCGTGCGTGCGTGGGTGGGTGCGTGCGTGGGTGCGTGGGTGGGTGGGAGCGTGGGTGGGTGGGTGGGTGCGTGGATGCGTGTGTGGGTGCGTGCGTGCGTGGGTGGGTGCGTGGGTGCGTACGTGTGGGTGCGTGGGTGCGTGCGTGGGTAGGTGCGTGGATGCGTGCGTGGGTGCGTGCGTGCGTGGGTGGGTGCGTGCGTGGGTGCGTGGGTGGGAGCGTGGGTGGGTGGGTGCGTGGGTGGGTGCGTGCGTGGGTGCGTAGGTGTGTGCGTGGGTGGGTGCGTGCGCGTGGGTGGGTGCGTGCGTGATGGGACCTGCGTAGTACCTGGAGTGGTATGTTACCGGTAGCCACGTCGGTGCCTGTGGTGGTATGATACAAATACCACGCAGACACCGGTAGTAATATAATACCTGCGGTGAACCGGCTACATCGACGCGGAGTCGTTTCGGGGGTTATCACACGTGGTTACACACGGGGTATGTGGGGTATGGGCTATAGTACAGGGGTAGGAGGAGGGGGGGGGTCGTTTGGGGGGGGGGGGGGTGAAGGACCCGGAGCCCTTCTCCACACGTTTCCTGTGTTAATCTCTGCTCGCGTTCCCACTGGGAGCAGGGGTGGAATTGAGTCGACGGGTCACGGGAACCAGGGTGGGAGCCCCTCCAGGAAAGGCCCTCTCTACACCGTTCGTCTCGGTTACGGGTGACGGCGCGAGTGGTCGTTTTTTGACCATTCCTTCAGCACGCTGGGCTGTGCGGCTTGAAGGATGGCAGGACTGGCTTAGACGTCTCTCCCCACTGATGTGGGCCGTGTCCAGGAAATCGAACTCAGCTCCACGGGGTGCATAGTTCACGACGTCGATGATCCGTTACACACCAATCCTGTCACGCTCAAGTACACCCTGACGATGGGTCACCGTGGCCAGTGAGACGGGCCAAGCGGTAGCGCGTTCACGTCTCGTGGAATTTCGCGATTGGAACTCGACAGGCGGCCCTGGTAAATACCGCTGCGTCGCAGCATTAACACCGCGGCGGGTGACCACGCCGTCCCCGTCACTCGCGCGGCAACCGGCGACGCTTTCGAAAGAGGTGTCGGCAAATTGTGTGCCCGGGTCGTCGTACTCCGAATAGTTTTGGCCAAAATGACAAAACGTGTTGCCGTGTGCTGCTGTGTGGTGCTGCTGTGTGGTGCTGCTGTTGCACTGCTGCATTGTTGCCGTGTCCATGGCGCGGTGGCGTCGCGCGTGACGGAGACGGCGCCTGCAGCCCAAACACAGAAAACGTGGGGGGGTCCGTACGCGGGGGTGCTCCGTACGCGGGGGGGGGGGGGTTACAGCCCCCCACTCCGCTTCATGGCTGTGCTTCTATAGGAGAGTCCGGGGGGGGGGGGGGGGGGTCGCGGGAGATTTACAAAAACGCACAGGCCCCGCGCTTTGGCATCGACGCGAAACGTCAGCGCGGCTGGAAGCATCGAGAATAATACGCGTGTGGGCCCTGCCGCACACGGCCATTGCATAATGCTGCATCGAGACGGACGGTGGGGGGGGTTGGGGGGTTATGGATAATGGGGGGGGCAGGGGGGGGCACAGGGAGCCTTGGGGGGGCCCTTATTTTCATCCCCAGTCACTTGGCGCCACGGGGCTACACGTGGGTAGACGTCGCCAGGCTTCGTCCCATCTGGACCCCCTCCCACGCACGCCCCAGCTGGAGACACGTGGCTTTCCCGTGCCGCAGAATCCTCCTCCTTTACATTGCAGATCCTTCATTGCTCCCGTCTGTCCATCGGGTTCCCCGCTTTCTCCCACGTTCCTCGTTCCCTCTTCGTCAGCACGGAGGAGCAGCAGCAGCAGCGTCGGCGTCGGCGTCGCGATCCGGTGAAGTTTGTCCGGCGTCAGCCGAGCGCGCCCGACTCCGTGGTGGGGATGTGGAAGAGCAGCTTCGGTAAGTCTTCAAACGCACAACAGCAGCAGCCCGCGTTTACTGAAACACTCACACCCCACTCACCCCACTCACCGCCCCGGGTCTAACCCTTCCACTGCTCCACTCTGGAGTTCCCTCCTCGCGTCGTCGTCGTCGTCGTCATCATCATAGCGATCGTCTCTTTCCCCGAATCTCTGCTAATAAATAACCTGGCGCAACTCAAGATGCTTGTGCTCAATCAACTCCGTGTGTAAAGGGAAGCAGGACCCTTCCAAGTGCCGGCAGTTTAGACCCCGACCACCCCCCTCCCCCCTCCCCCTCCGGCGGCTCACCCACCAGTGGCAAGGCTGGACACTAATTTAATCAGGAGGCTGAGAAGCCAATTAATGGCACAGATGCCTTCGCGGCCCCGAGTTAATTAGCGGCATGCGGCGCCAGCAAAGAAGAAGTGTGGGGAGTGGGCGGGGGGCGGGGGGGCGAGGTCGTGATTGACGGGTGGATGGTGCTGCCACCCGCAGGGAGAGAGAGGGGGCTGTGCAGGGGAGCTCCCAAATCCACCCCCTCGGTGTGAAGGGGTGGCCAAGAGGACCAACACCGCAGCTGCTGCAGCTGCTGCTGCTGCGGTGTTGGTGTCGCTGCTGTTGCTGCAGCTGCTGCTGCTGCTGCTGCTCCTCTTGCTGCTGCTGCTTCTCTTGACCCCCCTCCCGCCCACCCCACCACGGTGCTGACCCCGTGACCCCCGCCGTGGTGGATGACGATGTCGCCACAATTAATTAAATATTAAAATCCGGTCACGTGTTCATCACGTGAAGGACGGAGCTGGGAGAGGTGGAGGGGGGGCACCGCCTCCCCCCTCCTCGTGGCCTTCACTTTCAGTCCCAACGTTGAAAGATTATTCCCGGATTTGGCCCCGTCATGGGAACGTCCTCCAACCCATCGAGGTGCTGGGGGGGGGGGGCGGTGTATTGCTATGGCTGCTCCCCCGAGAAGGGGGAGTTGGGGGTGGGGGCTGGGGTGATGTTGAGGGAGAGTGCCCCCCCCCCCCCACGGGGTCAGTAGGGCGTGAAGCGGCTGTAGGCTCCACGGTACAGGCTCGCCTGCGACGCGGACACACGGGGGGGGGGGGGGGGAGAAGGGGAGGAGCGCACAGGAGGGGGGGGGGTCCGAGGTCAGGGGTCACGGTTGTGGGACAGATTGGAGCGCAGGGTCCATGCAAAGTGCAGCTGGGAGCAGCTGGGAGCAGCCGTCACCGTTGGGAATCAGCGAGACTGCCGCACGTGGAGCATGCGCGGTGTGTGTTTGTGGTTTGTGTTGCGTCCACGAACGACGGAGGGCAGAGGAGCGACGCTCACAACAACGAGCGGAGCGCCGGGCAGCTAAAGCACATAGAGTTGGCACAGTGGGGAGCACAGTCGGTGCGCCTGCCAGCCATCTCAGTCAGTCAACCCGTGGCACATGGCTCTGTCACGTGACATCCTGCCAACGGGCCTTTAACGTTCTAGATTTGAAGCTTTCGTGACTGCAAGGATTCATTCGGTAAAGTCACGTAGGTAAAAAAAATGAAATAAAAATTAATAAAAATAAAATAATAAAAATCACGACGTTTCGGAGGCAACACAAGTCTCCGTCATCAGGTGGGACCGTCACAGCCAGATTTGCTGTATGAAGTGAAACGTCGTGATTTTTATTATTATTATTTTATTTTTATTAATTTTCATTTCAGTTTTTTTACCTACGTGACTTTACCGAAAAAACTAAGAGCATGGACATTCAACACTTCACGTGGCCTCAAAGTGCAACCGAGGATGACACGAGCGCCGTGGTGCCAATGCCATCACTGAGCGGCGAGTGGCAGCTGTGTTTTCTTGATTCCTGCTGTGCGTGGCGCGTCACTGGGGTCGCGCGCGTTACTGAGGTCACGCGCGCGTGCTCGTGGGGGGGGGGGGGGGGGGGTCACTCACCACGGTGCTGACCCCATAGGTGGCGGCGGGGCCCAGCGCCGGATGGAACGCCTCCGCCGGGGCGAACACGCGTCCGTAGCTACGGCGACACACAACACAAAGACAAAGATCACCCGTGTAGCTTTGACAGACTCAAGGGGCAAGTGCTGTTCGCGAGCATCTATGAAGACCGGCACAGCACACGAGGGGGTGGGTGGGTGGCCAACACCACGCCCGGCCGCCTTTGTCTCCCTAGTGCTGATGTTTAGACACCACACCAGGTACTCGTTTAAGGTGAACAATTGCTGTATGTGTTATTGGTCCCGAGCGGGAATTGGGAGCAGCATCTTTGACACACAGTACAACACACACCACACAATACACACACACAAGCACCACGCACAGCACACATACATACCACACACAGCACACACACACAGCACACATACATACCACACACAGCACACATACACAGCACACACAGTACACATACACACCACACACAGCACCCACACACAGCACAACACACACCACACACAGCACAACACACACACAGCACACAGTACACATACACACCACACACAGCACACACACACAGCACAACACACACCACACACAGCACACACACACAGTACACATACACACCACAACAAGCACCACACACAGCACAACACACACCACACACAGCACACATACACATCACACAGTACACATACACACCACACACAGCACACACACAGCACAACACACACCACACACAGCACACACACACAGTACACATACACACCACAACAAGCACCACACACAGCACAACACACACCACACACAGCACAACACACACCACACACAGCACACACACACAGTACACATACACACCACACACAGCACACACACACAGCACAACACACACCACACACAGCACACACACACAGTACACATACACACCACAACAAGCACCACACACAGCACAACACACACACAGCACACATACACAGCACACAGTACACATACACACCACACACAGCACACACACACAGCACAACACACACCACACACAGCACACACACACAGCACAACACACACCACACACAGCACACATACACAGCACACACAGTACACATACACACCACACACAGGACACACACACAGCACAACATACACCACACACAGCACACAGTACACATACACACCACACACAGCACACACACACAGTACACATACACACCACACACAGCACACACACACAGTACACATACACACCACACACATACAGTACACATATACACCACAACAAGCACCACACACAGCACAACACACACCACACACAGCACACAGTACACATACACACCACACACAGCACACATACACAGCACACAGTACACATACACACCACACACAGCACACACACACAGTACACATACACACCACACACAGCACACACACACAGTACACATACACACCACAACAAGCACCACACACAGCACATACACACACCACACGCACGCGCCACACACAGCAAACACCACACACGCACAACACACACACCACACAACCACACGCACTGCACACGCACAACACGCACCACACGCAGGATCAATGTATTATTTGATCACAAACGAGTATTAAATGAAATGTTATTCATTGTAATCAATCATCGCAATCGTAATACATTATGAATAATTCCAGTGATTATATTGTCATTGTTACGTGGGGTCACGGAGCGTGCGAACGCGACCGCACCTGAGCCACACCTCCTCACCTGTCGCTGTAGGCGGTCGTGGCAGGGGCAGCGTAGCGGTACGTGGCATAGCCGCCCTGGGTGGGAGGGGGGGGGCACATGGGGAGGGGCAGGGGCAGCATGGATAGAGGGCAGTGTCAGCATGGATAGAGGGCAGGGGGCAGCATGGATAGAGGGCAGTGTCAGCATGGATAGAGGGCAGGGGCAGCGTGGATAGAGGGCAGGGGCAGCGTGGATAGAGGGCAGGGGCAGCGTGGATAGAGGGTAGGGGGCAGCATGGATAGAGGGCAGGGGGGCAGCATGGATAGAGGGCAGGGGGCAGCATGGATAGAGGGCAGGGGGCAGCATGGATAGAGGGCAGGGCGCAGCATGGATAGAGGGCAGGGTCAGCATGGATAGAGGGCAGGGGGCAGCATGGATAGAGGGCAGGGCGCAGCATGGATAGAGGGCAGGGGGCAGCATGGATAGAGGGCAGGGGGCAGCATGGATAGAGGGCAGGGGGCAGCATGGATAGAGGGCAGTGTCAGCATGGATAGAGGGAAGGGGCAGCATGGATAGAGGGCAGGGGCAGCACGGATAGAGGGCAGGGGCAGCATGGATAGAGGGCAGGGGGCAGCATGGATAGAGGGCAGGGGCAGCACGGATAGAGGGCAGTGTCAGCATGGATAGAGGGAAGGGGCAGCATGGATAGAGGGAAGGGGCAGCATGGATAGAGGGCAGGGGCAGCATGGATAGAGGGCAGGGGCAGCATGGATAGAGGGCAGGGGCAGCATGGATAGAGGGAAGGGGCAGCATGGATAGAGGGCAGGGGCAGCACGGATAGAGGGAAGGGGCAGCATGGATAGAGGGCAGTGTCAGCATCGATAGAGGGCAGGGGGCAGCATGGATAGAGGGCAGGGGCAGCATGGATAGAGGGAAGGGGCAGCATGGATAGAGGGCAGTGTCAGCACGGATAGAGGGCAGTGTCAGCATGGATAGAGGGAAGGGGCAGCATGGATAGAGGGAAGGGGCAGCATGGATAGAGGGCAGTGTCAGCATGGATAGAGGGTAGTGTCAGCATGGATAGAGGGCAGGGGGCAGCATGGATAGAGGGCAGTGTCAACATGGATAGAGGGCAGTGTCAACATGGATAGAGGGCAGTGTCAGCATGGATAGAGGGTAGGGGGCAGCATGGATAGAGGGCAGTGTCAGCACGGATAGAGGGCAGGGGCAGCATGGATAGAGGGCAGTGTCAGCATGGATAGAGGGCAGGGTCAGCATGGATAGAGGGCAGTGTCAGCATGGATAGAGGACAGTGTCAACATGGATAGAGGGCAGTGTCAACATGGATAGAGGGCAGTGTCAGCATGGATAGAGGGCAGGGTCAACATGGATAGAGGGCAGTGTCAGCATGGATAGAGGGCAGGGTCAGCATGGATAGAGGGCAGGGTCAGCATGGATAGAGGGCAGGGGGCAGCATGGATAGAGGGCAGTGTCAGCATGAATAGAGGGCAGGGTCAGCATGGATAGAGGGCAGGGTCAGCATGGATAGAGGGCAGGGGGCAGCATGGATAGAGGGCAGGGTAAACATGGATAGAGGGCAGTGTCAGCATGGATAGAGGGCAGTGTCAGCATGGATAGAGGGCAGTGTCAGCATGGATAGAGGCAGTGTCACATGGATAGAGGGCAGTGTCAGCATGGATAGAGGGCAGGGGTCAGCATGGATAGAGGGCAGGGTCAGCATGGATAGAGGGGCAGGGGGCAGCATGGATAGAGGGCAGGGTCAGCATGGATAGAGGGCAGTGTCAGCATGGATAGAGGGCAGGGTCAGCATGGATAGAGGGCAGGGGGCAGCATGGATAGAGGGCAGGGTCAGCATGGATAGAGGGCAGGGGGCAGCATGGATAGAGGGCAGGGGCAGCATGGATAGAGGGCAGGGGCAGCATGGATAGAGGGCAGGGGGCAGCATGGATAGAGGGCAGGGGCAGCACAGATAGAGGGCAGGGGCAGCATGGATAGAGGGCAGGGGCAGCATGGATAGAGGGCAGGGGGCAGCATGGATAGAGGGCAGTGTCAGCATGGATAGAGGGCAGGGGGCAGCATGGATAGAGAGCAGGTCAGCATGGATAGAGGGCAGGGGGGCAGCATGGATAGAGGGCAGGGGCAGCATGGATAGAGGGCAGGGGGCAGCATGGATAGAGGGCAGGGGGCAGCATGGATAGAGGGCAGGGTCAGCATGGATAGAGGGCAGGGTCAGCATGGATAGAGGGCAGGGGGCAGCACGGATACAGGGCAGGGGAAGCATGGATAGAGGGCAGGGGCAGCATGGATAGAGGGCAGGGGGCAGCATGGATAGAGGGCAGGGTCAGCATGGATAGAGGGCAGGGGGCAGCATGGATAGAGGGCAGGGTCAGCATGGATAGAGGGCAGGGGGCAGCATGGATAGAGGGCAGGGGCAGCATGGATAGAGGGCAGGGGCAGCATGGATAGAGGGTAGGGGGCAGCATGGATAGAGGGCAGGGGCAGCACAGATAGAGGGCAGGGGCAGCATGGATAGAGGGCAGGGGCAGCATGGATAGAGGGCAGGGGCAGCATGGATAGAGGGCAGTGTCAGCATGGATAGAGGGCAGGGGGAAGCATGGATAGAGGGCAGTGTCAGCATGGATAGAGGGTAGGGGGCAGCATGGATAGAGGGCAGGGGGAAGCATGGATAGAGGGCAGTGTCAGCATGGATAGAGGGTAGGGGGCAGCATGGATAGAGGGCAGTGTCAGCATGGATAGAGGGCAGGGGCAGCATGGATAGAGGGCAGGGGCAGCATGGATAGAGGGCAGTGTCAGCATGGATAGAGGGCAGTGTCAGCATGGATAGAGGGCAGGGGCAGCATGGATAGAGGGCAGGGGCAGCATGGATAGAGGGCACTGTCAGCATGGATAGAGGGCAGGGGGCAGCATGGATAGAGGGCAGGGTCAGCATGGATAGAGGGCAGTGTCAGCATGGATAGAGGGTAGGGGCAGCATGGATAGAGGGCAGGGTCAGCATGGATAGAGGGTAGGGGCAGCATGGATAGAGGGCAGGGTCAGCATGGATAGAGGGCAGGGTCAGCATGGATAGAGGGTAGGGGCAGCATGGATAGAGGGCAGGGGCAGCATGGATAGAGGGTAGGGGGCAGCATGGATAGAGGGCAGGGGCAGCATGGATAGAGGGCAGGGGCAGCATGGATAGAGGGCAGGGGCAGCATGGATAGAGGGCAGGGGGCAGCATGGATAGAGGGCAGGGGCAGCATGGATAGAGGGCAGGGGCAGCATGGATAGAGGGCAGGGGCAGCATGGATAGAGGACAGTGTCAGCATGGATAGAGGGCAGGGGGCAGCATGGATAGAGGGCAGGGCAGCATGGATAGAGGACAGTGTCAGCATGGATAGAGGGCAGTGTCAGCACAGATAGAGGGCAGGGGGCAGCATAAATAGAGGGCAGTGTTAACATGGATAGAGGGCAGGGGGCAGCATGGATAGAGGGCAGGGGCAGCATGGATAGAGGGCAGGGTCAGCATGGATAGAGGGCAGAGGGCAGCATGGATAGAGGGCAGTGTCAGCACAGATAGAGGGCAGGGGGCAGCATAAATAGAGGGCAGTGTCAACATGGATAGAGGGCAGAGGGCAGCATGGATAGAGGGCAGGGGCAGCATGGATAGAGGGGCAGGGGCAGCATGGATAGAGGGCAGAGGGCAGCATGGATAGAGGGCAGGGGCAGCATGGATAGAGGGCAGGGGGCAGCATGGATAGAGGGCAGAGGGCAGCATGGATAGAGGGCAGGGGGCAGCATGGATAGAGGGCAGTGTCAGCATGGATAGAGGGCAGGGCGCAGCAGGGATAGAGGGCAGAGGGCAGCATGGATATAGGACAGGGGGCAGCATGGATAGAGGACAGGGGGCAGCATGGATAGAGGGCAGTGTCAGCATGGATAGAGGGCAGGGGCAGCATGGATAGAGGGTAGGGGGGCAGCATGGATAGAGGGCAGTGTCAGCATGGATAGAGGGCAGAGGGCAGCATGGATAGAGGGCAGGGGGCAGCATGGATAGAGGGCAGGGGCAGCATGGATAGAGGGCAGGGGTAGCATGGATAGAGGGCAGTGTCAGCATGGATAGAGGCAGTGTCAGCATGGATAGAGGGCAGGGGGCAGCATGGATAGAGGGCAGGGACAGCATGGATAGAGGGCAGTGTCAGCATGGATAGAGGGCAGTGTCAGCATGGATAGAGGGCAGTGTCAGCATGGATAGAGGGCAGTGTCAGCATGGATAGAGGGCAGGGGGCAGCATGGATAGAGGGCAGGGGCAGCATGGATAGAGGGCAGGGACAGCATGGATAGAGGGCAGTGTCAGCATGGATAGAGGGCAGTGTCAGCATGGATAGAGGGCAGGGGGCAGCGGAGCCGGAGAGAACTGTGCAGTGCCACGGGGACTCACGTAGAGGTCGGCAGCGTAGAACCCATCCTGGTAGACCACTCTGCAGACAGACAGACACACACACAGACATTTACACACAGACACACAGACATTTACACACACACACAGACATTTACACACAGACACACACACAGACATTTACACACACACAGAGAGACATTTACACACACAGACATTTACACACAGACACACACACAGACATTTACACACAGACACACACACAGACACACACACAGACATTTACACAGACATTTACACACACAGACACAACACACAGACATTTACACACAGACAGACATTTACACACAGACAGACATTTACACACACAAACAGACACACACACACACAGACATTTACACAGACACACAAACATTTACACACAGACACACAGACATTTACACACACAGACATTTACACCCAGACACACACACAGACATTTACACACACAGACATTTACACCCAGACACACACATAGACACACACAGACATTTACACCCAGACACACACACAGACACACACAGACATTTACACCCAGACACACACACACAGACACACACACACATTTACACACAGACAGACACACACACAGACACACACAGACATTTACACAGACATTTACACACACACACAGACATTTACACACAGATGACACACACACAGACATTTACACACACGAAGACAAAGACCCCCATATAGCCTTAACAGACTGTAGGGGCAAGTGCTGTTAGCGAGCACCTATGAAGGCTGGCACGGCACAAGAGGGGGTGAGTGGCCAACACCACGACCGGCCGCCTTTGTCTCCCTGGTGACGATGTACCAAGTACTAATTTAAGGCTGAGTCGACCTAGGAGAGGCCCAGCACCGGTTAAGATAATCGCCACCGGTGTTGGCCGCGAGCGGTGATTCGGACACGGAGACTCGACAGGAAGCTGCGACCCCGCTCAAGGGGTTCATAGGTCGTGACCCCACAACCCTCTGTGAGATGAACAGGCCTTGACCCCATGACCCATGACGGAGACGGAGAAGACGCCGGCTCACCCCCCGTATGCGGGCATGGTGGGGGGCGGCACGCGGAGGGCGCTGAACACGGCCCGGGCCCTGCCCCTCGCGTGGTTCCCACGGAACGCGGCGGCCGCTGCGGCCGCGGCGGCTGCGGCTGTGGCCGGGACGGCGGCCGGGACGGCGGCGGCGGCCGCGGGGAAGGGGATGCCCGCCACTGTGGGGGGGGGGGGGGGGGGTGGGGGGTACGGGGCAGAGCACACGACAAATAAAGACCTCCCGTGTAGACCACGCAAGCCGTCGGGACAAGTGCTGTCAGCGAGCAGCGGCGCCTACGATGGCCTTACCAACGGCCGAACCCGGCCGCCTTTGTCTCCCCAGTGCTGATGTCGACGTGATGCGCCGCGACAAATATTCAGCGTCGGTGGCCGGTCCGGCTGAAGCGGAGCCCTGCGGCCCGCGGTGTGAGTGCGAGTTCACTCACCGGCGTAGATCTCTGGCGCGTACACCGCGCTCACCACAGGGTTCCCTTTCCATCCTGGGCGGGTGTGGGGGGGGGGGCACAGGGGAGGGGGGCACGGGGTGGATGGCAGTGACCACAGCATTGGTGGACATGGAAACGTGAGATTGCGGCTGTGGTACCTCTTCGTTCTGAAGCGGCGGTCCACGTTCACCGACACTCTTACTCACTCACTCACTCACCTACAAACACACACTCACTCACACACTCGCATACACACACACTCACTCACCTACAAACACACACTCACTCACACACTCGCATACACACACACTCACTCACCTACAAACACACACTCACTCACACACTCGCATACACACTTACACACTCACACACTCACTCACTCACCTACAAACACACACTCACTCACACACTCACTCACACACTCACTCACCTACAAACACACACTCACTATCACTCACTCACCTACAAACACACACTCACCTACAAACACACACTCACTCACCTACAAACACACACTCACTCACCTACAAACACACACACACTCACACACTCACATACTCACACACACACTTACACACTCACTCACAAACTCACACTCACACACTCACAAACACACTTACACACTCACTCACTCACATACTCACCTACAAACACACACTCACTCACCTACAAACACACACTCACTCACATACTCACACTCTCACTCACTCACTCACATACACACTTACTCACACACACACTCACTCACACACTCACAGACACACGTACACACTCACTCACACACTCACACACTTACACACATACTTACACACTCACTCACACACTCACACACTCACACACTTACTCACTCCCACCTGCAAGAGACACCAGAATCTCGAATGAGAGAACCCGGTTCTGATAGCGTCGGTCGCACGCTGAGTGCCCTGACAAGTGACGGAGTCCCGGGACATCCCGGGACGCCGCTACCATCAGCGATCGGTGATGGGTGATGGGAATTCGTGATGGGTGATGGTGGGTGGTCGGGGTGATGTTAAATGTTGGTAATAGGAGGTTATTATGGGGGTGATGGTGGGAGTGATGGGAATGATGAGATCGGGGGGTGATGGTGGTATTGATATGGGTGATGGTGGCGGTGGTGACAGGCACGGTGATGTGGGGATGATGGTGAAAGGGATGGTTCGAGATATGGGATGATAGCGAATGATGTGGCTTCATCCCAGAAGCGATCATTCTCTCACTCACTCATTCACATATATACTCACTCATTCATTATTCACTCACTCGCGTATTCATTATTGAGAGTGCAGCACAGATGGCGCCGCAGCATCTCTCCGTGCAGCCAGCAAGGAGGAAGCGGGGGGGGCGACTGTTTTGTGTCTGTGCGTGTGTGCTCCTGTGTTCCTGTGTCTGTGCGTGTGTGTTCCTGTGTCTGTGTGTGCTCCTGTGTGTGTGTGTTTGTGCTTGTCTGTGTGTGTGTTCCTGCGGAGCGCCGCGTGGCTAAAGCACAGCAAGTTGGCACAGTAGGGGGCACAGGTGGTGAATCGGTCAGTCGTCTCAGTCAGTCGACCCGTGGCACCTGGGTCTGCCCCGTGACCTCCTGCCAGCGGGCGTTCGACATTTCACGTGGCCTCAAGGTGCACATGGCCTGGCACAAGCGCCGTGGTGACGTCACCTCCACTTAGTGGCGAATGGCGGTTGTTGTTGTTGTTGTGTGTTTGTACTTGTCTGTGTGTGTCCGTGTTTGTGTGCCTGTTAAGGGAGCGGCAGTGTCGCGGTTAGCACTGCGCTGCACTTTGAACCCGGCGTCCCGATTTCAAATCCCGCTCACGGCCAACACGAGTCACGATAATCTTAACCGATTCTGGGCCTCCCCTAAGTACACTCGGCCTAAAATTAATACCTTGCGCGGTGTGTAAGCATCGCCACTGGGGAGACAAAGGCAGCCGGGCGTGGTGCTGGCCACCCACCCCCTCATGTACCGTGCCGGCTTTCATAGGTGCTCGCTAACAGAACTTGCACCAACAGTCTGTTCAGGCTATACGGGAGATCTTTGTCTGTGTTGTGTGTCCGTGTGTGTCTTTTGGGAGCGGTAGTGTAGCGCTACGAATCCGGTGACCAGAGTTAAATTACCGATAACGACCAATAACAGGAGCGAATAACTGAACTGGTTCTGGCCTCCCCTAGATCCGCTCAGCCTTGAGTACCTGGTGCGGTAAGGATAAACACAGGAGAGACAAAGGCGGCCGGGTGTGGTTCCGACAACTCCACACCCTAATGGAGGAGATGAGGGGGGGGGTCTTTCTATGTGAACACACACACGCAACTACAACATCCGAGGCTGCGAGGTGCACTTTGAAGCGTGGAAGGCTCTCTGGCAGGGCAAGGGACAGACACACGTGCTATGGGTTTACTTAGATCACTAATCAAGGCATACAAAGACAAAGATCCCCCTGTAGCCTGAACGGACTGTCGGGGCAAGTGCTGTTAGTGAGCACCTATAAAGGCCGGCACGGCACACAAAAAGAGGCGCGCTGTGGTTAGCACCACGCCGGACCGCCTTTGTCTCCCCAAAGTTGATTTTTCCACACTGCACCGAATGTTCATTTAAGGCCGAGTCGACCTAGGGGGAGGCCCGGAACCCGTTCAGACATACGTCGGGTGGCCGACCGCTCGCCAGGTGAGAAAAGGTCGCAGCCGCTCATGGAGCCCTCCCTCACCGTTGCTTAACGACGCCACGGCTTTCTTGTTCGTCATCACCCGCGCTGTGGCGTTGTTCACCTGCGGAGCGGGTGGGGGAGAGGAGGGAGGGGGGGACAGGGGGACAGGTGAGACGAGTCGTCAGGGGGTGGGTGGGTGGTCGTGCGTGCGTGTGGCATTGCCTCCATGCCCCTCCCCCCACCGCCGTGGCTCAAGCTCCCGAGGAGGGGGTCCCAACATCAATCGGAGGAGGGGAGAGCAAATTCGTGCACGGGTCACGTGCGTGCGTGCGCGTGCACATGCGCGCAAGGGGGTGGGGGCGGGGGCGGGCGGGGGGGGAGCCTCGGCATGCGGCACCGCGGGGTTAGGGGGGGCTGCTGCTCCTACTCATCATCATCATCCTCCTCCACCTCCTGCCAGAACTTCGCCTTCCACGCTTCACGCGATAGCCTCGAAGTGCACCCAGCCCGGCCACAGTTCGAGTCCAGGAACTCCCTTGAAGAGGAGACCGCGGGGGGGGGGGGGGGGGGGTGGCCCTGACTGCAACATTCTCTTGAACTTCGCCGTACGGTCCGGTCCCGCTACAACCGTCATCATCGCTCGCCAACGTCGCACGAGGCCACGCGATCGTCCGTCGGGACCATGCTCGGGTTCTTGTTAACGCTGTGCGTTGCGAAAAACCGGTTCGAACCGGTTCGCCGCACGTGCATAAATGCCTCCGCCAATAAACGTGCTCTGCTGACCCCTTTCTACACAATATACGAATGCGGCTGCTCCAGAGGTCATGAGCGCACTGGAGCGACTCGATCTCCCGGCACGGCACTGCAGCAATCTTTAGTAATAGGTTTTTACCCTTTCAACTGGTACAAAACCTGACACCTTTATACAAGAGATCATGTTTGCGATAACCAATTTGTTGTGTTTGCATTTTGACTGCTTGTGTTGAGGTTATTGCAAACATGATGCCTTGTATAAAGGTGTCAGTTTTTGTACCAGTTGAAAGGGTAAAAACCTATCACTATATTTTGCCACTGGTAAAGGAGGTCTCATAGTGTGGAGCAATCTTCTGAACCGTTCCCCCTCCTCCCCACCCGACTCACCGCAGCCCGTGCGGAAGAGTAGGCCAAGGACTGCTCTCTCTCTCTCTCCCACTAGTGGAGGGCCACCTCTGGGCGAGGCGCGTGCGCAATGAACGCATCTGTGCGCCATGACTCATTGGATTTATTTTAGCTGCGTCGGGTGGCGGAGGGTCTTGACGACACGCATTTATTCGGATCATGACGTGGCCTGACCCCAAACAAGACTCGATTATATGCAATGCTCATCATGATCATCATCGCCATGAACTATGGAGGGAAGTTGACCCGGAGGTTTGGAGATGGGAGTGGGGTCCGGGTTAGGGGGGCAAGCGGTTTGGCCGGTCGGGGTTAAATTATTATTCTCATCGTCACCACCACCAATACCACCACCACCACCAACCTCATCAACATCCTCGAGACAGTGAGCCGTGTAACACCACCACCAACAACCTCTTTGTGAACACAAACAAGCCAGGCATCAACATGCAAATCACGTTACACAAACATGTGATGGCACGGGCTGGGGGGGGGGGGGTCCCTACTCCCTAGGGGGCCCAAGAGGGGGCCCCGGGGGCCCGGGAGACGGACAGGCGCCCTCGGGGATAGACGGGACCAGAGATGGCGCCTCCTGTAGCAGCAGCAGTAGCTTCAGCACCACCTGTCAGAACCAATCACAGCCCGGCACGCCTGGCATCGCACATTCAACACGGCTACTCACACAGCACGCCTAGCATAGCACACTCAACACACAGCACGGCTACTCACACAGCATGACTAACACATCACGCCTGGCATAGCACACTCAACACACAGCACGGCTACTCACACAGCACGTCTAGCATAGCACACTCAACACAGCATGGCTACCAACAACAGAACAGCTATCACAGAACGCCCGGCATAGCACAATCAAACACAATGCGGCTTAGAGCGCAACGACCACAGCACGTCTAACACAGCAAGGGCACAGCACGCACAACAGCTTGGCCTCAGCGTCACCCGCACACCCCACTCAGCTCACCCCACTCAGCTCACCCCCCACTCAGCTCACACCCCACTCAGCTCACACCCCACTCAGCTCACCCCCCACTCAGCTCACACCCCACTCAGCTCACACCCCACTCAGCTCACCCCCCACTCAGCTCATCCGCACACCCCACTCAGCTCACACCCCACTCAGCTCATCCGCACACCCCACTCAGCTCACACCCCACTCAGCTCACATCCCACTCAGCTCACACCCCACTCAGCTCACACCCCACTCAGCTCACCCGCACACCCCACTCAGCTCACCCCCCACTCAGCTCACCCCCCACTCAGCTCACACCCCACTCAGCTCACCCCACTCAGCTCACCCCCCACTCAGCTCATCCGCACACCCCACTCAGCTCACACCCCACTCAGCTCACCCCCCCACTCAGCTCACCCCCCACTCAGCTCACCCCCCACTCAGCTCATCCGCACACCCCACTCAGCTCACACCCCACTCAGCTCACATCCCACTCAGCTCACACCCCACTCAGCTCACCCCCCACTCAGCTCACCCCCCACTCAGCTCACCCCCCACTCAGCTCATCCTCACGCCCCACTCAGCTCACACCCCACTCAGCTCACAATCCACTCAGCTCACACCCCACTCAGCTCACCTGCCTCGCCTCTCCCGTGCGTGCGTGTCAAGGTGGGGCGCGGGGGTGGGGGGAGCTGCAGGTGGCATCACGTGACGCTCACTGCACCTGGAAATTAACCCCCCCCCTCCGCCCCCCCCCACCCCTTCGGCCCTCCACAACTCCCACCCGCAACCCCCCCCGCACCCCCCCCTGCACCCCCCCCCTCCGGCCCCCCAAACCCCCCCCCGCAACCCCCCCCGCACCCCCCCCTGCACCCCCCCCCTCCGGCCCCCCACACCCCCCCCCGCAACCCCCCCCCCCGCACCCCCCCACCCCTCCGGCCCCCCGCAACTCCCACCCGCCCCCTCCCCAGGGCAGCAGGTGGAGGCTCAAGCCGCACTATGAATATTGCAGAGGCCGCGTGCTGCACAATTAGCTACAGTGAGCAGGTACAGCGCTCCTCACCACACTCCTCACCACACTCCTCACCACACTCCTCACCACATTCCTCACCACACACACTCACCACACTCACCACACTCACTCACCACACTCACCACACTCACCACACTCACTCACCACACTCACTCACCACACTCACTCACTCACCTCACTCACCACACTCCTCACCACACTGCTCACCACACTCACTCACCACACTCCTCACCACACTCACTCACCACACTCACTCACACACCACACTCACTCACCACACACACTCACCACACACACTCACCACACTCACTCACCACACACACTCACCACACACACTCACCACACACACTCACCACACTCACCACACACACTCCCACACTCACTCACCACACTCACCACACTCACTCACCACACACTCACCACACTCACTCACCACTCACTCACCACACACTCACCACACTCACTCACCACTCACTCACCACACACTCACTAAATCCACACACCACGCGCATCATCCCGCCCCTCTTTGTCTCTCCCTCCGTCGACAGACGCGACACCAAGGCACGGACATCGCAAAGCAGCGGGACTCCGACTCACGGCCCCGGCAAGCGGCAGCGCCAGGCCGCGCACTGCTGATGAACCTCGCGGGCTGCTGATGATGAACCTCGCGGGATGCTGCTGATGAACCTCGCGGGCTGCTGATGATGAACCTCGCGGGCTGCTGATGATGAACCTCGCGGGATGCTGATGATGAACCTCGCGGGCTGCTGATGATGAACCTCGCGGGATGCTGATGATGAACCTCGCGGGCTGCTGATGATGAGCATCGCGGGCTGCTGATGATGAACCTCGCGGGCTGCTGATGATGAGCATCGCGGGCTGCTGATGATGAACCTCGCGGGCTGCTGATGATGAGCCTCGCGGTCTGCTGATGATGAACCTCGCGGGCTGCTGATGATGAACCTCGCGGGCTGCTGATGATGAGCATCGCGGGCTGCTGATGATGAGCATCGCGGGCTGCTGATGATGAGCATCGCGGGCGCGGGAGGGGGAAGCTGTCGTGAGGACTGATCACCATCGCCCCCCCCCCCCCAAAACCGCCAAGCGGCCGGCAACAATCAGCACTCGCGCGGTGGTAACGGATCACTGTTGTGGCGTAACGCGTTTGTCTTGAAGTGGGCGGCGGCGCGGGGGGGGGGTCATGGCCAGGAGGATGAAGAAGGCGGCTCGCTTCGTCAACAGCGACAACACCCACGGGGGCAGCGTCGCACGCGCGAGTTGTCGTCAGCCTTGCCCCCCACACCACCACCGGCCACGTTGCGTGTGGTCAGCGTGCGTCGGTAGGTGAATGAGTGCTGCTGCAATGGCGCGCATGCCTCGTGTGCCGTCCAGGCGAGATCGCGAGAGTGTCGTTACGAGGGGTGTCCGCTCGGCATTTACTGGGAGGAACCACAGCCACAACCACAGCCACAACCACAGCCGCACACGCGAGCCGCACCAACAATCACAGCCGCCTTAGCTCAACACAGCCACAACCATAGCCACATTCACACCCAAAACAACAACCACAACCACAGCGCTTGGCTATCTCCCGCACGCTCTGAGCTCACACAGAACTAAAGCCATCTCGTAACACCTCCTCTCACCTCCTGTCACCTCATCACACCTGGCGCTCAGCCACAGGTGTGTCTGCATATCCACCCCCAAAGGATGGCGACTCTCCTGCCTGTCATCTCTCATCTCACTCTACTCCCCTCCACGAACTCTCCTACCTCTTCCCTGTCATCTCACTCCACTCCCCTCCACGCACTCTCCTACCTCTCCCCTCTCATCTCACTTTACTCCCCCCCACGCACTCTCCTGCCTCTCTCCCCTCTCATCTTCACGTTACCTCTGCTCAACAACAAATGTCTCCTGGTGAAGGCCTCAGTCTACACCCTCGCCCCCTAAAACACTTTGGTCATTCGCCAGCACTGGCTCCAGCGAGCCCCACCCTGCAGATGAGACACTGAAGTGGGGGGCTTGTGGGGGGCCTGTGGGGGGGGGGGGTGGGGGGCTCACCTCGATCTTCCTCCCCTCCACCACGCTGCCGTGCAGCTTCTCCCTCGCCTGCTCCGCCTCTCCGCTGCTGTCAAACGTCACGAAGCCGAATCCCTGGGGGGCCAGGGTCAGAGGCCGGGGGTCAATTACCGGGGTTGGAGGTCAAGGTCACCACACTCGCCAGGGTCAGGGATTCAGGATCAGAGCAGTTATTGAGATCAGGATCTCTATAGACACTGGGTCAAGGTGATGACGATGATGATGCTCGTGATGATGATGGTGATGATGGTGGTGGCCAAGCCGCTGTGGATGTGAGCGGGAATGAATGCCGCTCACCTTTGACCCCCGCTCGTTGAAGATGATCTCTACATCCAAGATTTTTCCAAATTGCTGTGGGGGGGGGGGGGGGGGGGGGGGGGAGGACATGGGGTCACAGGGCAGAGGTCAGAGCCCTGAACACATGCCCTTCACCCTACTCACCCCACTCACCCCCCTCGCCTCCCCTGCCCCCTCACCCCGCTTCTCACCCCGAACATCTGCCGGAGGTCGGGGTCGCGGAAGCGGAAGGGGATGTTGGAGACGTGGAGCCTCTTGTGCTGCCCCTTGGGGGAGGGGGGGCCCCCACCGTCTGCCGGGGGCGGGGGCAGCGCCGACTCATCCTCCGTTTGCTGCTGGGAGTGGGGAGGGGCACAGAAGGGGAGCAGTGGGGGGCATGGGACGGAGGTGGGTGGTGAGTTGGGGGGGGGGGCGATGTGCACGCTACTCGCCCGCGTGTGGGTCGCTATGGTTACACTGCACTCACCGTTGCCGTGCCGGGGACGGAGAGTCCGTGGTGAGCGGAGGTCGCGGCTGCCGTGGAGTTGCCGTGATTGAGGGGGGCTGCCGTGTAGAGGGCGAGGCTGCTCGCAGAGCCCCCCCCCAGCTGTTGAGCGAAGTCGCCCCCCAAGCCGTTCTGGGGGGGCGGTGGAGGGGGCAGGAAGGGGGCGGCCATCGGCTCGGGGCCCGCGGCAGGCGGGTCCAGCCCACCCTGCGTGACACAAGAACGCACACGTGAACACACACGCACGTGAACACACAAGAACACACGCGTGAACACACACGCGTGATCACACAAGAACACACGCGTGAACACACACACACGTGAACACACACGCGTGAACACACACGCGTGATCACACAAGAACACACGCGTGAACACACACGCACGTGAACACACACGTGTACACACACAGGCGTGATCACACAAGAACACACACGCGTGAACACACACGCGTGATCACACAAGAACACACGCGTGAACACACACACACGTGAACACACACGCGTGAACACACACGCGTGATCACACAAGAACACACGCGTGAACACACACACACGTGAACACACACGCACGTGAACACACACACGTGAACACACAAGAACACACGCGTGAACACACACGCACGTGAACACACACGCACGTGAACACACACGCACGTGAACACACACGTGGACACACACACGTGTGAACACACACGCACGTGAACACACACGCACGTGAACACACACGTGAACACACACACGTGTGAACACACGCGTGAACACACACGCACGTGAACACACACACGTGAACACACACACGTGTGAACGCACGCGTGAACGCACGCGTGAACACACTTGAACACACGCGTGAACGCACGCGTGAACAAGACAAAGACTGTAGGAGCAAGTGCCGTTCGCGAGTAGTGCCGATGAATGTTGGCACGGCACACGAGCGGGTGGATGGACAGCACGATGACGCCTTTGTCTCCTCGTGTGGCGATGTTTACTACACCCCGCACCAGGTACTGATTTGAGGCTGAGTCGACCTAGGGGATGTTTACTACACCCCGCACCAGGTACTGATTTGAGGCTGAGTCGACCTAGGGGAGGCCCAGGACCGGTTCAGATAATCATCACTGGTGTTGGTCGTGAACAGGAATCAAACGCAGGTCTCTGGGTTCGTAGCACGGCGCGCTCACCGCAGCACTACCGCTCCCCATGCCGGAAACACACACGTGTACACACACACGTACACATACACACACACACGTGAACACACACACACGTGAACACACACACACGTGAACACACACACACGTGTACACACACACGTGAACACACACACGTGAACACACACACACACGTGAACATACACACGTGAAGACACGCGTGTACACACACGTAAAGACACGCGTGTACACACACACACACGTGAACACACACACGTGAACACACACGTGAACATACACACGTGAAGACACGCGTGTACACACACACACGTGAACACACACACGTGAACACACACGTGAACTTACACACGTGAAGACACGCGTGTACACACACACACACACGTGAACACACACACGTGAACACACACACGTGAACACACGCGTGTACACACACGTGAACACACGCGTGTACACACACACGTGAACACACACACGTGAAGACACGCGTGAGCACACACACGTGAACATACACACACGTGTACACACACACGTGAACACACACACGTGAGCACACACACGTGAACATACACACACGTGTACACACACACGTGAACACACACACGTGAACACACACACGTGAAGACACGCGTGAGCACACACACGTGAACATACACACATACGTGAGCACACACACACACACGTGAACACACACGTGTATGACATGCCCCAGCGGGCAGTGAGTGAGTGAGCCCCGTCTTGTGTGGAGGTCCGCGGCTCTAACGCGGCAGGCCGCCCTGGTTAACCGCGCGGTGGAATTTCAACGAAACCAGGCGCCGTGTGCATCACCCACGTGACGTTGTACGGTGCCAATTTAGCACGCGTCAAACATTACACGAGTTACTTGCCAACTATTTTCTCCGGCAGTGCATTTACAAATGATTTGGCAAATAATTCGACGGGGAAATTGTCACACCCCCCCCGCCGCCTCCCAAGACCCTCCTGAATAATGAGTCTTGAGACTCAGCGAGGCTGTCCCGGGTGAAGACGCGGAACAGTGACGATGATGAGAACCCCAACGCGGTTAGAAATCGGTTTGTTTCATCACCGGTAACCGGATGGACAACAAACCGGTTTCACCCCATCATCCATCCCTCCTCACCCCCTTCTCGTGGAGTTTGGATGATACGAGTATGACATGTTACAGTTTAGCGCCATGAAGAAGGGCAGTTGCCCGAACCGTCGCCTGTTATAGTTTTCCTTTTACAGGTAGGAACAACAGGTTCCACATTGCCCACCAGGGATTATTTGCCTGTCTGTCGTGCACGAATGCGCTGTCCAACCAAGTTCCTACCTGCCCACTTGGAAGGAACGTGTTATTGGCACATTTGCATATACCACGAAGTGACGGTGACGTCACCACAGCTCTTGTGCCAAGCTAGGTGCACATTGAGGCCAAGGTAGCACAGTGCTCCCCACTGTGCCACCTCGCTCTGCTTTACCCGCCCATGCGCTCCGCTCGTTGTTGTGAGCGCCGCTCCTCCACCCTCCGCTGTTGCTGGAGGGCGACTGCCTCCAACTGCTCAGTAGCAGCAGCGTCCTTCACGAGCCTCCTCTACGGAGGTTGACACCGCTAGTTCAAGTCGTCGGCAAGTCGTCCACTCGGGTCCACATCCTCCTGTACCGCATCACTCCATCTGTTCTCTAGCCCGTGCCGCGCCTGTTTTTAGCCCCTTCTGTCCGGCCAAGCAAAGGCTGCTTGGGCATGCGGTGGCTGTGCACGCCGGCTCCGTGACTCAGCCAAACAAAGCCTCGCCTAGCGGAGGAGCTCACCGATGAGACGGCGTGCCGGATCTCTCTCAAGGATCTGAGAGCTCCTCGTACACTCCAGCCTGATTGAACTCGGGATGGATCGTATGACCCACGCAGACGTTCTTATTTCAGAGTGGTCCGCGTTTCGCCAGCGTAGAGAAGGGGGGGCATATAACTGTGGCCGAGAAGACTCGGGACATCGTATGTAGCGAAGGTGACGTACAAAGACAAAAATCCCCCGTATAGCCTGAACAGACTGTTGGGAAAGTGCTGTTAGCGAGCATCAAAAAGACCGGCACGGCACACGAGGGGGTGGATGGCCAACACCACGCCCGGCCGCCTTTGTCTTCCTAGTGGCGATGTTTACACACCGCACCAGATACTCATTTGAGGCTGGGGGTGAGTCGACCTAGGGGAGGCCCGGCACCAGTTCCAATAATCGTCACTGGTGTTAGCCGTCAGCGGGAAACAAACTCGGGACCGCCAGGTTCGTAGCGCAGCGCGCTAACCGCTGCACCACCCGCTCCCCCCAAAGGAGACATACATGGATGTGCACATAAACACACACAGACAGACACACACACAGACATTAAGACCCACAAAGACAAATGTATATAGAGATATAGGCACAAATATATTAGGACACGGACACAAAGACAAACATCCCCCGTATAGCCTTAACATACTGTAGGGGCAAGTGCTGTTAGCGAGCACCTATGAAGGCCGGAACGGTACACGAGGGGGTGGGTGGCCAGCACCACGGCCGACCGCCTTTGTCTCCCTAGTGGTGATGTCTACACATCGTACCAGGTACTCATTTGAGGCTGAGTCGACCTAGGGGAAGCCCAGGACCGGTTAAGATAATCGCCACTGGTGTTGGCCGTGAGCGGGAATCGAACCCGGGTCGCCGGGTTCGTAGCGCAGCGTACTAACCGCTACATTACCGCTCCCCACACACACGGACACACACACACGGGCACACACACACGGACACACACAGACGTACACACACACACGGACACACACACGGACACACACACGGACACACACAGACGGACACACACACACGGGCACACACACACGGACACACACAGACGTACACACACACACGGACACACACACGGACACACACACGGGCACACACACCGACGAACGAACCCCGAGGAGGCCGCTAATTTGCGCACCCCACGGACCCCGATCTCCCTTCCCTCCCACGTGGGCAGGTGAGGGAGGGGAGGGGCTCACCTGGGGGAGGGGAGGGGCTCACCTGGGGGAGCGCGAGCAGCTTGATTGGCAGCGCGGAGAGGCCGAGTGGGGGGCCCAAGACCCCCCGTGCAGACAGCATCATCGCGGGGGGGGTAGGGGAGACGGGGTTGGGGAGAGGGGGGGGGCGACGACCACTGAGGGGAGGGGGGGTGGGGGGGGTAGGGAGGGGGGGGTGTCGTGGGGGGGGGGCGGTAATTAATTTAATCCACGTGAGGCCCCCCACGGAGGTGGCTCAAGGAGAGCCGCTTCACCCCCCCCCTACCCCCACGTCGCCCCCCACCCACCACCCACCTCGCATCCAGCTAAGCGAGACTCGCGTAACGCGGGATAACGGCGGGGGTTACCGGAGGGGTAACGGCGGAGTAACGGAGGGGTAACGACGGGGGGTAACGGCGGGGGTAACGCGGGGTAACGGCGGGGCAACGGCGGGGGTAACGGAGGGGTAACGGAGGGGTAACGACGGGGGTAACGGCGGGGGGTAACGCGGGATAACGGCGGAGGTTACCGGAGGGGTAACTGAGAGGTAACGGCGGGGTAAAGGAGCGCGGTCAGTCCTCGCTGACGCCGCGAGCGCGACTGAGGAGGGCGGCACGGCTCGTGCCGATATATTTTAGGTGCCCCCCCCCACCACCCCCCACCCCCCCCACCACCACCCCCATGCCTCCTCCCGCGGGGGGGGGAGGGGTAGAGCGAGGGGATCAAGTGTCTCCCGCGTGCGGCAACGGGGGAGCGGGGGGGGGAGCGGGGGGGGTCCACCCTCCCCGTGACACCTGCTCCCCTTTGTCAGTGGAAGCTGACAGGGAGTCCTCGACCCCTCCCCCGCGAGCCCCGCCCCTCCCCCGCGAGCCCCGCCCCTCCCCCGTGAGCCCCGCCCCTCCCCCGCGAGCCCCGCCCCTCCCCTGCGAGCCCCGCCCCTCCCCTCCCCCCGAGCCCCGCCCCTCCCCCGTGAGCCCCGCCCCTCCCCCGTGAGCCCCGCCCCTCCCCCCGAGCCCCGCCCCTCCCCCGCGAGCCCCGCCCCTCCCCCTCGACCCCCGCCCCAGCTGTTCCCTCCCACGGCGAGGAATCGTCTCAAATTGCACCCCCCCCAACCTCATCGCCACTGACACCGTCCCATCACCACATCATCACATCGCCATCACTGTCACCACATCACCATCAACATCACCACATCACCACATCATCACATCACCACATCACCATCACCACATCACCATCAACATCACATCACCACATCACCATCACCACATCATCACATCACCACATCACCATCAACATCACCATCACCACATCACCATCACCACATAATCACATCACCACATCACCATCAACATCACCACATCAACATCACCACATCATCACATCACCACATCACCATCAACATCACCACATCAACATCACCACATCACCATCACCACATCAACATCACCACATCACCATCACTATCACCACATCACCATCAACATCACCACATCATCAACTCGCCATCACTATCGCCACATCACCACCGCCATCACTGTTACTATCACCACATCACTATCATCACATCACCACATCATTACATCGCCATCACTATCACCACATCACCAGCACTATTACCACATCACCACATCACCATCAACATCACCACATCACCATCACTGTCACCACATCATCACATCGCCATCACTATCACCACATCACCATCACTATTACCACATCACCACATCAACATCACCACATCACCATCACTGTCACCACATCATCACATCGCCATCACTATCACCACATCACCATCAACATCACCACATCACCATCACCACATCATCACATCACCACATCACCATCACTATCACCACATCACCACATCAACATCGCCATCACTGTTACTATCACCACATCACTATTACCACATCACCACATCAACATCGCCATCAATATCACCACATCACCAGCACTGTGACTTTCCTATCACCACATCACCATGGCTCTTACTATCACATCAGCACATTAACATCACTATCACCACATCACCACATTACCATGGCTCTTACTATCACATCACCACATCACCAGCACTATGACTTTCCTATCACCACATCACCATATCACGATTACTGTTACTATAATATCACTATCATCACCACCTCACCATCACCACATCACTATGGCGACTCCATCACCATCACCACATCGCCATCACGATGACCACCACCACATCATCCACACCACATCACCATCACTAGTACATCCCTAAACTTAACATTTGTGAAGAAGAGCTTCATAGCTCACCGGATTTCTCCAGTATAAATAAAGGTTATTGATTCTGAAAATATTACCATGACATCACCACCATCACTGAACCACAACACCACGTGACCCCTACATCACCGCCCCGCCCCTTCCCTCGACAACAGATGGCCCCGCCCCCGGGCCAAGGCGACCCCCTCCCCCTTCAGCCCCTCCCCTACAGCCCCTCCCCCACAGCCCCTCCCCCATCAGCTCCCCTCCCCATCAGCCCCCTCCCCATCAGCTCCCTCCCCCACAGCCCCTCCCCACAGCCCCTCCCCATCATGCCCCTCCCCCATCATCCCCCTCCCCCACAGCCCCTCCCCTACAGCCCCCTCCCCCATCAGCTCCCTCCCCCACAGCCCCTCCCCCATCATCCCCCTCTCCCACAGCCCCTCCCCCATCAGTGCCTCCCCCATCAGCTCCCTCCCCCATCAGCCCCTCCCCTACAGCCCCTCCCCCATCAGCTCCCTCCCCCACAGCCCCTCCCCCATCAGCCCCTCCCCCCCCATCAGCTCCCTCCCCCATCAGCCCCTCCCCATCAGCCCCCTCCCAAATCACCCCCCTCCCTCCGCTCCCTCCCTCCGCCCCGCGTCTCGAGACCCCCTCGCCCCCCCCACGCTGCCCGCGACCCCTGCGTCTCGACGCCTTCATCGGGCGCAGTGACCCCCACCCCCTCCTCCTCCACCTCTTCCCCCAGCCCCTCCCCTACCCGCTCTGGCACCGAAGCCACGCGAACCCAGGTCTGTGTGGGGTGGTGAGTGTGGTGTGTGTGAGTGAGTGTGAATGTGGTGAGTGAGTGAGTGCGGTGGGTGTAGTGTGGTGAGTGTGGTATGAGTCAATGTGGTGAGTGCGGTGGGTGTCGTGTGGTGAGTGTGGTGAGTGTGTGTGAGTGAATGTGGTGAGTGAGTCAGTGCGGTGGGGGTAGTGTGAGTGTGGTGTGAGTGAATGTGGTGAGTGAGTGAGTGCGGTGGGTGTAGTGTGGTGAGTGCGGTGAGTGTAGTGAGTGTGTGGTGCGTGGGTGAATGTGGTGAGTGCAGTGAGTGTAGTGTGTGTGGTGTGGGAGAGCGTGGTGCGTGGGTGAAGGTGGTGAGTCAGGGCGGTGAGTGTAGTGTGTGTGTGGTGCGTGGGTGAATGTGGTGAGTGAGTGTAGTGTGTGAGAGCGTGGTGCGTGGATGAATGTGGTGAGTGAGTGTGGTTTTCACGTGAATACCAATTGTCCACGTGTCCCGCGCTCGCGTTGCTCGCATTGATTGGATTGCTCTCTGTTGGGGGTAAAACTAATTACAGACGGGGGGGGGGGGTAATAAAGGACGGGTTATTGAGATGAAATATCGATGCGAGGTATATATCGTCATCGCGAGACATGGCATATCTACCGCTGGATGAAGGCTTCCCCGTGGACGTCACAATCTCTCACGGGTCCTACGATGCCCCAATCTATCTCACGAATTGCAAAGAGTTCGCCTGTTTACGATCCAGCCTCGATATAACCAGGACGGATTGTGTGAGGAGCTCACAAATCATTGAGAAATCTGGACACGGTCCCCCATCATCGGTGAAGCTCCGCCGACAGGCGAGGCTGCGTTTCCTGGGTCGCGTCGCCCGCAAGCCCAGCCACAGCGTCCCGAAGCGGCTTCTGTTTGGCCGGGCAGAGGGGGCTAAAGGGGCACGGCACAGGCTGGAGAAGACGGAGCTCATGCGGTCGAGAGGGATGTGGAGCCGAGTGGATCTGCTGATGACCGGACAACCAGCGGTGCCAAGATCGACTTCTGCGGAAGAGGAGGCTCGTGAAGGACGCTGCCGGGCAGTTGGAGGCAGTCGCCCTCCCACAACAACGACGGAGGGCGGAGGAGCGAAGCTCACCACGCGAGGCTGCGTCAAGCGGAGAACCCACGTCGAACAGGAAGGGTTCTTACCGATAAACATCTGCAGGCCGTTGACCAGCATTGATTTGGTAATTGCAAAGCCTGACCGACTCTGCGAATGAGACGCCGATTTCAAAAGCCGGTCCAGAGTTTTGCTTGCGTTTTGAACCCCATGCCGCTGGCATGCACATCTGATGGGATGTGTAACGAATATTTAGTTCACGTGGAGGGACGGATATGGGAAGGAGGCGGATTTGTCTGCCGATTTGGTTTTGTTCGTCGGATGCACGCGTGTCCACGCAGACAGGGAGACACGCTGTCGTGAGGCAGAGAGAGAGATAGGGAAAGACAGAGACGCGGCCACAAAGACAAATATCTCCCGTTCTATAGACTTGCAAGACTGTTGAGAAAGTGCTGTTAGCGAGCACCTATGAAGACGAGAACGGCACGACGAGTATGGCTTGGTAGCCAGGCGCCACGCCCGGCCGCCTTTGTCTCCCCAGTGGCGATGTTTACACACCGCACCAGGCACTAATTTTTAACGCTGAGTCGACCTAGGGGAGGGCCGGAGGGCCGGTTCAGATCATCGTCACCGGTGTTGACCGTGAGCGGGAACCGAACATCGGTTCGCCGGGTTCGTAGCGCAGCGCGCCAACCCGCGGCACTGCCGCTCACGGAGGGTCAGACACGGGGCGGAGAGGATCACGTCCACAAGTTAGCACGGCACACAGCGGGGGGCAGGCGCCGGAGTGCCCCCACCCGCGTCCCCCTGATCCCCCTCCTCCTCCACCTCCTCCCTCCTCCCTCCTCCCTCCTCCTCCTCCCCTCCTCCTCCTCCTCCCCCCAACCCGTGCCCCCCACGAGGGTCGCGATGTTTATTTGACAGAGGCCGCCCCGGGCCGCATGCCCAGTTGCGACCCCTATTAACCGGGGTCAATTAGCCGGAACCCCGGAGGGGAGGGGGCGTGTGGG